CCCCCCCCCTCTTCCCTCTCCCGATATTTTGTCTCAAGTCGCTTTACCTTATAGACTCGATCTCAAAGGTGCAAGCAACGGCATACCTTCGTTTTTAGCGTATACCTGTCGCACTCATCGTCAGGCATATCACCGACTCTCGCTCGTGCCTCAACTACACGTACGGTTACTCCGGGATATTATCCCTTTGTTAGAAGCGGGCACCCTGCTCGTCTGAAGGTCGACTACCGAGGATCCTCAGCCCTCCGTTCCTACTAATTACGAACACCATGCATACACTCTCCACATTGGCGGCCCTTGCGGCTGCCATCTCAACTGCCAGGGCCGCCTTCCAAGGGTTCAACTATGGCAACGTTTTTACCGACGGAAGTCCCAAGACTCAGGCGGATTTCGAGGCTCTCTTCGGAGCTGCCGCCAACCTCGACGGCACCGATGGCGGGTTCACCAGCGCCCGACTGTACACCATGGTTGTAAGTTGGGACTACAGACCGACAGACTAGCGCACCAGACCATCGGCACGTTATTTTGCAGTATGGCCTGAACTCTCACTGACAAGTTGATGTAGCAAGCTGGCACCGCCAACGACCCCATCTCGGCCATCCCTGCCGCCATTAACACCGGCACTTCCCTGCTCCTCGGCATCTGGGCCTCCGCTGGCGCCGACGTGTTCGCCAACGAGCTCGAGGCTCTGCGCAGGACCATTGCGCAGTACGGCGATCAACTGGACGGCCTGATTGCCGGCATCTCCGTAGGCAGCGAGGACCTGTACCGCAACTCGCCCACTGGTATCGAAGCCGGCGAGAACCCCGGCGCCAACCCGGACACCCTCGTTGGCTACTTCGAGCGAGTCCGCGACGCCATCCAGGGGACCCCCTTCGCCAATTACCCCATCGGCCACGTCGACACGTGGACGGCCTGGGACAACAGCAGCAACCAGGCGGTGATCGACGCCTCCGACTTCATCGGCTTCAACGGCTTCGCCTACTGGGAGGCGAACCAGGACAACGACGTCTCCAACGGCAAGAGCCTCTTCGACCGTGCTTTGGGCCGCGCCCGCAACGCCGTTGGGAACAAGCCCATCTGGATCACGGAGGTGGGCTGGCCCGTGAGCGGCGCCACCGTCGGCCAGGCCGTTCCCTCGGCCGAGAACGCCGAGATCTTCTGGAAGGACGTCGGCTGCCCGCTGTTCGGCGAGACCAATATTTGGTGGTACACCCTGCAGGACAGCGCGCCTTTTGCGTCCAGTCCCAGCTTCGGCATCATCGGCTCGGATGTGACTACCCAGCCCCTGTTCGACCTCACCTGCGATGCTCCCGCGCCTCCCCCTTCGTCTGCTGCCCCGACCACCGGCACTCAGGCTCCCACCGAGACCGATGGCGGTGCCGTGCCGGGTCCCACGAGCCCCGAAGACGATAACGGCGATGACGGTCACGATGGTGGTGATGATGATGATGATGATGATGAACCAGCGCCCACCGTCACCGAGTCTCCCCACGTCCCTGAGCCCACCGGTGACGGGGACCACGGCGACGATGGCCACGGTGATGACGAGGGTCACGATGACGATGGCCACGGTGATGGCGAGGGTCACGATGACGACGAGGGTCACGATGACGACGAGGGTCACGATGACGACGAGGGTCACGATGACGACGAGGGTCACGATGACGACGAGGGTCACGATGACGACGCCACCCCCACAGATGACGGTGGTGTTATGCCTCCCCCATCTGTGCCAACTGATTCCCCCGCACCACCAGAGGAGCCGGTGCCTACTCAGCCCGGTGAGGGAGGCAACGCCACCACCATAGTCCCGCCCCCTGTCGCTACCGGCGATGAAGATGAAGACGGACCCCCCGTCGAGGCGGGCGCATCGTCTCTGACTTTCAGTGCGGCCTGCCTGGCCGTCATGTTCGCTGTGGCGGTCTTCTAATCTGGAGGGATTGAGGCCCACAAAGCATGCTAGAAAGGACGGAGATACTGATTCTTTCTTGGCCATGGGCAGGTTTTGAGGGCATTAGATGGTTAAATATAGACTGGCATGTGTCCCTCCCTTGACGATACTATATGTCCATGTTATATACAGTGGGTTAGCAAAATTTCGGTATGAAACCCAACACCAACGCGTCCAACGCGTTCACAATCATCACCACCTCGATCTTTAAACAGCTATAACTATAGAAGAATAACAGCCACGGACCCCTAAACAGCACTATTCGCCTTATAAGAGGACGGAGATTATAACGCTACGCGAGATAGGCTTAACCTATTAACAGATCGCGTAGCGCGAAGGGGTTTCCCCCACCACTGCCTATAGTATATATAAACGGTATCAGAACCAAAAATCAGCCTAGTCACTTCCTCGCTCAGGGCGGCTATGAGCCCTTAGTAATCGGGAAAAAAGATACCTCTTCCGATCTATTAGTTAAGATCCTTTTATTTTATACCGGCTTCTTCGGGGCTAGGCGTCGATATAGCGTATCCGTAAAGAGTAAATACGATAAGAACGGTCAAAAATAGGGTCAAATTTGAAGGGTAAATTGACTGAGATAATTATGTGTTATTGTAACTGTGCAGGACTGTTGGGACGACATATTCGGTACGTAGGTACCTACCTTAGGCAGATACCTAGGTACCTTCCCTGACCTTAATCCCCATCTCAGCCAGTTCATCACATCGACAACCTCAAACACAATTATACCACTTTCAAACAACGTTCTCATCTCGTTCGCAGGTCAAGATAGGTAGCGTCTGAAGTGCACTAAATCATAAGACGAAAGTGAGAGACCCAACCTGTCCGAAACTTCAACGTCCAAGATTCACAACGCTACAGTAACGCACCGCAGGGGCAAAATAGCGGCATCGTTGGACGGTGGTTGTGGTGTCGTGTCTTGGAAAAGGGACGGTGAAGACGCCAACGACTCGGGCCGCACAAGTTAAGATGGATGCCCCTGAGCAGGACTGGGACATTAAATTACAGAAAGTCTCGAGCGACTTGATTGCCGACTTTGGTCGCTCTTTGCCCGGCTTTCTCAGGAAACCCAACGGGAAACTCCGCTCGCGTGTCCGAACAGGGGAGACGACGAGGTTGACATCTACTGTGAGTCCTTTATATATTACCGGAACGAATGTGTAGAGTCACTAGCTAATCTCAACCACCCCTTTCCTAAGCTCCTTGACCCTTTCCAAGAGCTTCCCCAGCTGCTTGACCCGCATCTCCCCCGATGGCTGCCCCTCCTGGCCTCATCATATCTAGAGCACTTGTATTCCCAGGGCCACCGACGAACGAGACTCTCCCGCGTCTCGACGGCACGCTCACAGCTTCTCGAGACTCTCCCCGCCGCCATCTGCAAGCTGCTCTACACGTTGGCCAAGGTTCGTGGCCCGGCAGTCATCCTCCGCTTCCTCCCCGTCGAAGCCCGCCATCTCGAGCCCCTACTCCTTGCCCTGGAATCTGCCGAACGCAGCGCCTCGCAGCCATCATCCATCACGTCTGCCACGACGCCCGACTCTCCACACTCTCCGCATCCCCAGTCCGATGAGGTCAATGGGGTCAACTCATCACAACGGGAGTGGGTGTGGCAGGAGCGCTACATCGTCCTTTTGTGGTTGTCGCACTTGCTCCTGGCACCCTTCGACCTGGCCTCCATCTCGTCTGCCGAGAACAACCCCGAAGACGCAGCCATTCCATCTCTCCCAGGCTTCCGCTGGCCCGAGCAGCTTCCGGGGATCGCCGTTCGAGTCCTGCCCCTGGCCGTCAAGTACCTGGCATCGCCGGGCAAGGAACGGGATGGCGCCCGTGATTTACTCGTCCGGATGGCTATGAGGAGAGACATGCAGCAGCTCGGCGTTCTCGACGCTTTAGTAAACTGGGCTCTCGTCTCGTTACGACCCCAGAAGGCCGAGGGCCCTTCGGAACAGCCCTACTTTTACATCGGCGTCCTGTCCTTCCTTGCTAGCTTGCTGAAGTCCTCCGTCGACACATCCGACATGGACAAGCACCTCTTGGCTGTCTTCAACGCCGTGTACGCAATCTCGGCGGAAGAGAGCCCTCTAGCTGTCGCCATCCGGTCGTATGCCGTTGCCCGCAAGATGGTAATCAAGGTCATTCGATCCGTTGCGACCCTCGTCCTCCGCCAATCGAGCCGGGACATGGCCGCCGGCATGGAGCTGGTGGAGAACTCGATCAGCTACTTGCTCGAATGCCTCGCCGACAACGACACCCCCGTGCGCCTCGCGGCCAGTAAAGCGCTGAGCATAATCGCCCTCAAGCTCGACCCGGACATGGCCGAGCAAGTCGTCGAGGCCGTGCTCGAGTCGCTGAACCGGAACGTCCTCTGGGTGAAGAACCCCACAAAACCGGACGCGGCCCCGACGAGGGACCTGGCGGCCGTGGACCCCCTGGAGTGGCACGGCTTGACGCTGACCCTGTCGCATCTTCTCTACCGAAGGTCCCCGCCGGCGGAGCGGCTTCCCGACATCATCCATGGCCTGCTCCTCGGCCTCTCCTTCGAAAAACGTAGCACGTCGGGGGGTTCCATCGGCACCAATGTCCGAGACGCCGCCTGTTTCGGCATCTGGGCCCTCGCTCGCCGGTACACGACGCAGGAACTCCTGGCGGTCCCCACCAAGTCCGTCGTCGCTGCTAGAGTGCACTCCGCGGATGCGTCTATCCTGCAGGTCCTTGCTACCGAGTTGGTTGCTGCAGGGTCGCTCGACTCCTCGGGCAATATTCGCCGCGGCGCTTCTGCGGCTTTACAGGAACTCATCGGAAGGCACCCGGATACGGTCAAGCAGGCCATCTGGGTCGTGCAGACCGTGGACTACCACGCCGTCGCCCTCCGCTCCAGGGCGATACATGAGGTTGCCCTCGGTACGACCAAGCTGTGGAATCAGTATGGTCACGCCCTACTCGACGGATTGATGGGCTGGCGAGGAGTGGGCGACCCGGATGCGGGGGCTCGACGCGTGGCCGCGGCATCATTTGGGTCATTGACGCTTGAGCTTTCCCAATCTTCGCAGGGGACCGACTCGCTTGAACAGGCTCGTGCTTCCATCGACATGGTTCTTCGACGCCTTCGTTCGCTTCAGACTAGGCAGGTCGAAGAACGTCATGGCTTGCTGCTTTGTATTTCGTCCATCCTGGACCGGTTCCCAGAAATACTAGGTGGACAATTAGAGGACGGCATCTCTACCATGACTGAAGCCACCATGGTTGGTAGCATCATCCAGGAACTGACAGCCATTCTCCAAGATTCTATAGACGCGAAATACCGCCGACCGGAACTGGTTGTTGAGGCAGCGAACCGACTGATCGTTTCGTCCGTCCCTGTTCTCCAGGCTGCTTGCATTGCCAGTGCCTGGCCAACCCTTCCAAACAGGACACTGAAGCCAGGCTCCCAGGTCGTGGCCACAGACAGAACCCAGGATTTACTGGATGTTGTCACGGCAGTCGATTCTCTGGATTCTATACCCGCCGCAGTCCAAGGTCTCGTCTCCAAGTTTCATCCGGTCGTCACTTCAGGCCTGAGCCGTCCCGAGAAGGAAGTAATTAGCGCTGCTTCCGAGGCGGCCTTGATTCTCCTGGCCTTCTCGCGGCCGGCAGAACGGGACCAAATTACCAAGCAATGGGCCAACACTATTCGACACAGACCGACATCACGTACGACACACGAGACCGGTTACTTCTTTGCCCTTACCGCGGCGCACCCCATTGTTACTAGGCAGTCTCAAGGTAAAAAGAGATCTGATGACGACGACGTGACTAGCGGTGCCATCTTGGCACGGTGGGCTGCCGATACGGATATCGACACACGCGTCGCCATCCTCCAGAGCTTGTCGCAGAGCGTGGTGCTCCGAGACCAGCCCCTGGTGTTCCTGGACCTGCTGGCCGAGGGCCTGAACGACTACACGACCAATGCTCGCGGCGACGTGGGCTCGCACGTGCGGCTCGAGGCGCTACGCGCGACGAAACGCATCTGGCTGTGTCTGGAAACGGCCATGCGAGAGCAGCAAAGCGACAACCTACGGGTGGCGGTGTCGAAGCTGTTCCTCCGGGTCATGCGCCTGGCGGCGGAGAAGCTGGACCGCGTTCGCACGGTGGCGCAAGCTGTCCTGGGGCTGACGTTACTACCCAGGTTTGTGCCCCCCCAATCCGCGTTTTCATGACATCCCCTCGTGGGAGCAGACATGGACTAACCCAGTCCCTATTCAAAATGCACATTAGCCATGCCTCGACCTTCGTCAAACTGACCTTCTCGTCCCGTGTTTACTTCCACGAGCTACTCTCCCTGTGCACCAAACGGGACGCCATCCACCCGCTGGTTTCGGAGATGGCGGCGGAAGAGCCGCAGGCGTGGATGGCGGAACTGCTAGCCGGCTACGTCACCTCTGCGGATACGGGGAACGAAGACCTGGTGATCGCCTCGCGGGCGGCGTTGACGGCGTTTTGCGACGAGGCGCCCGAGCACCTGGAAGCGGTGTGCGCCGGGCTCGTGCACAACCTGGCGGCTCGGCAGGGCCAGGACCGCATGTTGGTCCCGACGGTCGAGGTGGTTGCGTTTCTATTCCACGTCGGGCTGTTTGCGCGGTGCAGGACCATCGATCTGAAAAGGTTGTGCCTTCTCGTGCAGAAAGCAGGATATAAGTCGGGTAGCGTGCGGAAGCTGGAGGCGTGTGTGCGGGTGTATGGCGGCGTGGCGTCCTTGGAGAAAGCGCAAGAGAGGGAGGCGGAGGTTGACGGGGATGGCCTGGCCGAGAAGCGGCGCGAGGGAATCAGAGAGGCGAGGAAACGTTTGGGGGCATTACTTCACCATCCGTGGCCCCGCGTTCGGAGCGTGGTTATTGATGAGTTGTGGATGTTGTTCTGCGAGGGTGAGGACGACGATACCGCGGCACGGCTGAAGGGGGTGGACTGGGGACGTGCGGATAAGGGAGCTATCAAGGGCATTGTGGCCGATCTTGGGTTGGCCTAGTTTGTTCTATGCTGGACTACCTTAAGGGGGTAGCTCCCATCTACGTCCTATTTAGACGGAGGTAATAACTAAAAATTCCAGACGTTCGGCCTTGAAAGGTTAATCGACTGAAGGTCGGGGCTAATAGGTGAGCCTCCTCTAAGACGGTGGGGGGGTAGAGGAAGTACGAAGAGACAAAGAACGTTGTTATAGCATTCGGCAGATGAAGAAAGGGGGTGTAAGTGAAGATGCCGGAGCCGGAGCTGAGGGGAGACGCATTCCACGGCAATTCGTTGTAGTCCACATTCCAGAACAAGATGCCCAGATACTTTGCTTTTATTGTTATTTTTCTTTTCTTTCTATAATTACAAATAAATACTTTTCTTCTTACACGTTCCAAAAGCGAGGTGGATAATCGACGAGGCGAAGAATGGGGGGGGGGGGGGGCGATGCTCCCGTGCATGTACGGCGCCAGGAGACAATGTATCGGCGTTCTCCTTATAGACGATCACAATCGTCTTCTCCCCCAAAACAAGACAGAAAAAAGATGAATGCAATGGAGAAGATTTGACGGGAGGAAGTCGAAGGCAGAGAATCAACTACTATCCGTCTTATGCGTAGCGTTCCAGGGGTTGACTCCTTGACCACCTACCTACTATAACCTATAACTACGAAGTAATAATTGATAGCCGTATCCTCGTTGCTTAAATAAGGGGAGTGTGAATGAAATTACGACTTTTTACTTTATACGAAATGTTCGGATAAAGGAAGGGTTAAATTAAGTGCGAACCAAGTTCGGGGAGGCTTTTTGATATATTTAGAATCGAGGCATCGCCGAATTAGCCACTTACGGGGGTGTCGCGTGGCATGGACGGGCACCAAAGGTGATGTGAGATAAGGCACCGTGCGTACATTGTAGGAACCCGTGGCAAGGATAGAACCTTGCTAGCTACCGTAGATACCTGTATGTTGTGATGAATACGCAACTCGTTAGGGGATGGATTGATTTGTCCGCATCTTCGTTGATCTTGACAAGAGACGCGCCACGATGCATGATCCAGATATTGCTTTTCGCACGCACAGACAGTACATTGTAATCCTTTCCTATTTGTGTTTCTCACCCAAGCTTGAAACAGAGCCAAGGTAATGGACATGCAATGACGGTCTCAATTGCCTTTGCATTTTGGCTTTCCGAAGGCCCGAAATGGTAACAGATGATCTCGCTATCGGGATACGTTGTATGTACACGTATGTACGGATAACTTCGCAATTCGTCGAGTGCTGTCCAATCATATCACCCCGATCAGCGGGCCCTGCTACACGTGTACAACGTATTTTCGTCGAAACATGAGGCGCTGGAGGCTGGTGGGAGTGGCGTCACCGGAGGAAGATCGAGCGGGTAGGCCCCTGGAACGGTTTAGCTTTAAAGACGGGGTTCGACTCGTAGTCCGTATTTGTTACCCCATCGCACTGTGTAAACCATCTCGCTTGCGCCTTCTCCAGCGGCCAGCCCCTTCCCATCATCGAGCGCAATTGACTTCTCCAAGTGACGTTGGGGATACCTACATACACGTATAAGCAGGCATTGATGCTCCTCGTCTTCTTTCACTCCCCCCCCCGCAAAATATCCTCTTTTTATTTTCTTCCTCGCAAAATTCATAGCAACGCGAAGCTGTCCCCGTCACTTCTCATGACTTGGCCAGGACTGCCGGTGCACCTACAAAGTTATTAATCCTGCCCCATCCAAAAGAGGAGCCCTCGGTTTCTTTCTTGGTAGGTATTGCACAATGCCGCTCCGAATCCTTCCTGCACCCGACCGACCACTCACGGCTAGCCGAGTCCTGCGAGACGGAAAACTCCTTTACACGTATCCGCACAAACGTAAATTATTATCCATACCTTTTAGGTTCATTGCTTCGTCTGAACCCTATTCCAATCCGCTCGCTCGGTCGCCTTGGCCCCCCTTGGCCCCCCTTGGCTCGCCTGGTCGGGGTTGCTTTCATGTGCGAGGGGGGATTTGGCCGTGTGTCACATGTCTGCCTCTCGCTGCCTCCTCCTTTGCTGACTGACAAATGAAGTGCCAGACAAGACCGGCGCCTAGAGTCTCTCGACGCTATAAATCCCACGCTAGTAATATATCAAGGTCCGATATGGCCGCGTCTTCCTCAAAAGCCCGCCTCACTCGAAAGAAAGAAAGCCACTGCAAAGTAACTAATAAGAACACACATGTCGCTTCGCTTGTTCAAGTCAATGATTCTCGAGTTCGTACGAAGGGGGCTGTTGCACCGCCCCGCGTTTCTCGGATGGTTTCGGTCCTTCCAGCAACAGCAGCGTATTAGGGTAAATGCAGCCGTGACTGCGATGATACAGATGATTGCTCTCAACTCAGGCCCAACAGAGCGAAATGAGCGAAATGACCCGTCTTCGTTATCTCAAAAAGGTGGTGGCGCGGTGGACAGTCCCTGAATGCCTCTGTAAAATGATGGTACCATTGCTCTGGGTGCTCTGGGTGCCTTGGGGACGAACCAAACCGAAAATTGAGCCGTGTGGGTGACAATGGGCGACGGTGAACGTTTACCGTTCCTCAGCGCAACCCACTAACAATTCGTCCCTTGAGCTTAGTGGCCCAACGGATCGGCCCCCCCTTCTTTCACGCCGGCTTATCTGAAGTGGCAGACGTGAGAGGCAGTCGGAGATGGGAGCTATTTAGGAAACGCGTGCAACTAAGCGAGGACCGATGACGAATGGGGTGCCGCCAAGATCCAGGGCACCCAGGAAGACCACATCCACTGATACGCACCGCCGGAATGGAGGGAACATACGTAAAGGATAGGTATGCTTTTCCTCGTGGAACGCCGCGGCTTACTCCGTTGCGTCTCTCCAGATGATATGCTTTTGAGGGAAAAACGGGAAAACGGGGAGTCGAGCAGTCAAGGAGATATTCCCCCTCTCGCCCAGTAACCGTCGGTGATAACGGACGGGTTGTGCCGTGTCACCGTCGACCGAACCCCCCACGAAAATCAGATACAGCCTATATGGACCTTATGTATTCTCGCATATGTACGAAGGTACTCCCTACACTACACGTACGTTGTACATGTACGTACGGGTAGATACTCGGTTCGAGTCTCGAGAGGTTTCACCATGATCACTGTCGCGGTGTGCCGAACGAAGAGAGTGAGAGCCACAGAAGGCGGCCTGTGACGCCTCAAAATCCCGAGTGGCAGGCAGGCAGCTTGGATGATCGATTGCGCTGGGACGATAATATCCGTGCATTTTACCTAGGTAGGTAGTCAGTCGCCGCTCGGTCTCCCGCTTGTCAGGACTCGAGGAACTGCACGCCATCGACCATCGATTTCGGAGCGCGTCCTGTAATAGCTACTATCCGCACCCCCATCTCTTCCACTTCCACCCCCCATTATCTCATTCTCCCTCTCCCTGCCCAATTGCCCTGGGCGTAGCAACTCCATTTTCCCTTACGGAGACGGGGTGGAAGCAGGGGTCTCGGGGTGGCTCTTTGTCGACTTACAACCTATGTACACACCTAATTCCCCCACCGTTATCCAGCCCCCTCCTCCTCAAGTCCGAGTCGATGCCGCTCGATAGCGGTACGAACATGTTGCCAAGCTGCCCACAAGCCAAGCGAACCTCATCTGGCTCCTCGGGGTGTATTGCAGCTGATCCCCATTAACCACTCGTCCTCTCTCCTCTTCCTCCCTATCTCCCTCTGCGCATCTCTCCTTCACGACACCCGGCTCGCTCTCCTTCAAAACAACCAACTGCGGTCATCTTCTCCCCCATCCTCCTTTCTCAACTGACACTGACGGCACATCGTTTCGACAACGACGTCCCATCACGACCACATGGGAATATCACCGCCCTTTTCGACTGGACCTCATATATAGTTGCGACCGAGACCCACCTTCCATTCGATACGATACCACCTGGCTTGCAGTCATCTCCAGCAGCTTAACCTTCCTTCCATGTCGCATTGCTCACCGTCTTATCCCACCCGGATAGCTTATGTGCTTGAATCAACATATTCTTCGGCAAGAATACGGCGGACCTGACCCGACATAGAAGCAATCGCCACGAACCCGGCGATACTTTTCATCATTCCCTCCCCAACGAAGTACACGTATTGTTATGAACCGGGTGTATTCGACTTTGAGGAGCCGAACTTGCAATCGATCCTGCTTGGGCCCCATTTGAACCGCGACGACTAGTCTCTCTTCCCCGCTCGTCGGGCCCTCTGCGGAGGACGACGGGCGTGGACGTCGGCCTCTGCCAGATGTTGTACTCGGATCCGCCTCCGCTCCGCGACGCCGCGCAGGACAAACCTTCACTTCTCGTGTGCTGGTGGATAACGATCTTCTGCACCGTCATTATTCTGCTGCGCGTGACCGGCCGCTTCATCCGATCCGAGAAGCTCTTCCGAGAAGATCGAATCGCTTCCCTCGCCTTGATTCCCATGTATCTGCGAATGGGATGTGTGCACTTCATTCTCCACCACGGTACCAACAACGCCCAGTTGGAAGGTGTCAACCTAACGGCCCTGGCTTTGGAACGAAAGACAATCGCCAGCGGTTTGGTCCTGGCGTCTCGCATTTTCTATGCGGCAACGTATGTGGTCCCAAACTATCTTTAGCAGCACCCCCGTCCCCCGTCCCCCGTCCCCCGTTCCACTGAGAATTATGAAATCCGGAGCATCACCTCGTCAAGCCCTTTCGGCAGCGCGGCGGGAACCTCCATCTCTCGGGAGGGTCTTAGATCCATTTGCTAACGCGGTTCTTTTCCCCCTGTAACTAGACTGTGGATCTTGAAGGAAACCATTCTGGAGTACTTCAGACGACTCACGGAGAGCGCGTCGGAACGCTATGCCGCACGGGCTCACATGTTCATTCGATGTGCCCTTGGCGTGACTTTTGTCGCCATCCTCATCAGCACGCTAGCTGAATGTCAGCCGTTTCATGGCTACTGGCAGGTTCTGCCCGACCCGGGCGGTCAGTGCCGGCAAGCCTATGCTCAGCTCATCACTTTCGCCGTCTGCAACGTCCTCACCGACCTCATGCTCGTCTTCTTCCCCATCCCCATGATCCTCCAAAGTGCATTAGGAACCAAGAAGAAGGTTCAGCTTACCCTCCTTTTTTCTCTCAGCCTGGTCGTGGTTGGGATTACTCTGTTCCGGGTCCCTCACATCATCCAGGAGCACGGCAGCCAGCAAATGCGGAGCCTGCTCGCATCCGTTGAGCTCTTGTTCGCCACAACGGCCGCCAATTCCCTTGTGTTAGGCTCGTTCGTGCGAGACCGAGGCGTGAAGAAGGGAAAGTTCCGGTACGGCTCGGTGGCAGCCAACTCGATCGATCGGACCCTCACCTCGAGACGTCCCATTGCGCAGCGGCATTGGGGCAGCGACGTGGATCTGGTCAGGGACATCGGCGTAGGGCTCCATCCCGAGCTACGTCACACCCTGGAAGCGGAGCACGACGATGGCCAATTCCCCAAATTTATGCCGGCGCCGCTGGCTAAACGATTCGGCGACGACCTGAAGCATTGGCATTCGCCCCGATTCAGCAAAGGCCACGGGGAGAGCAGCGAGAGGAGCGACGACTCCCTGCTACAAAGAGAACGGTCCCTGGCCTCGCGGAGCAACTCGACGGCCACGCCTCACAGAGTTTCATTCTTTGACGTGGGGGGTCTTCTGGAAGAACAAGACCAGTCGAGCAGCTCCAAGTACAGACACGACAGTAACGTCTCCAACGTCGATCCGTTATCGCCCGCAAAGCCGGCTTCGTCATCGGGCCAACGCAGAGGATCAACGGCGGTACTCCAAGATATAAATGGGATGCTAAGTCCCACGAGCTCTTCTACGGCTCGTCAGGATCGGAAGAACCCCACCGAGATGCAACCCTTGCCCCACGGTCATCACACGAACCGCCCCGTTTACGACCAGATGTCAGCCGATGCACCCGAATTGATCGACGCCGGCGGACTGCTCAAGTGATTTTTCTTAGTATTATTTCTTTTCCGTTACGACCCAATGACACCAGCCTCCGACATACTACGCCGCCGCATTCACTCACATAACATTCACTACATACTCGGACACACCCACAAGTCCGCACACCCGCACACACCTACGGCACACACTTTGCGTACACGCATCTTTACTTAGCGTTACACGGCCATGTATCATGATGACTTGGACAACGGTTCTCTTTCGGAAAAATGGCTTTTCGGATGGAGTTTAGAGTTTAGAGCCTGTGGATTGGCGTTATCAGGTGCAGGGGATGTAAAGGAAAGGGGACACTGTTGTCCACCTAACAACGACGGGAATTTGGGACGGAGCTCTTTTTACGACATGAAGCCATTAATCACGAGACACTGATGGATATGGGCTTGGCTTTTTGAGTTTCTTTTTTGCTCCCATCTCCCCTTACGGACAACGACATTCACAGACCACCCATCTACTGCGTCGTTTGAGGATGTTTGTCATGGCACGCCCCTGGATTTTAACCCTACGTCAGTATCCTTTTTTTTTTCTTTCCCTTTTCCCCCCTGTTTGTTTTGCAAATATATACCCCTCGCGGCGCCGGAGTGGCCGCCCGTTTTGTGTTGCAACATACAGCTGGAACAGCAGGCGACGACCTTTTGTTGTCCCTTGTAATTGTCGTGGGCTTATATCTATTCTCGACATGGTCAAAAGTACAATGACTTAACTCCGTTCTTTCAATTGGTAAATGGACCGTATAGGTTGTTTTGTTTTCGACAACTTGCTCCCCTTTGCAAATGACCGGCGCGAGCCTCGGCGGTGTTTGCTCGGGAGAGATGGTTTATGGATAACTATGCCGGGCAAACTGTAAAGTCATTTTATTGCCGTGAATTTCCGACTTGGTGGTAAAAGAATGCAACGAGGATGGCCTAGCCTGATGGGCGATGGGCGTGATTCACCCCCCCCCCCCCCTTCTCATTTCCGTCAGACTGGGACTCGCTAGCGGACGCTTGGTGCTTATTGGGGTCGGCAATTAGTCTACCCGAAGGGGAAGGAGATAAGACTACGTTTGCGCCACGGGCTGGTGGTACCTTGAGCTCCGAGTGTTTATTAGACTTGTATCTGTAGTGACCAGGACGCGAATGTAGCGACAGACGACCAAATCGAATGGCTTCGCTTTCGAGCGTCAGGGCTTCATTTAGACCGGCTGCCCGAAATTCGTCTCTCGTTATCCCTGTTATAGTCTTTGGTTCACTGCGACGGCTTTGCCTTCGAGTCTCGGCGTATAATGAACAAACTCCAGGAATGATAAGTACCTCCGGCATGTTCTCCTAATAAGGTTCTCTGGTAAGTCCTGTGAGCACACTGTTCAGGGACCAGGGACTCTTAAATACAGCGAGCGACGCATTGGCAGAGGGATGACCCGGCAGGGCTATGACCAGCTTGGTATAGAGCAACGTCTTGACGGGAGATTAAAAAAATGGTATACAGCTCTTTGTCACATACCAAGAACCAAAAAATACATGGAACTTTTTCACCTTCTCCTGAACGCCAAACGCGAAAAATAAAAGAGTTAAGGCCATGCAAAACGCCACCATCTCTGTCCCTTCCGCACGCACTGCCTTTTGGGTCCTTTGAGAAGGGGGATTCCAGCTGCCCATAACAAGGAACATAGCCGGTTTTCCCCCTCCTCAAGACTCCGTGCCAACCTGTCCAAAAACCCCCCCATCCCCATTTACACGCAGAGCCGATAACTGGCATACCGACCCGCCGTCTCGGAGGTGCGAACAATCTTGACGACCTGGCCGCGCTTGAGGCCGAGATAGCGCGCGACGGGATCCTTCTGCAGGATACGGGGCAGCTGGGTCTCCTTGAGGCGGTAGCGGCGGAGGAGGGCGGCCTTCTCGTCGCGGGAGAGGACGATGTGTCTGGGGACGAGCTCGTGGTGGGTGATGTTGACGAGGAGGTCCTCCTCGAGGAAGCACTCGATGCGGGCGAAGTTCTCGACGGTCATGAGGCTCTTGCGGGCCGAGGCGGTCAGCGCGGCGTGCGTCACCATGATGCCGGCCTTGTAGTGGTTGCCGACCACGTGGGTCAGGAACTCGCGGATGCGGGCTACGCCGAGGGACTGGTCCGCGATGAACTCGACCCAGATGGGGCCGATGTCGGGGACCGGATCGGGGTTTTGCGGCGTCGGGGCGGGGGTGTGCTTTTTAAGGGTTTCGTCTGAGGGGCGGGCTGAGAATTGGAGCTTGTGGCGGCTGTGAAAGAAGAGAAAAACGAAAGAAAAAAGGTGTGAGCGTCAGCAAGTCATTCTGTTCAATGTGTGCTTGGAGGTGAAGGAAGGGAAGGGAGGTTGTAGTTGATGCGAAGGAGATATGTGGTTGGAAGTAACGGAGGGTTGAACGTACTCAAGGCTGCCATCCGCGGAGGTGAATTCTTGCTTGAAGCGCTCTAGAGGAATGTTGATTTCGGATTCGGCCAGTTCGTATCCCTGGGTGCCAGGTCCATCGTCAGTTGTTGCGCCGATACGACTGGAGGGGAGGGGGCTTTTCCAAGTTCGCAGTGACCGGACGGGCATTTGCAGGTCCTCCGACGAACAAACAGGGAGAACGTTAAGCAGAATTCGTATCGTGTGCATACCCTGTCGTGTACCAACTCGTGAACCGTCCTCCATGCTCGCCATAGACGGACCACCTCCTTATTCTGCCCTTCAGTGCCATCCATCGTCGCGGTGTTGCGCGGCCTCGCAAGGCTCTGTACTCGGGTTTAAAAAGAAAGGGCGGCACCAATGCCCGCGTTGCACTTGTCGATTGTTATGTCGACGGCGTAAATGTAGTGGTGTACGGGAGATTCGGCGCGGGACTCGACAGGACGCGGATGGGGTGGAAGGTTGCTTGTGATCTTCGATCAGCCTTGCAGGTAGAAAAAAAAATCCAAGTTCCCAAAGTGCAGGTCTGGAGCGGGTAATGGTGGAGACAAAGCTCATGTGAATTATGTAATAAATACGCCAAGCTATACATGCAGCCCTGAGAAGAAGGTTCATATCATCTGTATGGCAGGATGGCCGAGTTGGTTATGGCGCCAGGTTAAGGTCACCTTAACATATATTATCCTCTTCCTGGTGGGGCAACCCTCGTGGGTTCAAATCCCACTCCTGTCAATAAACTTTTGCAGTTTCGACTTGAGTTTATCTTTTTGTCTTTCATCCTAACTAAGGTACCGCCATGTCTCTTTTGGTGCATTGATACCTTACTTTTCTCCTCTTATTCATTGATTAAGGTATTTCACCGCGGCAAATGACAATATCGTTTCAATTACACAATCACTACACAGTAATAGGTAATTACGCAGTAGTTACTCGGTGCGGAGGACAAAGGGACACAAAGTCCCATATCCGTACTCCGTATATCTGCCCCGTGTCCTCTATTGTTTCCCGTCCTTATTCCTTGGGCGGCAACACTCAAAGTGTTTAATCCCGGCAAGAACCCCGTAGCTTAGTCACTTTCAGGGCCCTATTGGCCTAACCACAATCGGTTGAATGCCACATGTTTCGTGAATAAGGTACATAGCCCGCGTTACTCAATACAAAGTACAATTGGCAAAAAAAGAAACGCTGGGTCCAACACATTGCCCAGAGAGACCCTGGAAATTTGTCCTAAAGGCCTCAAACCTTCCGGGGCTTCTTTTATTACTTCTTTCTCTGAATCGGCTCACCCGCCCTCACCCGCTATCCTCGCCCTTTGGCTTTGTCATTGCCGCTACTCCATAAGAGCTCACCAAGGCAGCTTGCTTAACTGCGTAGTTTGCCCAATTGGCTCCGGAGAAGACTCCTTTGCCACATAACCCCTTCCCCCATCCGTCCTCTCTCCCCTTCGGCACGCTGCAGCTTCGACTCGACCGTAACCGAATACCAAACACACACCAAATATCAACATCATGGCTGACACCAAGAAGGCCGCTGCGGCCGAGTCCACCGACGCAAAGTCGGGACGTCCCGCCATGCCTGATGAGGCCGCTTACCAGCAGAAGCTCAAAGCTGCCGAGGCCGAACACAAGAAGTCCATGGACAAGTTGGTACGTTGCGATAATTCACCTGCGCCTTCTGCAATCTCCCATTCAACATGTGTCGGCGATTCGGGGCGCATCTCCTTCCTTCCCTGCATGCAGTCCCGTGTCAGCTAACCATAAGCCTCTCCCCGCCTTGTCTCTCCTGCCAGGCCGCCATCCGCGCCAAGATCGACCTCGCTATGCCTAGCAAGGACAAGGAGAAGCAGAGCCCTACCCAGAAGCGCCGCCAGGAGCTCATCGCCCAGGCCAACGAAATTCGCCAGAAGCAGGGTGCCGGGAAGAACGCCCGCGCCGGCAAGCTCGATCAGATCAAGCGGCTCGACGAACAGCTGCGCAGCCGCATCAATGAGCAAAAGATGGCGCGGTCCAAGGCCCCCTTCAAGAACATCGACGAGCTGGACCGCCAGGTCGACAGTCTGGAAGCCCAGGTCAACTCGGGCACCATGAAAATCGTCGACGAGAAAAAGGCCTTGGCCGAGATGTCCTCCCTCAAGAAGCAGCGCAAGAACTTCTCCCAGTTTGAGGAGGCCGAGAAGCAGATCGACGACCTCAAGGCCAAGATCAAGGAGATCAAGGACTCGATGGATGACCCCGAGGCCAAGGCCATGAGCGAGCAGTACTCCAAGATCCAGGCCGAGCTGGACCAGATCAAGGCCGAGTCGGACGAGGCCTACAAGAACCTGTCGGCGCTGCGCGACGAGCGCACCCGGCTCCAGGCCGAGCAGCAGGAGAAATACCAAGCGATCCGCCAGATCAAGGACGAGTACTGGCAGCAGAAGAAGGCCGCGCAGGCCCACGAGCGCGAGGCCCGCGACAAGGCCCGCGAGCGCCGCAAGGCCGAGCAGGAGCGCTACGTCCTCGAGCGCAAGAAGGCCGAGGCCGAGAGGCTGCTCGCCGAGGCCAGCGAGCCCGCCTACCTCGACGAGATCCGCCGCGCCAACAGCCTGCTCCTGTTCCTCGACCCCTCGGCGGTCAAGACCGAGAAGGCCCCCCTGCTGGCGAACCGCGGCCTGGGCGCCCAGCCGGAGCGCAAGGTCGACGATGCCAACATCCAGGGCACCAAGCTTCCCAGCAAGAAGGACCGCGAGGACGAGTACCTTCCCGCCGTCAAGAAGGGGAAGAAGGGCAAGAAGGGTGGTGCCGCCGCCGCCACCGCCGCCGCCACCGCCTCGTCTGGCTCTGACAGCGGGAAGTTCAACTGCCCGCCCTCGGTCGTGGAGGACTGTGCGTTTATGGGCATCGACCCGCCCATGAGTGCTGCCGATGTCTCGCCCGTGGCTGAGAAGGTCAAGGCCAAGCTCGCTCACTGGCAGGAGGACCAGGCTGCTGAAACTCAACGCGTAAGCTATCCATTCCGTCTCTTTTCTCTTGTCCTTCGTGTCTCTTCTTGTTTTCCTTCCATTCTTGTTCTCAGTAGTAAGCTAATCTCGTCATCTCTCACCCCAAACAGAACATCGAAAAGGCCAAGAAGAAGATCGAACAGCTCGAGGCCGAAGAGGCGAAAGCGAATGCCGCCAACGGCACCGACGACACCAAGGACGTCAAGGAAGTCAACGGAAACGATGACAAGGCCGTCGAGGAGGTGACCAAGGATCTGAAGGAGACCACCGTCGAGGAGGGCGAGAAGGCATAGATGGCTCCCTTCGACAACGACCATCTCCCACCAATTATCTCATATCGGCGGACGGTTTCCTAGACACTCCGCCCAATCCATTTTTTTATGAAGCCTTGTTGTTGCGAGGGAGGAAGCGAAAAAGTGTGATGGGGTGCGGGTTTTTTTTTTTTTTTTTTTTTCTTTTTTCACAATAGAAAGAAAGGGAAGAGGGAGGGGAAAGAATATTTAGCATCACACAGACCTTTCGGCATGCCGGACGACGGAGGTATAAAAAATTAAGAAACCCTGTGGAGATGGTGGTTTGCATAGACCAGAGGAAGTATAATGGGCCATTCCCTCCTTTTCTTTACTGCCTTGTCTTTTCTTCTGTTTACTTACACAGCCTGCACGTTATCGTGTTCCCGCCTGTTATATGTCTGACGGGCGCACCTAGACGTCAGGGTGATGAACGGCAAAAGGAGAGCAGCACAACGAAAGGGGGGTTTCTGTATACCTTAGAGAAGGGAGTAGGTAGTGTTATGAGGGAAAGGAGTAGCTGGGGATGATGATGATGATGACCCCTGATTTCTTTTTCCCTTTGTCTTCTCTTCTTACTCCTTTGCATCCTTGTTCTTCTCTCTCGTCGTTGATGATAGCGAAACGAACTTGACCTTTACCAACCGTGCCACACCCTTTTATTGCTCATCCGACTCTGAGGTCCTCTTCATCCAGATGGAACATCTGCTCATTAATCTACAGACTCGCCTTGACCCCGGTCCAGCGCGTCCAGCGGATTGGGCATCGACTTTCCCGGTCAGGCATGTCTGCCGCTTGCAGTTGGGAGGAGATATTAGCTTGCATATCGCGGGGAATCTGGCCATGGGGAGGGGGAGATGGATCATTAAGTGGTCTCCCGCACGCCGTGACGCGCTCTCCGCCGTTAAGACTGCGGGGAAGGACGTGCTATGCCAAACCCCATGACTACGCCGTTTGCGCTTCTGCAATAATCAAGACTGCATAACCTAAGTCAAGTGGGTTTAGCCAAGCTTCTGCCCTGTTTACGCTTTACGAGTGGTCGAGCATAAGCCAAAAAAGCAAGAGCCTGCTGACTGACACTGACCTAGCCATGGAGCTTTTGAGAGCAAGGTTGAAGGGAAAACCAAGCTATTTACATATTTTCGACTGTTTTTTAAACTATTTAGTATTGTCGTATATATTTCACAAACTTTGCCACCAGTTAATCCTTAAATAGAATGACTCCGCCTTGCGTGTCATGCTGGGGCTTGAGATTAGAGGGTCTGTCGCCATGTGTGATTCTGGTGGTTTGCCAGGTCTCAGGTGTCTCTCCCTGCCGGAATATGCCTACCCCGTCAATTCGGCGATATCGCGTTTCTGCATCTATTGCGCGACGTCATGTGTCCCTCGGAAATGATGAGAAATAAGAGCCAAGAAGGAAGAATAATGGCTTTACAGAGAGCCATTACAATTCGCTATGCGAATGCCCGGCGCCGTCTTCATGATGCCTATATCATGCCGTTCGTATAATTTCGTAAGGGTCATCACAGACAAAGGAAAAAGAAGAAAAGAAGAAGAAGAAGAACAAGAAGAACAAGAAAAAAGAAAAGCTCTTATATGAGCGTTGCCATGTCCAGATCGTGGCCTGGATAACCGTGGTCCAGTGGGTATCTCGGACGTATTTCAACATGTTAAAAACGTAATCAGGGGCCCCATGGAGCTGGATAATACGATGTTGGGGGAGGCGGCCTGTGGGATGCCCTTCTTTCCCTCGGAGCCGGCGTTCTCCTGTCTCTGTCTCCTCGGGCTTCTATTGGGGCCGGCGTTCTCCTGTCTGCTCGGGCTTCTATTGGTGCTGGTGACCTCCGTGGCAAGGGGGGCTCCCGTTCTTGAAGGCTTCCGGCGGATAGGTTGGGGGGCGCGCCGATACCGCCCGATCTGCGGGACGCTTTCCTGGATCCGTTGAGGGCACTCAGGGGCGGGTCCTTTACAGCCGCCTCATCATCGGACGGTAATGTCAACTCGACCAAGCTGTAGAAATATTCCAGCACCTCGGGGTACCGTTGTACGCTGCACTGCCAGTCTTCATCGATACCACGCTTCAGCGTGGCCTGAGCGGCGGCAATCTCGTTGGGATGCGGTGGGGAATGGTAATAGTGATACGCATGGGCGGATATGCGGTCAAGGTGCGCCATGTGAGCAGCCTTTCGACGCTCTGTGAGGAGGCGGAAGTATTCGAGGATGTAGTCCTGCGCATGTGCCCTAACCCAAGCGCTGTTCGCGAAGAAGCCACCACCGGTCAGTACGTCTGGTACAAGGTAGAAAACCATGTCTGCGGCAACTCTGGGGGAGGACAAACCGGATATCGTTGTAGATGGACTGCATCATCCGATGCTCGGCCTGTTTGATAGCCACTTCGAGGCCTTTAGCCTCACAATCACAGGCCATAGTGGCCGGTGCGTGGCAGATGGCGCAGTCAGGGTCCATCCTCACGACTGTCTTCCGCGGGATATGGTCTCTGGTATACATCTTAGCCATGGCTAATGGAGGAGGTGGGATACCGAGAACGAGACGAGACGAGACGAGGTGAGACGAGGTGAGACCAGGGCAGGCAGGCCGTGCGAGAACACAAAAGAGTGGGGAGTGAGTGAGATATAGATAGTATACAAGAAAGAAGCTCAAAGTGGTTCCAATACAAATACAATGGACATCTTTCCGTGTGTGAAGACCCCAGCCTAGGGTCTCCTCCTAGTACGAAGGTTTGGGGATTTTGGGTATAGAGAGGGGAACTGGCTTTGGTAGGGCAGAAAGGGAGGAGAGGGGGGAGGGAGAAGAGGGGAGAAGGATATAGGGAAGTTGAACTCACCTGGAGGTATTTGAGTATGCTTGTCAGCGACGGGCAGCGACAGCCAGACGACGGCGAGTGGTGGACAGCAGGGCCAGAGTGTCGAGTGCCAAAGGAGGAGTGCGTAGGCGTGGTCTGTAGTGCGTAGTGCGTAGTGCGCAGTGCGTAGCTAGTCCCAGCAGAAGAAGCTATGTATCCTGCAAGGTCAAAGCAGGAGGCGATGAGAGGTAAGCTGCGGAAAGCAATGAGCAAAAGCAGCGAGCGAGTCGAGTCGTCCAGTTGAAAAGCGACGTGCGCAAGTGAGCAAGTGAGCGAGCGAACGAGGGACGAGAGCGTGGTGTATCTTGGTATGTGCCGATATGTTTTGGGGGGGACGATTGAGAGGGAGGAAGCTAACCCACGTCTCGTGGGGAGAGACAGCTGGACAGGACAAGCGTCGTTCAATGGGAATGGGGAAAGAGTAGGAAAGACTCGGTGCGGGCGGAAAAAGGGGGTGGGAAACGTGGGGAGAGGGGGACAACAGATTGATCTGCGAAGCGAAACGAAACGGGTGCCGGATTCAGGAAGGGTCGAGAGCGCAGGCCAGTGGACGAGGGCTCGCAGAAGACGCAGTACGTTGTACAGTAGGACCAACCAGTATGGATGTCGTGGCTCGAATGGCTAACTGGTGGTTGCATGCAAGATGCGAAGCAATGGTCCAATCGAGGTGGCGTCGGTGGTGCAGAAAAAGAAGAGCCGTGGCCCCAAAGCTGGTCGATAGAGGAGAGGCCCCAATAGGACACTTATGATGAGGGGTGGTGGTACGGCGCAGTAGTTTAAGAGCAACTGTCTTGTCTGTCACTGTGCGGCTAGTAAATATACGACCAAAGTTGAGTCTTGTATTTGGGGGTGTTTGTGGGGGGTTGGAAGGTTAGGAGGTTGGGGGTCGGGGTGTCGGGGGTGTCGGGGGTTCAAGGACCGGACGTGATGAAGGAAGGCAAATAGTCGTAGTCGCGTGGGGAAAAGTGGTGAGCCGTCTGTTCGTCTGTGTCTCCTCGTCTTGTCGGTCTCTTTCTGGGTGCGAATGTGCGAATGTGCGAATGTGCGAGTGTGCGTGTTGTGGGTTTCGTTGTGGGTTTCGTTGTGTGTTGTCCGTCCCGCTCGTTGCCCGCACTTAACGGGATTTGGGAATTGGGCCTCAAGGCGGTCTGCAACTCTTGCATAAGCTGGCCGATGTGCAGCTCAAGGGGAGACGCTTGGCCTATGAACTTGGTCAATTAGAGGTCATGAGCCAGTTGAGGCAGGTCTGTCGTCTCTCTTTTACTTGGTTCGGGTTGGTAATAATACCAGCCACCGACCTCGGTTCTTCTGCAGCTGCAGGTCTGGACGTCTGAACCCCCCCGAAAACAATGGGTCATGGTCTTGTCTTGTCTTGTCTTGTCTTGTCTTCCCCAGAGCCGGTCTGGGTGATTGCGTTGGCTCGACCAACTGGAACTGTACCAGCGTTGAACCAGACCGGTCACCATTATATCGACATGACATTCCCCTCGAGATGCCGTATAGTTATTTTATTCATACTTGGACCGTAGCCCGCGTCTTCGTCGTCAACGCTCGTCCTTGTTTGCGAAACACATGGACGTCGGTCGTGTTGGAGTCGGAGTCGGAGTCGGCTGCGACTGCGACTGCGACTGCGGCAGGTCATAGCTTTCTCGACGACACTCTCGCATATTTAAGCTCTCTTTGCTGCCCGAGTAATACGGAGCATTACTCGGTATGGAGCACAGGCAGCCATGACGTTCGTCGATAGGGCAGACGACATGCGGCATGGGGGTGACGTGATCTGGGGAAGAAGTTGACCACTTCCATGTTGAAAAGAAGGCAAGTCCATCTGCGGAGTACCTTTAATGTTGTACTGCCAGGGTGTACATTCATATATAAATACAAAATCACGAGATCACGGGAACAAACCGTTGTCGGATTTTGAGGGCAGCTGCCTTGTGTTGTCGCCCTCCCATCGCTCCTTCTCTCCTTCAGAAATGCCTCGAAAGGGGAAAGGGGAACCCGAGCCAAGCCAAAACGGGCACTTGCAGAGAAGTCCATCTGGCTTACATAAGGTGAGATTCGCTGAGCTTATCTTATCTATCGAGTACCCACGAACCTTTCCAAACTTTTGGTGCATCCAAGAAGACGAGGAACTTTCAGCCGCATTCATGTTCGCCTCTTTAAAGGCAAGCACTTCACTTACATTTCTCTTCAGACCTAACGCCTTCCCACAATCCCGGAGCCACCATGGCTCCTAGGTGCTCAGGTGGTCATTCCCTATTTCTACCATTCCTTTATCCTCCCTTCTTCCTCGCCAGGACCCATGTCCTCCTCCCTCAAGCCGCAGCCGAATCCGTCCTCAGAACCCCTTCGCGCCGTCACAGCTCGACTCATGTCGCTCAGGAACCGATATCAACTCGCCTTAATCCCGGCCCCGACGACTATGCGGCTCCCAGCTTTGCCGACAAGGCCCAGCTGACCTTATATGCCGGCGGCGGCGGGAACGGCTGCATCTCCTTCCTGCGAGACCTCTTCCTACCCGAAGGCCCTCCGAACGGCGGCGACGGTGGCCATGGTGGGAACATCTACATCCAAGCCGTACACGGCGAGACGTCGCTCCACAAGCTCGCCCGTCGACGCTTCGTCAGGGCTGACAGGGGGAAAAACGGCCAGGGCAGTGCCAAGTCCGGTCAACGCGGCGAGGACGTCATCATCACCGTCCCCGTCGGTACCGTGCTTCGCGAGCTGAGCCGGGTGGACCCCGTCGCCGAGAATGCCATGCGCCAGCGCGCCGCCTGGTTCGAGAAAAAAATGTGGAAGGCCAGGAAGCGAGAGCGCGATGCCGAGGCGGCTCGCAGGGAACTCGAAAACCCCGATGCCGAAGATGACGACCACATCACGCCCGAGACCATACGCCAGCTCAAAGAAGCAGAGGAGGAGGATGACCCGGAGCCCGATGACCCCAACCGCGACAAGTGGCTCGTCTACCCGGGAGCCTCCAAAACCGAAGTCAGGAACATCTCGTTCCCCCGCCTGCGCCGCCGCGAACGTCTCTTCCGCCAACCTCCCGCGCCTTTACACCTCGACCTCTCCCGCCCGACCCCGACGCCCATCCTCCTCGCCGCGGGGGGCATCGGCGGTCTCGGCAACCCGCACTTCGTCTCTCGCGAGCACCCGCGTCCCATCTTCGCCACCAAGGGCGAACGCGCCGTGTCTCTCGAGATCGAGCTCGAGCTCAAGCTCCTCGCCGACGTCGGCCTCGTCGGCCTCCCCAACGCCGGCAAGAGCACCCTCCTCCGCGCCCTGACCAACTCCCGGGCCCGCGTCGGCTCCTGGGCCTTCACCACCCTGCAACCCAACATCGGCACCGTCGTCCTCGACTCCTACAAGGGCCGCCCCGTCGTCCGCTCCTACAGGCGCTACCCCTCCGCCGTCTCGTCCTCCTCCTCGGAGGTCCAGGACGACCAGACCCCCGAGCACCGCACCCGCTTCACCGTCGCCGACATCCCCGGTCTCATCGAGGGCGCCCACCTCGACAAGGGCCTGGGCATCGCCTTCCTCCGTCACGTCGAGCGCGCCGGCGTCCTGGCTTTCGTCATCGACCTCTCCGCCGGTGACGCCGTCGCCGCCCTCAAGGCCCTCTGGCGCGAGGTCGGCCTCTACGCCCAGATGCGCGAAGACGAGGACCGCGTCCGCGCCGCCGAGGCCAGCATCGACTGGGACCTGGATACCAGTGGTGACCGCGACAACAACGCCCATGCCGATTTGGCCCGTGATGACGGCCCTGACATGCTCGTTTACGGCGCCCCTCCTGCCCCCGAGCGCGTCTCGGGCCTCCACATCGCCGGAAAACCGTGGTTCGTCGTCGCCACCAAGGGCGACCTCCCCGATACCCAGGAGAACTTCCGCGCCCTGCAGGCCTACCTGGAAGACGTTGGTAAGGGTGCCGAGCCGCACCCGAGCGGCATCGAGGACGCGTGGATCAAGCGTTGCACCGCCATTCCCGTGAGTGCCATCAACGGCCATGGCGTCGACCGCATCGTCCACTGGACTGTTGGATTATTGGACGACTAGGCGCCGTTGTCTGAACTCCGGACCTTTTGATCTGTAAATCACACCTGTATTTATACGATGCCTTGTATATTTTACCCACATTTTCGTTCCAGTATAGAAAAGCAGTAATATAGAAGAAGTTATGATTCACGCGTAACAGCGATGATTTTCTATTCTTTTATTCTTTTTTTATTCTTCTTCTTCCCCCAACTGGTAGTGTACATCTAAATCATCTAGCTTGCCATGCAGCTCGAACCGAACACGTCGCCTGTCCAAGCTCCAGCTCGATGGCCATGTTTGAGCGACGCACTGAGATTGCCACGCCACTTCGCGCTATATCCAGCCTAGGCAAATTCCACCATCTTCCCCTCGCTCCATCTAATCACTGACCATCCCTTCAGGGGTCGGCGCATCCTCGACATCATCAAGCATCGCGGGATCCTCGGCAGCCGTGGTTCCGCCATTCTCCTGCTGCGCGTCATTTGACGCGGCCTTCTCTCCGTTCTCCCCAGCTCGTCTCTCCTTCTCATGCTGGTCAATCTTGGCCTGTTTCTCCTTCTGGAGTGCCCGGTTGATCAGGGGCGTGGTGTCGTTGAAGATGCGGAGCAGCATCGCGGCGCGCTCCTCCTTCGGCAGCATGAGGTTGAGCGAATGGACGCTCTTCCAGAGCGGGAGCGCCATACGCTCCATGAAGCTCTCCTCGGTGCCGTCGGGCTCTAACCGGAGCACGAGGCAGCCCATGCCGATGTCGCGCACCCGTTCTCCGATCTCCCCCAGCTGCTCCCACGCGCCGTCCGCGATCTTGGGGAACATTTCGATGAGGAGCTTCCGGAGCGTCTCCCTCTTGCGGAGCCGCACGACGCGGTTCTCGCCCACGTACCCTTCGATGATGGGCATGCCCTCGGACTGGATCCGCCACCGGCAGACGTCCGCCGAGGGGGCGTCCTGCTTCATGAACATCTTGACCCCGCCGTGGACGACCTTCACGCCGCGGCCTTCGTTCTCTACCAAGACGTCCTTCACCAGCTGCGACGTGTAGTAAATGGCCTTGGTGGGGTCGCCGGCCGCATTCCGGACCATGAAGCGGTCCTGGGGGAACCGAGCGGAGAGGGAGTAGAAGCTTTTGATGTTTTGCAACACCTCGTGGTCCGGACTCAGGTACTTGAACGGCTCTTCGAATTGGCCGTGCTGATTCCGGCCGGGTCTCGCTTGCGGCTGAGGCTTTGCCTCGCTCTGTTCCGATCCGTTTTCCAACCTGGGTTTCTTCGGCTCTTGCGATTCGAGCTGGGCGGGCTCTTCGCTCCTTGGTCGTTTCGATCCGTGCGGTGGCGTCGGTTCCTGTTCTCCATCTCCATTTTCATCCACCCTTGGTTCACCGGCGCCGGTTTCTGACTCGGAGGCGGCCGCTGGCGCTTGCGCGGCGGTGTCGGGCGTCTCGGCTACGTCGCTGGGCTTGTCCGTCGCCGGGGAGTCCCTGCTTCCATCCGGTTGGGCGGTACTAGCGGACTTGGGTTCGTCAGGACGAATCTTGACTTCTTCCTTTTTGTGCAAGACAGTGATGAAGAAGCCGCCAGTGTTCTGCAGGTGAGCGTAGACCCGCATGCACCGTTCGAGGGGCAAATCGGCACCAGCGCTACCCTCGGGCGGAGGGAACATGGTCTCCAATAGTTTGCCCGGCATATTCGTGCGCTCTCCGGACTGGAGGAACTCGTTGACTTCCTGCATCGAATTCCAGATCCGGCTGGATCTGTCCATGACATTCCATGACTTGAGTCCCGGTCTCCGTTTCAAACCAGGGAGTTCATTACTACAGTCCACGATTTCGACCTTCTCCGGCCCTCCGCACTTGGCAATGGCGGCGGCCACGATGGCTTCGTTCTCAACAGGGTTCATGCTGCAGGTCGAGTAGACAACACGGCCTCCCGGTTTGAGCATAGACAGAGCGCGGACAAGGATTCGGATCTGCGTGGTGTGTAGGCCCAAGGCGCTATTGGGGTTCCAGTCATTCCAGAGGTTGATGTTCTTGCGCAGAGTTCCGTCTCCGGAGCAAGGCACGTCTGCGAGGATGCGGTCGAACTTGATGTACCTTGGCCTGTCCGGTTTCCCGGGCTCTGAAGGAAGCCTGATCGAAGGATACATGGTCGCATCGTGATTGGTCACAATCATGTTGGGGGAGGACAGCCGCTTGAGCTGGTGAACGAGCATGTGACACCTCTTGTAGTCGGCATCATTCGCAATCAGTAGACCCGTAGCACGGCCGTCGTCGGCGGAGTCGACGTCCTCATCTATCTCAAGCTCCTCTTCGGTCTGCACACCGAGGTCGAGGCCGTCCTCCTTGGCGAAAGCGCGCAGGAATTTCCTGATACGAGCCTCCTCGCCCTGGTGGATCATCTCGAGAAGCTGAGTGGCCTTGCTTCCGGGGCTCGCGCACATGTCCAGGACGGTCATGCCCGGGCGAACGTCCATGACCAGGGGCGGGATCATACTGACAACCTCCTGCCTCGAGATGTTGCCAATGCTCGTCTCGGAAACGAGGAACTTCTGGAAGGCGGCGAAGGGCGCAAACTTGCGCACGACGTTTTTCGGGGTGGTCATGTCCCAGGCAAGGTCGTTGGGGTACCAGGGTACGGGCTGAGGAGGCTCGACTTTCCGGCCGTCGGCGTGTTCGATCTTGACGATTTCGGGCATGTACCTCTCCTTCAGCAGATTCCTGACGGCTATGGCGTGACTGTATTGTGCGCCTCGTGTGTCAGCAAAGAGTGCCCCCTCAAGAATATCAGTGTTATCGCAAAATATGCCTCACGCACCTCTTCGATCCCGCGAACCGAAAGCTATTAGGAAGCTCCCTCCGCAGGGCATCCCAAAACTGCGCCTTCTCTTCATCGGGGAGTTGGAGAAGGTTGTCGTAGTATTTCTGCAGTTTCTCATGAACCTTTTCGATCTCCGCGTGTGATTTCCAGCTCTCCGACCGATGTCCGGTATGGCGCGACTGGTTCTTGTTCTGCAATTGGTGTTAGGAGGAGTGGCATTGAAAATTGGTGCCAGTCAATGCGACGGCGCGACGGACGTACAAAATGTCTCTTCCTTCCGCGACCCATGTTGACTTTGACTATGAGTTATGCTTGCTGTGTGTTAAATAACTGGAACCGGCTTTCGAGGAGGTCTGGGCGACGTCCACGGTGCGGGTTTTGGTTATATCGCGTAAGATGACCACAATCGCAACAAGCTTGCAAGCAGTTACTTTGTAGTGGATGGAGGGGAGAAAAAGCAGTTGGAAGGTTTTGAGATACCAATTGGAAAGGTGGTCCTGGGGTCCAGCCCCGCCATTTCCTTAATCGGGTGGTGGGGCTGTGCCGCGTGGAAGGCCGATTACCTAAGCCAGCACCCAATTTTGCATGGGACGGATTGGGGATTCTATCCGGTTCATATGGACCAGCATTATGTAATCATATCTGCCTCGTATTAGGTAAGGTAGGTAGGTACTTTTAACCGGGTAGAACCCTTTGGTCACTCGCCCGTCGACGTGCGGACGAACCACTCCGTACGGAGTACCTCTCCCAATACGGTACTAACACGAACCTACCTCCCCATAATATCAGATTCGAAGACTCCGCGGTCCAGACACAGCGCTTCTTGTTGTTGAGTTTTTCGGTGACCTGAGATATTGCTATTGCGTGTAGAGACTTATGCGCTGCAAGAGGAACTTTTCTCTTTCTCAAGCCTGAACCCGCTCTGTTGTCACACAGCACATGTCTAGGACCAGTCAGAAAGAGGATGAAACCCTGGCGACAGCAGATATCGCAGATGGACCGCTGGCACGTCTGAGATGACATTCTTGGTGTTGTTGGCGTCCAATGGTTAGTCAGGTCCTGCCGATAAGAGACTAATTCTGGTATTTGAGGGAGGGGGTGGGGAAGGCGCAGGTAAGTCAATCGAACATTGCTTGCCGCTGTTCAAAGCCTGGGAGGCCGTCGCATTTGTAATCGTTAGGTCAGCTTGGGGCATGCAACCACCTCAAATGCCACAGACGGGGCATTCATTTTTGAATGTTTTGTCTGACAGGAGCAGGGGCCGAGGGGTCGGGAAATTGGAGAATGTTAACTGCACCATGTGCAGAATCAGATTACACAGAAGAAGAAAAAGTTGACTCTAAACTGTTGAAGAGGCCAGAACCGATCTAACAGCAATTTCTCCTGCTTCGACGAAGGTAAAACTGGGGGCTAAAATGGAAAGGGTTGAGCTATTGGCTTACATGTCCCGAGCCGGTAGCGGCTCGGGCCTTTTAAGTCTCGGAGAGGAGTAAACTAGTATCGATTATTTGTATGAGTGAACATGGACTGGGTCGCTGGCTGGAGAGAGATTGGCCGTGACCAAGTTGAATGGGTTGAAGGTCAGTGAACAGGCCATCATCAATGTATCCATATCAAAAGATGAATGATAACCCAATGGCGGCCATATCAGCCCTATATACAGACAACTTCACTTCTTCTTCTTCTTTCGTGTTGTTTTCCCTTGATTATTTTTATATGCCAAAGATGTGGGCGTGTAGGTAGATATACGGCACATGGTCGCCCACGTTATTCTCAGCGTGGCAGATGATCATAGCCACACCCATGGTAGGTCGAAGGGGACTACAACGACATACGAGGTAATGAATGATTACGGGTTATTTCGGAGGACTGAAGCCACCAACTAGCAGCCAGGCCGCTATTCAGAACATTGCGATCCGGGTGATGACCGGTGGGCAGAAACGGAAACTCTCGATGCCGTTCATCTTCATCATTTCTATGGAGGACTTGGTAGGTATAAGTCTGATCCTCATCGACCATCGGTCTTTTTAGCAAGAAAAAAAAAAAACGGACAAGGATGGGATAGTGCCAAGGCGACGCTGAAGCGTCGTAAAATTACAAGATGCATCCATGTGCTGCAGAAGCCTTATCTACCATGCTTAATTTAGGGCTGACGTGAGAATGCTCTTTCCCCGTCTCATGGCAGCGGTCATGTTTGAGTGAAGAGCACTGGTCTTGTATCAAACCCTGGCCAGCCGTTGGTTTTGATTGCCTCCCTGTCGTTAATCACTACCTTAATTACAGAGTACCGCGTACAACGTACGGATGCTCAAACACGCTATGGGCAGCAACATGGGGCGATTGCCGAATCAGGTCATCAAAGCTCCCCTCTTTGGGTTAGCGAAACGCTAAGCAATTAGGCTATCTTTTAAGGTACTTTTTATAGGAATGCGGGCCACATGGCATCGAACGGGGCCCAGTTGCACCGCCGCGTCTATTATGTACGAATACCTCACATGTGTGAAGACCAACTAGCTTGGGTACGAACAACGCACACAAGTTAAGCGGCTACCTAAGGTAGCGATCGCCACACTTGGTCATAGACCGCGCTAGGTATCGGCTGGGCTGCAAAAGAGCAAAAGAGCAAAAGTGCAAAAGGTGGTCGTTGCTGATGCGGCGATCCTACCCAATTATGTCCTCCGTGTCTCAAAAATGCACAGTAGCCATATGTATGCATCTTTTATGACCCCGTCAGATTTAGCTGCGTCAACGATTCAAAATAGGAGTCCACTGCTCTAGAAACCACCAATCACCACTGTGGCTTGACATTTTACTCATCCAAGCCCTTGTCATTTCTATTCTTGTACACAAGTCCAGAAGCCTTGGTCAGCGATTGCACAACGAACTAGACCCTCACAGAACAGGGATGTGGAGAAAGTCGGGGACTGAACTCGGAGGGTGCCGGCCCAATAAAATTCAATGCATCCAGTTAGCCAAATTCTCCCTCTCCACGATATCCCCGAGAGCCTCTCCCTGCTAGTGATCCCTCCATGGATCGCGGCCTCCTCCACAATGTTGGTGGTCATCGAGAGAAGGAAAAACAGAACAGAACGTTACCGTAGTATGCTATATTCTAATGAAACGACCTGGAGGATGATAACATGGAAAGAAGAAAAGGTTTTTTTTTTTGAACCAAGCACGATAAGGCACATTCTCTCCTCAACAGCCTGGTGAGATGCTGAGCTTGCATTGCATGCATTCGGGGCTTACCACCAAGACACTCGCCAAGGTTCACTACTGCAGCCCAAACCACGGAACAGGGGCCACGGGGGATTAACTGACCAGCTCCTTACCAAGCTGTCGTCTGGCCGGGGCATCGTCTCTTGGTTCACGGTAGTTTCACCCGCGATCCCGCAGGCCTCATCCCCGTCTACTTCATGGTGGTCCCCGCGATGGCCTTGCAACTCGCCAGAAAATGGGTGGGGAGGAGACAGGGGAGAGGGATGCCTCTGGGCTTTATAACTCGGCTCGTCCCTCCGACCAAAGTTCCTCGACATCTCGTGTACGGAATCGTCAATCCATCTTTACTCTCGCCTCAACAGACCTGGCAGGCCCCGGAATCCGAGTGTTCAAGAGGCCAGACGACGTAAGAACGAACAGACAGACACCATGGCCGTAGTCGAGGAAGACATCCACGACCCGGTTCCGGAGAAGCTTAGGCTCCTCAAGAGCCCGGTCAAGGGGGATGAGAGCAACAACATCGATGCTGCCGTCGGTCATCTGGGTTATCGCTCCGACCCTGACGATGAGCCTATCTTGATGCGAAATTCCGACTCGACGAATCTCGAAGTCTTCTATGACCTTTTCCTCGCTGTATGTTGCCTTGGCCTTGGGTATAGTTGTTGGCTTTGAACCACCGAGGGCCCCCCCACCCCCCCCTTCTTCTTTTCGCTACCGAAGAGCAGCGTGCTAACTCGAGCGTTCAAAACAGGCCGTAAGAGCATCTCCACCCTAACAGAGGGACGCATTTCGAAATACTAACCTCGTTTGTGCATACCAGTGTTTGAGTTTGTTCAACCAGAACCAAATGGTCGCGAGTCTAAGTGGTCTTTCCTCCTACGTCGGTTTCTTCTGGTGAGCCTAAACATCCTTGCCCCTGCCTCTCGGCTGATGGCGATGGAAAGGGAGGACCTCTGCTCACCCCGACCGCTAGCCTTCTTTGGATAACATGGTTCCTCACTGGCATGTACGATGTTCGATTCGTCACCGACTGCATCTTTGAGCGCGCCGCCCGCGCCGTGCATCTTGGTGTCTTGGTCGGCTTTACCGTCACCTCGCCCAATTTCGACCCCAACGACCAGCAGCCAGTTGTCTTCAGAACATTCTGTATGCAGACGAGCCCAACACCGTGAAGATTGCGTGATCTTACTAGGAGGTCGGATAACTGACGCTCTCTCCCGTACAGCTCTCATCCTTATGGTTTCGCGACTTTGCCTCGCCGTGGAGTACGCCAGCATCATCTTACATGTCCGACAGTACAAGCGCTCCATCCTTCCTCTTGCCGCCATGGTCGGCCTGAACTTCGCTGCCGCTATGGTGTACCTCGGCATTACGTTCCGCTTCACCGGCGGTAGCAGCCGCGTGTTTTACACCTGGTATGCTCTCGGCGCGGCTGAGGTGCTGCTGAACCTCGGGCTTTCCATCCGCTTCAAGGTCCTGAGCTTCCAGAGCACTCATCTGATCCGCAGAGCCAGTCTCTTGACTCTTATCATCTTTGGCGAGGGCGTTGCCGTTGCTTGCGGTGCCATCACCAAGATTGTTAGCGTCGGTCACGATGAGTGGAGTAAGTGGCCGAGTTCCCCTTTTGTTCTCTTGCGCATTCGCTGACATCGAGTCCTATTTAGCTGGCGGAACCATCGGCGTCGTAGCCGCCAACGTCGCCGCCGTGTACATCGTTTTCATGGTCTACTTCGACTGGATGCGTCACCTGCATCTTCCCGTTTGGCGTCAGCTCGCATGGACGATTCTCCATTTCCCTCTCCACTTGACCATGACTCTCTTTATGGAAGGCGCTGCCCAACTCATTATCTTCTATAAAGGAGCCGAAAACAGCGCCCTGGTGGCTAACAAGTTTATGTCTGTGCTTACCGAAATTGAGTCGTTAGACCAGGTTCACGACGTACTGTACAATTTCACCATGGAAATGGTGGAAAGGTACGAACCCAAGTATACCTTCCAGTACACCGACATCGAGAATGCTCTTAATGGTATTGCCGAAATCGACTGGTCATCCGCCGAGGAAGAGCTCGGCCCTGATCCCACGGAAGACGAGGCTTGGCAGCACGTAGCATTCCAGCAGTTCTTCTTTCACGCTGTGAACATCTTGTTGACCTTGGACAATGTCGTCTACAATGCCTACGGAGTCGATTTTGTTGCAGCCCAGGCCGAGGAAGCGGCGCTGCCCACGGATCCCACAGAACAGGATAACCAGAACTTCCTCGTCGGTGTGAGCGAACGCAACTTCGTCCGGTTCCGCACTCTCTTCCAGTACACCTTCGTCAGCGCCGGCAGCTTCCTCGGTCTCGCCAACCTTCTGTACTGCATCTCGCGCATCGAGAAATGGAACCGCTGGGCCATCATCCGCACCAGCATCAATTTCCTCATCGCCCTCGGCATCGCCCTCGTCACCCTCGTGTCCCAGAACTTCACCCACCTGGAGAATTACCGGTCGACGCCCTATATCCTGCCGACGCTCTTGTTCGCCTACCTCATCGTCATCACCATGAACCACCTGCGGGGCCTGCAACCCATCTTTGGCTTCCCCCAGTTCAGCTTCCTCGCCAAGAAGAAAAGCCACGATACCGAGTACGTCCAGCAGCAGACCGAACTCATGACTACCAAGTACGACCCTGGCGAGCAGAACGATCCCGCCGCCGCCGCGTATCAATATCCGTCTCAACAGTATGCGCCATCGACAGATTCCGCGCCGGGACGCACCCCAGCCGGTCAGCAGCAAGGGCCGCAGGGTCAGTTTTACGAATACTCCGGCGAGGTGGGATATCGTCCTGTGTAAGCCTCACGGGGGACTGTTTTGGCTCTCAAACCGAACCCGTCTGCGCCCCGCAGATCTGGGTATCGTGATGGTCGATTTAAAGTAGTTTGAACTGGTCTGGGGATATGCGTAAAATTGTAGGAACAAGCGAAAACTAGAGTTTGTGCTTTTCGGGTACGGCTTCGGACACAAGGAAACATCCTTTGGCTAGCGAGCGGGTTTGGGTTTATTTGTTCAATTGTCTGCGTTTTGCACAAAAATATACCACAGAATTACCCTACTTGGAACAGCCCATGTTGTAAACACGAAATTATGTGGGATTGCCGGTGTCTGAGCATCGGGCACACTCTCGACGGACGTCTGTCGAGTACCCACCGTAATTGACTCATATTCTTCTGCGAGGAAACACGGCCGACGATGTCAACAAAACCGAGCCACTCCAAGACGAAAGAAAAGTCGAGAGGTAAGTCAGGAAGTATTCCAGGGACTGCATAAGGTAGGTAGTCATGTCTGCAGAGGAAGTGTGTTGCTGACTTTCAACTTACCTTAAGGTATTCTGAATCAAAGATACGTATCGTTTTATGTCTTGTGTCAGAGCTGAAAAGCAGGACCAGCAGGACCTACTCCGTCGTCACTACCTTAGGAAATTACTATATGACCAACCTAGGTATGTACCCTGTGAGGTGCACCTTCCATGAAGCTCAGACTCCAGTTCCTGATCTGCCGGGTTTGACCGCTCCATCCCAACAGCATAAATATCTGCTGCTTCCCAACTCTTTTCCAAAAAAAAAAATTCTCTTTTCCTTTCTTCATACTTACCTTGCTCGACTTCGGGGCGCTCATAAAGGCTTCGGAGTAAGGAGGACGGCCTGCATTGCACAACGCGGAGTCAGCTTCTTTCGATTGTCCTTCGGGACCATCGCGGGTGTAATTTTTGATCCTTTAACTATGTTTTCATTGTGTTCCCTGGCTTGATGTCAGGTCACGAAGAAGATGGATGTGACCATGCTAAACCCTATGAATTTGGCATACAGGATGAACAATTGTGTGTCCTGGTCCCCTCAATGCGTAGGTGGTCTGTTAGATTGTTTCTCTTCACTGTCCGGATTGCCTATATTCAAGTACTCTTCGCTGGGCTACCCAATTAATAAAATATCATTAACGACAATGGGAGCAGTATCAAAATAAACTCGTAGGCGTAGACTGCCCAGGTGGTCATCCATCCCAATCTACCTTACCTAAGGTACCCTACATACCTGTAGGTAAGGTAGCTACTTTGTAGAAACATGGTTACAGTACCAGTCGACCCTTCTTTGTCCCACGATGGTCGACTTGCAGTCTTGCTTGGCGATACATGATTATGTAATCAGCCAGCTCCGACACGCCAAACGCGTCTCCATCTCACAATCTTGGCGATCATGACACCATGGCAACATTATCCAGCACGTTGGTGGTTTCGGATTGTACATTTCCTTGATACTCGTCCATTCGTCCTGACTGGTCGCTAGTCTTCGACCGAAGATGGGCAAGAATGGGACACCACAGCGCCCAAAGCGAGGACGAGCAGCGACAGTGACTGATGAAACCGCTCCCGCGTCGTCTTCAAAAAGGCGGAAGCTGAACCAGGCGAACACCTCCTCACCCACCACACCGAAACGCCCTTCCGCCAGGAACGGCTCCGATCCTAAGCCTCGGTCCAACGACGGCACCAGGGACGTTTACGAGATTTCGGATTCCGACAGCGAAGAATCGCCTAGGCACCGGTCTCGAACGGCCAACGGCGGTGTCCAATCACCAACCGCGACGGCGCAGCCTCACGACGAGGACGATGGGTACGATATTCCGGCATCCGGGGATGAGCTCGGTGTACACACTCCGACAGCCAAGGGCAAAGATGCGCGTTCAGGGAAAATCGAACGTCTGCAGCAGGCAGATGGGTCCAAACAGAACGGCTCCATCGGGGTCTCTGAAGAGCGGGCACAAAAGACAGGACACGCAGCTGGCGAGGAAGACATGGCGTGTGAAAGCCATGAAAACAGCGACAGCGGAACTGATACGGGCGCGGCGGACGAGTCGCCTCTGAAACAGCGGTTGAGTGGGAGGCGTAGGACCCTCACCGCCAAGGCGCTGGATACGATGGTGAAAAATACGGGCAGAGCGTCCGCGTCTCGTTCCCGGTCTGTATCGGTCGTGAACACTCCCACGGCGAATAGACAGAAAGACAAACTCGCTGGTACCGGAGCTCTGCCGCTGAAGGGCATCTTGACGCCGAGCAAACGCGGTGATCGGCAGACGCCCCGGAAGAGTGTCGCCTTCGGGGACCCAGAAGGTCGCAAGGGAACACCCCTCGTTTTCAAAGACATTCCGAAGCCGGGAAGGAAGAAACAGAGCCTCGAGGAGCAGCTACGGGATACGGCCAATGCAACGAAGTCACAGCCATCTCAGGAACACAAACCTGCGCAACCGCAAGAAAATAGGGACGACAGAGGAGAAGAAGAAAGAAAAGAAGAACAGGAGGAGGGAGAAGAAGAAGAAGAAGAAGAAGAAGAGGAGGAGGAAGTTGATGAAGTCTGCGCCATTTGTTCGAAACCCAATTCCCGCCCACCGAACGAAATCATATTCTGCGACGGTTGCGATATGGCCGTCCATCAAAAGTGCTACGGTGTCCCTAAGATTCCAGAAGGCGACTGGTTCTGCAAGGAATGCGTGCAGCGCAAGGAAGCCAAGGCGGCTGAGGGCGCCAACGTACCCAACTTCGAACATCACCTGCGCTCTCTGCAGCGGGTGCTGCTGGATCGATGCACGGGGCGACGGCGGATCAAACTGATCGACCAGCACGAGGCCTACGGAACAGTGCATCAGTTGCTTCAACAGACGGTCCTCCACGGCGAGGGCAACTCGATGCTCGTTATCGGAGGGAGAGGATGCGGCAAGACCACGGTAAGAAATGATGAAAACCGGCGCCATAAGCCATAACATAACGATGGGACTCCAAGCTGATGGCGTCGCTACTGCATCTGCAGCTGGTGGAGAGCTCGATGGAGGAACTCTCTGCGGACCACCGGGAGGAGTTCCACGTAGTTCGATTAAACGGCTTCATCCAGACCGACGACAAGCTAGCTCTGAAAGAGATTTGGAGGCAGCTTGGCAAGGAGATGGATGTGGAAGATGAATCTACAACGAGGGTAAGTGGAACACCTCAGGTTTGGTTTTGGGGGTTGCTTTTGATCGGAAGCCGAAAGCTGGGGGTGGCTAACAAATGGTCCTGGACTCAGTCGAATTACGCGGACACGATGGCATCGCTCCTCGCGCTTCTATCTCATCCCTCCGAAATCTCGCTGACAGAGGAGGGGTTGACGTCCCGCGCGGTGATTTTCATCATTGACGAATTCGACATGTTCGCGTCGCATTCGCGCCAGACGCTACTGTACAACCTCTTCGACATCGCGCAGTCCCGGAAGGCGCCCATCGCCGTGCTGGGCTGCACCACGCGGCTGAACGTGGTAGAAATGCTCGAGAAGCGGGTGAAGAGCCGTTTCAGCCATCGATACGTGTACCTGGCACCGCCCAGGAGCTACCCGGCCTACTGGCAGGTTTGCCAACAGGGGTTGACGGTAGACGAGGAGGACATGGAGAAGGAGGGAATCGATGTCAGCGTGGAGGGCCATGACCGGTTTTACGAGAATTGGAACCGGATGATAGAGGTGAGTGCTGCTGCTGCTGCTGCTGCTGTGTTTGTGACCCACTCCCCTCCGGTCTCCTGGCCGCCGTTCTTCTAAGTGGCGGCGTAGTAAGGGAACATTCAAAAAACATTTCACAACCCCGTCCACCCAGCCGGAAGGAGGCCTCGCTAACTAGCAAAAAAACCCCCAGGACCTCTACAATGAAAAGTCGTTCCAGGCATTGTTAAAACATCACTACTACACGTCCAAATCAGCGTCGGCATTTTGGGCGGACTGCGTCCTGCCCCTATCGAGGCTCTCACCGAATGCTCTGGGGCTGGAGATACCCTCGACGTCCGGGTGGTTGGTCCGGCTCGCGCCCCCCCACTCGAAGCTGCACCTCCTGGGGTCCCTTTCGGAGCTGGACGTGGCCCTGCTGATCGCGGCGGCGCGGCTGGACATGGTGGCGCACACGGACACGATCAACCTGGCGATGGCGTACGAGGAGTACGCGTCCCTGATGGGGCGGCAGAGGGTGCAGTCTGCGAGCTCCGGGATGATGGCGCTCGGGGGCGGGGTGCGGGTCTGGGGGCGGGGCGTGGCGGCGGTGGCTTGGGAACGACTGATCGCGCTCGGATTGCTGCTGCCGGCCGGGATTGGCGGGGGCCGGGGAGGAGGAATGATGCGTGGTGGGTTGGAAGGACGGATGTGGAAAGTCGCGGTCGCTTTGGAGGAGATACCGATGGGTGCGAAGCTGAGTCAGGTGTTGACGAGGTGGTGTAAGGAGGTCTGAGCTCGGGCAACAAAATGTACCGTTGTAAACAACGACCGTTGGGCGTTATAGGTGTTGTGTTGCGTGGTTGCCTTGCCTGCAGGCACCACCTGTTGACGGGTACCTTATATCTAGCCTCCACAGCTACGGTGCCCTTTTTGGGCTGGGATATTCTTCCTTTTACACATCCACAATTTCACGCACATCACTGTTCGACGTTTGATAAGGTAATAGGTAAGTAAGGTAGGTAAGGTACCTTGATTAGCCGCGCTCGTTCCTTCCTTGCGGTCAAGTGGCGTCCATTTGGAGGCGGAGGTACCGTATCATCGGGGCTGGGGTCGAGGCTGGGCAGTCAAGGTGGTGGGGGCAGTGCAAGGGTTCCTGTTGTATTCTTTTGGTTCTCTTGGTTCCTTTGCTTTGTTGCTGACGTTCAAGCCATAAAGGAAGGGGTGCTAAGCTCCACGCCAAGGACGCCTCTCCGTCTCGCAACGATACACGTAGGGTAGGTACTCATGCGCGTCTAAGGTACCTTAGCTACCTTGACGAAAATGGATATCCCAGGGCTCCCTTCTCGTTCCCCCTCCTCCTTTTCATCTCCTCATCTTGCCGCTGATGTCGCACAGAATCCATACATTGGGCGAGCTCGTCCCTTTCCCTCACACTCCATCTTCTCATCGTTAGCTTTCATCTGTTTATCTAGCCAGCTCTGTCGCTCTTGTTCGGCAGGTCGGATCAACCAAAGGAACTTGAACCCAACGAAGGATTCGCCCGAGTCGCCGATCCCTGCTCACAACCCACCGGCACTGGACACTACTGGTCTCCTCTGAGGTTGATGAGCGGGTTTCTGTCCGGTTACTTCCATCTTGCTGCTTAGAGTATCATTCTAGCATTCCCAACTCGAGGAATTCTCCGTACAAGAGGACTTGCGTGTGCGTGTGCGTGTGCGTGTGGTTCCGGATTCGGGCTTGGCATGACCGCGCCAAAGGGAAGAAGTGAGACAAAGCAACGACAAGGTCAAGGTCAAGCGAGGTCTTGCGACAGGTGACCAGTAACGAGGACAAGGGTCTGGAGGTGTCCGAAGGCCCCCCCCCCCCCGTCTTCGAAACAAAACTAACCACCACTCCTTTCGTCTCACCTTCTGCCTCTCCGTCGAGACATCTCCTCTCATTCATACCTTTTTTCCTTTTTGGTTCGTTCCCCTTTCTCAGACGCCCGACTCTCGAAAAATCCTATCGAAATCATCGTCCACGTTCCTCATAGGTTCGTTAGTTGATCGCAGTCGAACCTCGTTTCCTTTGCCCACCATGACGAAACGAACAACCTTCACAACAATTACTCCGCTTCCACCCGACCTCTCTCGCGAGACTGTCATCAGCTTCTTTCATAACCACCTGGAGATGATTGATCTCAACCCCCTTATCAAAGAGCGACACCCTATTTCTCCCCCGGCCAATGCGCCCCCAGACGAAAGGCATTGCATCTGGTACTCCCTCACCGATGAGATTTCGTATCTCCCCGGCATCCCTGCCGCCTCCTCGAATGTCTCCTACACTTGCGCCTTCCACGACCTGCCCGACGGCTTACAGACACATTGCTATGCTCCTATGGGCCTGGACATTCGTGATCGATGGTCCGTCGGCGGCACCCTTCCCGGCGAACCGCAAGAACCGCAGGAACTAGGCCTCGGCGCACCGCGAACCGGCCTCTACATCCGCGAGGATGTCGACATTCGTTGCAACATCCTCATGGCCTCCTTTGTTAAGAAGACTCTCAAGAAGAGCCACGGCGCGCTCGTCGAGAAACTCCGGTCTCGGGCGGTGTCCTCTCAGTACTCGAACCCTCACACTAGGGTCGACGGCCCTCCACCTACGACAGCGCCGTCGCGACCCCAACGCCCCCAACGCCCCCGATCCGCCGATACTCCCTCGCGCATTCAACCCGATAGCCAGATGGTGTATCAGCTAGGTAACTCACACCAGGGGAACGGGAGTAGAAATCGGCTCACGAGCAGAAAAACTGAGGATGTCGCTCATGGCAGCGCGAACCACCAGAAACAACACAGCCATCGACAGAAACATGGTAAACAACGGAGCAAAGACAGTTTCGGCATCCCCTACTCCCAGACACGGCAGTCACAACCACCCCAGATGCAACAGCAACCGCCCAGCATGTCGCACGTGTATCAATACTACCCCCCGCAACTCGCCATCGCAAATCATAGTACGCCGTCCCTCACACCAACCACGACCTCCGCATCGTCTTCTGGGAACAGGTCCGAGAACTACTCGCCCAGCGAAGTGCCTTCGCCTCTCCGCATCAGGCATCAGTCCAACGGCTCTGCCGGCCACAGTATGGACTTGCTCCTCGACCGCGATTCAAAGGTCGACGTCTCGTGGCAACAGCAGCAGCAACAACAACAGCAGCAGCAACAGCAACAACAACAGCAACAACAACAGCAACAACAACAACAACAACACCAGAACCCCCAATCATTCCACGAGCCCCCACCACGTCGTCCTCAATACCGGCCATCGTCGGACAAGGCCGGTCCGCCGCAGGAAAACACCGCCGCCAGCGTCTACCTAGACCTCGTGAAACGGAACCCTTACGATTCGTCGCCCGACACGCCACGCTCACACTCACACTATCACCGCCAGGATGGGTTCGTCGTGTCCGAGCTAGCTGATCAGCGACAGCCACCCCCGAAACGAATCCACGAGCTTCCTCCCCAGCACCCTACAGCTCTCCGTCCCGGGGTGCCAGGGAGGGTCGCGAGGATCCAAGCCGACGGGCGACCTTATCCAGAGCTGGAATGACATCGCAGCGCTTCCACCAGCGAAGACAGTTGAAGAAGAAAAACAAGGTGCACATGTGATGGAGGGTTTTCTGAACGGGAGGCTACACGTGCAGGGGCACGCGGCAGAAGCACATGGCACATGGCACATGGCACATGACACAGGGGACTCGACTCGTCGGTTTCGAAGTGGTACGGAGTAGGCATTGTGGTTGCATCGTCTCTTCTTATTTGCATGTATGATGATACCTTGTATGTTTGGGAGGGGGGGACCCGACGTCGGCAACGGTACTTATACCCTTTTCTGTCTGCTCAGTTCGAATGACAACACGGTATGGAGAGGCGCAATATGGGTTTGTTTATTTAATTGTCTTTCTTATTGACCTTCAGTTTAAGCTGCGAACCTCGGACCATCTTCAACGGCTAGACCTCAGTCAAACGTTTCGTGATGAAGTCTTTGGAAACCGAGTTCTGGCCTTTATGTCGGCGCGACAAACGGCAGCGGGCTAAAATAACAACAACGTGAATAAGGATAACAATGAAAATATCTCCGTCTCTCTCTATTGCACTCGAAACCTCAAATTAATAAACCAGATTATCCAAATCTTATCCCAGTCCTTTCTGCACAGCCAACCGAAGTGAGCCTCGACTAGCATGTCAAGGACATCTAGCGACCAAGGAAGAGATAGACACGGAGAAGAAGATATAAGAACAGGCGTGAAAGAAATACACCTTACACCTCACAGCAAAGGAAACTCGAGATTCTTCCACCCATCTCTCTCATTCCCCACTTTCCGATCCTCTAACGGTTCGGTAGCAAGACGGGGAACAGTGAGCAAACCCTGGCAAAAGCCTCACCCCCGACCCAAGCTGTGTGCGTGGGGGCCATCGGAGGAGCCGCCCCGGGCCCGAGTTTACCAGCCCGCAGCGCCGACAACGACGACGGCAGCAGCGACGGAGAGACCGCCCGCCAGCCAGCCCTGACGAAGAGACGGAGAGTCCCCACCGTTAACCACGACGTGGCTGTGCGTCGGCCCGACAGGCTCGGGGTGGGTGGGCTCAGGCTCGGGATGAGGCTCGGGATGAGGGCGCTCGGGATGAGGCTCGGGATGAGGGCGCTCGGGATGAGGCTCGGGATGAGGGCGCTCGGGATGAGGCTCGGGATGAGGGCGCTCCGTGTGGTGCGTGGGCCTGGGAGGCTCAGGGGTAGCGGCGGTAGGGCGGATGGTAGTCTGTGTTTGTCTTGGTGGTTAGTTTTGCCTCGCACTTTTTCTTCAGACTACTTCCGCCGTAGTAGCGTCAAGGAGCAGGCAGTGGGAGGGGGGGCAACGGAAAGGGGATGACGAACGTAGGACGTGGTGCAGGGGCAGTCGGTGATGGTGAACCAAGTCGGGCCCTCGACGGTGTAGGTCTTGTCCTTCCAGGTGATGGTGTTCCAGGGGTCGGGGCACCAGGTCGGCAAAGCGGTGACGACCTTGGTAGTCGTGATAATAGTGCCGTTGCCCGGGACGCGAGCCATGAGGGGACGGGCGGCCGAGGCGAGACCGGCGACGGCAAGGAGGGAGGCGATAGACTTGGCGAACATCGTGGCTTTTTGAGAAGAAGAAGGAAAAAGAAGAAAAAAAAAGATCAACGTGTATAAGGTTCCTGATGAATTTAGTGTTCTGTTACAAAGGGAGGGACTTGCAGCAAGTAAAGCAAACGAGGAAAACGAGTGGACGAGGTAACGAGTGACCGTGAGTGTCTAGTGAGGGTAAAGCGAGAGTAAGAGCCGATAGCTGAGGGATAGAAGAACTACTCAAGTTGTTGGTAAGAAGAGAAGAACAGAAGAGATGGGAAAAGGGGTCAGAATACCCAAGCTTTATGGACGAGCAGGAGGTGGGCATAGGTGAGTCGCGTCACGGGTGATGGTGGACCATGAACCTCCAAGACAAAAACAAACCGGAAAGCAAATCGCACAACACCTAAGGGCATCATATCCCAATCGAAGCCACAGTGGCCGGATGCGTGCCATGGCCTGGTCTACGCCCGGATCTGGGCCCATTCGAGCGCCGCCCTTTCCATGCTCGGGCAAAACGACTATACCAGGGAGGAATGTTATACTCATGATGAGCGGGGCCTAATAATCCCGCTTGCACGGAGAGTCCGAGAACGAATGCGAGAAACAAAAAAGAGCTGAAGACGATCACGTCGAGGTCGAAGTTGAGGAATGTTGGGTTGTGGGTGTTTTGGTCCATCAACATTCCGGCGCGTTGAGAGAACAATCGGCTTGGCCCGCCTCGCTTTGGCAACAGATGTGTCAAGCCAAGTCAAGATGAGATGCTGGCAAGGGATATAAGATGAAGCAGAGGCTTTTTCACAGGCAATGGCATTCGGAGAACGGACAACGACTTGACTTCACATGCACTGCATCTGCATGATAGACAGGTTCCCCCTGGCGGCGATTCATTTGCATGTCTCCCATCTCCCCTCTGGTCGCGGGAGCTTTGCGAACATCTCCGTTGCGAAACCCGAACGCTCTATAAACCAGAAAGAAGCTGACCAAGTCGGCTATGTATATCCAGCCCATCATACATGCAATGCAATGCTTTCCGTGTCCATCAACTTCATGTTGTCCACTTCTGTTTCGTATCATCCCCGCCAAAAGGGATGGATGGATGCTGCCTTTCTCTCGCTCGACCAAGACGGTTCCTCCCGCCAAAGCTTCTGGGGGGCTCCGGAGGCCATCGCAGGAGCATATCATATCCGCTCAGGCGAGTTGCCTTCTCTACCATCTTTTCCACCCTCCCCTTATTTCCACTCCAATACGTCGACGAATCTTGCGCTTGCCTTGGCGCGCGCCGCGGTAGTAAAACCGTCCCTCTCTCTAATGCGGTGACGCCACCAGTAAATGTCAAGGGCCAAACAAATGACAAAAAGAAAAGAGAATAAAGGAGACATGACAAAGCAATGGCCCGCCCGTTTTCACATTCGCCCGACTCATGATGTCTAGAATGATAGATCCACTCCAACGCCCACTTCGTTTTCAGAAGCCAAAAGAAGACAGAAGCCAGGAAAGTAGGGACAACGGTATGTTGTTCCTCGAGATGACGAGATGAACGAAGGAAAACAACTTGGCCGCATCAGAGTGCCACCAATACTGGAAGGAAACAAAAAGAAAAGAAAAAGGTCCCGTTTCCCTGGGGAGGATGCCGAGTCGAAGAATAAGAGGACCACGGTTGCCGAGTACTAACGAAGAAATCACATGCAATGACCCTATGCGAAAAGGACACGGAACGGTTCGGTAACTGCCACTGACAATGTGACGCCCCACGACGGGAGATGGCCACTGTTCCGACTGGTAGCCCAACACCGTCGAGTTTGTATTATTCGCCTCGGTATGTTATTGCCGGTTGGATCGACTTTGGCTCCGCTCCAATCCTGACCGACTGCCGCTACACGTGATGGAATCGAAGTCGTAGTGCCTCAATGTGTGCTCATACTTGGGGCTGCGAAGGAACTTTGGCACGGAATCCTGTTTTGTACGTTAGCACAGGGAACAACATGTCGTCGAAAATCATATGCTGGGAGGGTTGGCAAGCGGGATTCAACTTACGCTGGCCATCAGCTTAAAGACGGCGTTTTGCGCATCTTCAAAGAGGGACGTCACCTCCTGGAGCGTGTCGATCATGGCGACATCTTGGCCAACCGCCTTGGTCATCCGGGTGGCCAGGTTGTTCCGGAGCTGGTGATCGATATTCAGCTCGCAAGGCGAGCCGGGCGCCAGAAATGCGTTATAGATGCTGTACGCCTGGGCCATGATCTCCTTGACCCCATCGAGCGAGGTGGAATTCGGACTCTTCTGGGCCGCGCGGATCGCTTGCTTACAGCTCCTCACAAACTCATCAACGTCCAGGTAGAACGACAAGTTCTCCTCGCAATGCGTCTCACGGAGATTCTCCCTGAAAAGCAAGCGGAGGGCGGCGTCGTTGAGGATCTTGTCTAGCCTCTGCGTGTTGGAGTCGCGGCCCACAACGTTGCGGCTCGAGTTGGCGTCACTCTCCGAGGCCCGGCCGCGCGAGCTCACGCCGTTGATCAGGTCCTTGCCCTTGGACGTCAGCTGGTAGATGGCGTGTTTTGTGGGTTGGAAAAGGTTGTGGCCGGGGTATTGGGACATGTAAGCCCGATCTTGGGCCACGGGCTCTATCAGGTCGTACTGCACGAAAAGAGATGCTATCTCCACCGTTTCCCGACGATCCACTGTGGTACAGCAATCCATGAGCCAATCGCTGGCTGCCTTGCCGGTGAAAGTGTCCCGGAAGGTCTTGTTGTTCACCTTCCGTTCGCTGGCCATCTTGACACCGGTCAAGCCGTCCCGGTAATCACTGAACGAATCCGAGTCGGCAGAGGCGACGCTGGACTTGACATTGGGACCGTGCGTGCCAATGAAACGGCGGAAGACCACCTCGATCGTGCCACGGTCGGTCACGAGCTTGTCCGTGACGGGGTCTCGTTCCAAGATGACCAACTGCGAGAGCGCCGCGCCGGAACCGGTGATATCCGCTATTTGTTTCTGCTGGATGCCATTGCGGGCACAGAAGCGGTCGAGGATCGTGATTCCCTTGGGCGTCAGTTGCCACACCGAGCCCTTCATATTGTACACCTGTTGGTAGCGGCCATCGGCCGACTCGATATACCTCGCTTCGAGAAACCTCTGGCAGATGGACCGCGCCATGTCTTTAGCCATGGAGAAGGTAGTGGTTGTAGTTGTGGTGACGATGCGCGAGGGATCCTTCGGATCGGGCATGCGATTCGACTGTGAGAACTTGAGGGACCCCAGGTTGTTGATCGCGTCTTCCGAGAGGAATGTATTCTCGACCCTGCTGAGCCTTACGCGGTGTGCGCCCAGCGGCAAGAGACTAACGATGAGTGTCGCAAAAAGATCCTTGAAATCCTACTCGGAGACGTCAGCAAGTGTGAACATTAACAACCACACATAGATAGTCTGGCAAAGCCGGGAGCGAGCGACCCAGACCGCGCAAGCCAGCCAGAGTCGTCATTAGATAAATGCAGACCCGTCACCGCCACAAAAGACGACAGTGGATTCTACATATACTGGGGGGGCTGGTACATGGAACGGGCGAGAAAGAAAAGAAGAAGAAAAAAGAAGAAAAAATAAAAGAGAAAATAAACACGAAGCTACAGAGCACTACACACCTTATTGAACGGCCGATCATCATCCGTCATGCGGAGCAATCGCGAGGATGTTTGATGCATCTTGCTCTCGAACCGTGGCAGGCGAATAGGAGGAGGCCTGTTGGGATCGGTCTCGGAGTAAGGCTGGGAAGGCAGATCTTGAGCCAGCGCAGAGTCGTTCGCGTCCACGGTGAAGATGCTGGGGGCGGTGGAGACGGGCGAGGCGTTGTTCGAAGCCCGGTAACGCGCCTCCCTCTCGAGATCGGACACTACACTGAAGGCGGACTCGGTCGCGGACGGGACACGGCCCAGAGTGGATGTGGATGAGCGCTGACGAATCGACGGACTCGACAAGTGGAGAGACGAAAGGGCAGACTGCGTCCTGTCCAAGGCAGCAGCAAAAAAACCTCCAGAGCGTGTCTTGCTTGTCGAAATCGAGCTCTGGTGTCCTATCTGGCGGTAATTGGCCGTGGTGGAGGCGGCACGACCCTCGTGGGAAAATGGATCGGCGGCAGGTGCTTGTTGTTGAGTCGGCGCGGGGCGGACGCTGTAATTCCTGGCCAAGGAGGAAGATGACAAGGAGGGGTTCGGGCTCGGGACCTGGCTTCGATTGTTGATATGATTAGGATTATTGTCGGAGCCTGCAGCAGAGTGGAACGTCTGTCCAAGTGCGGTGTGTCTAGTCGAGGCTGACGAGGACGACAATACAGACGGCGACGAAGAAGCTGAGGGGACGGGATCTTTGACAGAAGGAAACCGTTCAGCGTGTTTGGTGGCGGCGACAGCAGTAGGAGGAGGAGCAGGAGCAGCAGCAGCCATCTAACAGTGAGGGATATGTCAGGAGGCGGGACGTGGCATCGGCCGCGGGATGCATTGAAATAAAGGATCTAAAAGGGGAAGGGGGGGGGGGAGGAAGATATAATTACATGGAAACGGGAAGAGAGTCAAGAGGAACCGAGGCCACAGCGGCAATGTACATATACCCTACTAATAAACCAGACCAGAAAAAGGGAAAGGGCGGCGGGTACGCAGGAGCAGTTACGACGTACCTGAGGTATGTACTGTACGGAGTACGAAAGTGCGTTTTAGTGTACGTTGTAAAGGCAGGAGGAGCCGTCGCAGGAAGCGGGCTTTGGGTGGAGGCAAGGAAAAAGAGACGACGACGAAATAGGTACTCCGTACTCGGTACGTACTTGGTCTTGGACGAAGTACCTATCCATACAACGTACGGCAGGCAGGATAGGCGGGAGGAGACTCTTCAAAGCCCGTTACCCCACCAAGCTGCTGGGTTGGGAGTACGGAGTACGAAGTATCCGTATTCGTAGTGGCTGCCCACCCCTGTAACCTCATGTTTCCAAAGCAAAGAAGCAGGGTGGGTGGGTCAGGACATCGGGCAAGGATGGGCAAGAAAGTGGAGACGGCTGGAACGAAAGTCGCAGGTACCTCCCATCGTCCATGCTACCTGAGGTTCCACAAGGGTGCTCCAAGCAGTTTCGGGAAGACGGCTAGGCCGCAATAGGGATAGATTTATGTGGGTCTGAGGCACGTATGTACTTCTGAGTACCTAAGTACCTTAGGTGACGATTCTCCAGACAGGTACCTGTATAGTCGAAGTCTACTTCGTACAAAGAAGTCGAGCAGCGGGTCCGATGCGTGTGGGCGGCGTGTGCACGGTGGTGTATGTACCAAATCATCCTTGTCGAAGCCCACTGTGCCATTTGTCCCCTCTTCCTTAGCCTTTTTTTTTCTTCTTTTTTTTTTTTTTTTTTTTTTGGTTTGATTTTTTTCTCGCCTTGTTTTCCCTTCTTGTCTTATCTCTGCCCTTGTTGCTGACGATTCTTCCGAGTCGTCTCCCACCTTTCCACCCCAACCGTTCATGTCACTGCCTATCAATCACCTAACGGGTTTCTGCAGTGATCGGATTGGTAAATGATGCTGGCCCACGAGGATGGAAGGGAAAGGGTGTGGACAGTACGTAATCAATGGGGGTAGGCGCAACACTCCGGAGGCTCCGCTTCATCGCTCTTACACGTGTTTCTGACCCGGTATTATTGTAATCACACGTGTACGGAGCCGGGATCTGCGGGAGATGAACCAAAGCCAACCGGCAACTCCTCGTTCTTTGTGCCATTCTGATGGGGAATGACGAGTCGGATATAATTTCATTGTTTGGCCTTAAGGTTCAGGCCAACGAACTTGTCAACCTTCCTCAGCCCTGTCCATAGCCCCTTGGGTACTCCCCATTCGTCACTACAAGGGGCAAACGATCATGAGCAGTCAGCCCAGCTAAACCTTTGGTAATATTCACCTGCTGTGCGTTTATGTACCATATTACAATGTGTACACTTCGAGAACAGGGCGGACGAAGCTCAGACCATGCGATAATTAGCTCCTAGTCACAAAATGCTGAGGCCGGAACTGGAGATTGGAATGGTGCGAGCAGGGACGGCAAGCGTAACCAGTTACTAATGGCGGCATAAGCAGCGCGGTGTGCAGTCGCCGGTGAGAGGGCACTTGCCGAGACTATCGTCAAACAGCTTCCCTTTCCTCGTCTTTTCATGCACATACCTCCCACCCACACAAAGCCGATCCCTACCGGGCCTTCACGTACTGTGCCGGTCAGGGTGGGAAAGTCCAAGGCTAAATTATGAGCAATGAAATCGGCCGATAGACCAGATCCCGCTCCGGTTCGAGTTTGGGTGACCGAACATCGTGCGAAGGAACACCTAAAAGACTCCCATTCACTCTTACTCTTGATTCGAAGATTCCTGGGCCGGCCTCCCTGCCGGCTCGGTTCTCTCGAGGCTCTCTGCACCCCAACGGCACCAATGTGTAGATGGGTCGTCTCCACCAATAGACCCTAGTTAGGGCGCTTCGTAGACGCCCCCGGTGCATGGTGCCCCGTTTAAAAACACTAGTCAATATCCGCCGACATGTAACTCGGGTTGGCCGCGCGCATTGTACGTCATTAGGTAAATACTAGCCTCAAGCCAAACCGATATACCAGTGTCAGGAACAATATTTCGCGTGCTCTCTTTGATCTCATATTTCTCCTAGTCATACCTAGGCCGTGACTGAAGGTTCGAGAACCCGAGTAAGATGACTAGTCCACTATATATCGTCATACCATGATAGCCACGAACAGAAAGGACCAATGCTGTGCAACACAGGGGATAGAGTGCATTTCAGCCGCGGGATCAAATAAAATGCCGTGTACTTTTCCTGTTCTAGAATATTAGTTCAGCCCAGTAGATGGTACCTTAATAATAATGTTTCCTAGAAAGTGCACGGAGCGCCATGACAGCATGTCATTCAATTCCTGCACATGGAAAAGTAAAATAAAATAATATCCGACAGAACATCGCCTCGATTGACGTGGAGATTTTAGATCAGTAAGAGTCCGCCGTATATCCGCATGTGTGGTACCCTCCTCTTGGAGAGCGGTGAGCATGATTATCTGACGCTTTGGGTGGTGTAACATGCTAATGGTGATAGTAGTGGTGATGGTGGTATCAGGGTATGTGGTAGGTTATGGTTCCGGAGACGCACCTATGCAAAAGTGCTGTCTGTGCTGTGCCACAGGACTGCGTCTTCCTTTCTGTACATGAGGCACGGTGCAACACAGGATCGGCGCGTGGCTTCAGGGATGTTGTATTGCCCCTCCATTCAGCTCCTTTCCGAATGCCTCGTGTTCGGTCATCGCTTCCCTGTAAGCCACGCAGTGCCACCGCCAGTCCCCCCGGTCGCAGTCACGTTGCTGCCACGCAGGCGTTTGAACATTTGGATCTGTGTATCGCCCCACTATCACCACGTGACCACCTAGGGACCGTTCCCCCGCTCTTTATCGACAACCGCAACCGAGGTAGGTACGGATACATCTGGCAGAGGCCAGTACGTTAGCTACGTCGAAGTACGGATACTTGGTTGTTTTCTCCTATCACCAGCCCTTGATCCCAGTCCTTTCGATGCCACGCCCGAATACCTAGGTACATACTCATTTCCTACGGAGCACTACGTTGTGCGGCGAACATCATTCTTATGTTTAACTGCACATGACCGGATGTTTCGTCTTTCGAGCTGTGGAAAACGTTGTCCAGCCATTCGCCAACCCGTATGCCCATGGTTCTCTCGCTGCATTCAGATACAACCTTCAACTCGCGACTTGCTTGACCGGCGATGCCTTATTACCAGCCTTGGGTTCCGGGCTTTTTAGGCCGGAAATACAGTGCACTGACAGACTTCGTACGATCCTGAACAAACAGCCAACCCAAAGTGATGCGGAAGAACTGTCTTACGTATTTCTCATCCCCACGTTGGACGCCCGCTGGTGAGATAAGAGTTCCAGAAACAGCGACTTAAATATTCGCGCGAGGTCAAGCTAAGATAATCAAGCGGAGAGACGATTTCGCTTAGAAGGACCCCGATATTTTCCGAGCACCTATCTTATTAGTAATACGTAGGTAATATACTAATTAAAGCACTGACCCGAGCGTGGGGATCTCGGTGTCGTCCAACCGAGAGAAATTCAGATTAGTTGGCTCATATGGGACCACTATTCGTACACTCGTAAACACCTTGCAAGGGTCGACGAAACCAGACGTAGACGACGCCTAGGTGACCTACTCTTCCACACACCCTGAAGCATGGCTTGGAAGCCCTTGCCCCGAACATAGTAGGGACACCTAATAAAACGGAAATGTACACGTGTAGAACACTGGAGAGTATTAGTTCGTTAGTTCGTAATGCTTTCTTCATTCTTATTTATGATTGTCACCGTTGTTCCCAGGCTACCTTGGGTCGACATCATCCCCGGTCCCCTGTCTTCCCACGTGGCCAGGGCAAAGGAAAACCAGAACTGGTCACAGCTTGTACCTAGAACAAACAACAAGAAAAGGGGTCTCAACCAGGAACAAGAGAGTACGCTGCCCTGGGAAATCTAGGGAAATCTAGGGAAACAACATGCCCCATCTGTCCGGTTGGGCGCGACGAGCCAAGCATCGTCGACAAAGCAAGGGGGGCGTCTGCGAACGGGCGCCAGCGGACGATTGCCTAGCGCAAGTCGGACTGACGGGAGGCCACGTGGTATACCAGATGAGGCTGGGTATTATCCGTCCAGGGGTACGTCTCCGTAGTCTGCTTGCCTGAAGGCGGAAAGACGCAGGTTGGCCGGTTTACGACGCGTATCCAGACGACAGGGCCGAATGATGCCAGGGACTTGCACTGCTGGACACGAATGAAATCACATATCACCTAACGGAGTAGATTACGAATATTACGGTTGGGATTTCTTTCTTTCTGGGTGGCATGATAGGGTGAAACAGACCCTCATTTTATCTCGTGGCACCAATCACAGACCACGAAGGAGTGGGGGTAGGGTAAGCAGGCATCTGTATTTGTACTTCGTAAAACCACATGGCATTGTGCGTGGTTGGATGCCTTGTCTGATCTGCAAATTCTGTATGGATCTTGAGACTATGCTCCGCTTCCATGGCGAAGAAAACGGCAATACAACGTAAGCTACTTCCTACACAAGCTCACTTCATACTACCAGCGGTCAAGAATGCGCCGGATTTTGAGGATAAAGAATAAATTGAGCGCGATCCACATTATTTAGTACTTCGTCGTGTCCTCTATCCACGCGAAAATGATGTCGTAAAGAGCATCTCTTCTATTTATGATTAAGATTATTATAGTTGTATCATGGGCAGTGGTCCCAACCTGGGTTAAGAGGCTTTTGGGTCGGGCCGGGGTTTCAAGGAAGAAGATGGAGGACTGGCGTGTTTATAAGCCTGTTAGGGCGACTTCCTTTGCTTAGGTATGCTGACTTACAATGTACTTTGTAGTACACCCGGATGTACCGTATACTTAGGACACAGAGCGCACACGAGCAAGTACTAGATACTTCGCCATGCGCTAGATGGTCTATAAATCCTAGCTTCCACGCTCTGCACCCATAAAAAGCTGGAGAAATCCTTGTCTCCTTGTCGGCTTCCCGTCCACTAATCTTATCCCGGCGTTCCTGGACTCTGGGCACTTTTGGAAGTGCCCCGATGCTCCCAAGTCGCCGTCACCGCCATTCCAGTACCGACGTTTCATCCGTCACCTTTTGGTTGTTCAGAGCAATCCGACGAAGTAGGCATAAGCGACAACTAGCGTTGATATACGATATGATCCGAATGATCCGATTTTCTTTCACGTACATAGGGTGTTTATGGAACCTGCTCAGCGCGGCAGATTGCCAATTGCAAACGCCCACTTCCCTTGGTTCCCGACCGTAGATGCTCAGGCCGCAACCGGCCCAAGGAGTACGTTGCAGTCGCTGCTTTTCATTATTATACTGTGTGGGTTAGGTCTTGGATCAAAACTCCCTCTCGACTATCCCCCCAACCGCACTTACTGTACGTTGTAGCCTCGCTAGTGGTATGCGGTTTAGCAGTCCAGGGTTCACATACAACGCACTCTACAAAGATACAGCATGGATGTACTTCGTACGGGTATATGGAGTGAGCTGCTACGAGCGAGGGAGCCGCAGGAGTTATAATTATCTGTTCAAGCCAGCGACAGACAGCTAATGCTTGCATTCCATACTCTTTAACATTTCGATGATCTGCAGTGTGTTTTTAATTGAGCCCTTGCCCACTCATTTATTTCGGATCTGCCGGTTAGATGAAGAGTGGGACAATGTCTCGCTCACCACCTCAAGAGATGGAGAAAGACCCGGCAGTCAATGCCAATGCCGTCCGTGACAACTCCAAGTCCCCATGGAACATGGACCTTTTCTTTCCATGCGAGCCGAATACCAAACAGCCTCTCGGCATTCGGTCTGCAACCGAACATGCGAACAAATCAAGATAGTAACCTAAAGCGCCCGGGCCGACATCCAGAACAACGGGGTGGGGGTGGGTCCTTAGAGACATTCGGCATGCGGCAATCCATCCTCTCTCATCTATCCGTTGTCACCCATGTTGCAAAACAAGGATTCGTCCTTTATTGTCGCGTGGAGTTGAGTGAAATCACATATCATGGACTCGACAGGTCGGCTCTTTGCCGGAGAGTGGACTCCCAAGAAATCCCCAACCAAGGAAGGAATTTCTAGAAGCGGCCAAGCGTCGCTAGGCGCCGGCAGAGACCCCCTTTTCTTTGATTTGATTTCAATCAATCAGAAGGTTATCTTCGTGTCTTGTACGTTGTATCTCCTTTTTGTTTTTGGGAACACTCCCCTGAAGGATTCTTAAAGGGATCCGGGATTTAAGACAGAGCGTTTCCTACTTCGGACAGCGCTCGTCTCTCGCAGCACTTTACACGTATGTGTGACCAGCCTTTCGCTGTTGACCCAAAAGAGCTGATTGACTGACGGACGAGTGGAGCTTTTTCGCGTCGTTGCATATTACATACAACGTACTACATGTGTACCGCAGGAAATGACTGTGTACAACGTAAGGCTTGTGAGAAGTAGATGGACAGGAAACAGGCCCATGACCAAATGAGGCGAGAGTGGGGTGGAAGGGGTAGTGAGTGAGCGACAACGTGGCTGATCATGCCAATGTCCACAAAATGCTCCTATCTGGGCCGGGTGATAACGAGAGCGCTAGCAAGATTTTCAATCAATTACGAAAGTTACATTACTTTGTTTGGTACGGAGTACAAGCTTTTGTCTCACAGAACTTTCGAAATGTTCTCCTCCTCAAATCTAAAAGGAGTACTGTAGGTAATTACTCCAGGTCCTCGTCCGCACTAATGTGCGCAATTACCGGCCGACGCACGTGGCCCTGAACGAACACAGAATAAGGTCCGGGAGGGTCTTTCCCGGGGATTGATTGGTGGACAGTTGGGACTATACTGTCCCTTCCCCTCATTCGGAGGCTAAGAACACACCCTCTTTCTTTTTCCCCGAGAGACTCCCCTCCATGGACACATTATCCGGCTTAGTAATGTCCTTTGGGCGTGGAAGGAGTGACTCCGACACACTGCGACTTTGCTAGAACCAACAGACATGCCTCGATGCATCTTCGGCGGGCACGGCAAATGAATGAGGTTACGACGTCCGTCTCTATCCCTGACAGGACTTGAGACTCGTCAGCCGTCCAACGCATCGTATGAGTGTCAGATTTGGGCTGCCCCTGCCGCCACCTTTACAATGCTTATCATAACGTCTTGCCGGAACCTCTGTGGTGCTCTTTGATTCTTTGATTCTTTGTTTCTTTGTTTCTTTGTCCCTTTTTTTCTTCTTCTCTTTATTTATTCTCTAGTTTCCTCCACGCTGACTCGGTACAAGAACTCCGGCCCCAAGATCTACCGACTTACGGCCAAGCCGACTTGCTCCGGTCCGCTGAGGAGGGAATTCGCGTTCGCCGCGGATCTCGAACCCTGTAGTATGAAGGCGACGAGCCAACGTCATCTTATTATGTTGCAGCTTTCGTCCCGGAATTGGCCCCCGGAGAAGCGAACGTCGAAAAAGAATCAAGCTTGGAGATCTTCGCCCACGCTTATCGAGCCATGACGAACAGAGGCGATAACTAACTAAACTCTCTTAGTGAGTCGCTGTAAGCTCATCACTGGTCCAGTGTCGAATTAGCTTTCCGATCATCTGGCACCCTTGTTTCCCTTGTCCAGATCGGACCCGTCCGTTACTCAAGCTTTGCGGCGGCCGGGCTTTCCAGGCACTCGGATCCATGGGTTTGTAACTGGAACCTGCGGTACTCTGAGAGACATGCGGCGCTTCCTAGAAATACATTTGCTTTTGGCAGAAAAGTCGAGGCTCGGATCATTCATTTTGAAAGCTCTATTTGTAGTTGGGGGCTATTAGAGACAAACGCTTATTTTATCGATGGACCGTTTTAATCACACTGTAACATCTGAACAAGTCAGTTATTGGTGATATTGAGGAGACGGACGAGATGAGTTCTGTGAGCTTGCTTCCACGCCAATTCGGGACCAGGCTCCCACCCCCTGAGTAGAATGATTCCGAGGTTAGAGGAGGCAGACGAACATCTAAATAGCTCACTCCATGGAACTTTGTTCGCTCGCCTACACACGTCGAATGGCCAGATATTAACGGTAATGTTTCACTCGCTGGATGAGGCAATGGTCTTTGATGCCTCCACACTATCCTGCCTATAAGATTCCAATGTGGGCGGTTCTCCTAGCCAAAAATATGCATAAATACCACGCTCTGCGAAATCCGTTTCCGAGGCGAGAGAACACAGGCCACTCCTGTGTTGGCCTCTCTGTAGTCTTTCTTCGAAAGACCGCTAGGGGTGCGTAGTCCGGTCTGTTCACTCTCTCCTCGGACGCAGAAAAAAGCCCAGCGTATCAACCCCCTTGAACGCCATCGCTGATGACTCCAATCTCCCTAGATTTTCTAGGTGAAACATAATACAAGCCTACGGGCGAAGGTCCTCCTCGCAGGCAAAACATACAATATGTCAAAGTTCTCATGGCTGCCTCGATACACGTGAGGCGTTGGTAGTACCCCCCTTGTAACGCTGAAGACGGTGCCACCAAGCCCCAGATCGAAGAAGAATGGAATCAGATGGACATGGGGGCAGAATTCTTAGTCCAGCCCTTTGTCCTCATAGCCGACTCGACCGATCTCCAGATCGTCTCGACGACCTCCTTATCACGGAAGCGAGCCGCCTCGCCCGCGCCCGGCACGGCGCCGACAAGATTCCCCTCTCTACGGGGCCGGTCAATGCCAAAGTGCAACACGCGGTGTCCCCAGTTCTGCACCGACTCGGGGACAGGCTCGCCCCGCCAACCGACGTAGATGCCCACGGCGTGGCGGAAGAGCTCCTGCGGGTCGCTCCACTTGTAGTTTTTGAACTGCCACGCCTGGCCCGTGGTGAACACGGCGACCACGCGGTTCCAGTACTCGGGCTTGAACTGCTCCGGGCCCTCGACGAGGATGAAACGCATGGGCCGCGACGGGTCGACGTCCTTGATCAGGCGCGACACGTGCAGCATGCTCGTCCCCGAGGCGCTGCTGCTGTCCGGCGGTGTGTAGCGGCCGTTTTCGAGGAAGGACCGGACGTTGGAGAGGCGGAGGAGCGACGACGCTGAGGGGGATAGGAGGATGATGGGGTCGGGTCGGCGGGTGGGCGGCTTTGGGTTGATCGCGAGGGCAGCACTGGCCATGATGGTGTTTTGGGACGACCCGGGTTTCTTCTGCATGAACGGTGCCGCGAGTTTGCGGACATGGGAAAAGTCCTGGGAGGGGGGGGGATTTCAGGTTAGCCGAAAGGAACAGCCATGCGCCCAAAGTGCGCGTGTTCGACTGAGCTTGAGAACCTACGGTTGGTTTGATTCCGCGCAAGACGGAGTTGCGATCCCCCATCTTTCGCTCACCACTGTAGATTACCGCCATCCGAGGGTCCATTGCCCCCCTGCCACTCCGACTTACGGCCGTCGACGGCGTTGCCTTCGCAGCGCTCGCGGCAGCCGCATCCTTCCCTTCCCCCACAACCGGGCGAATATGTTCCGATTCTTCGCTGGCGCCTTCGAGCCAGGTAAAGAGATCTAGACGCTCAACAAACGCGAGGTTCTGCACGGTTCCGAGATCTCCCAGCTCATCGTTGAGACGGTTGGCCGAGGCGTTGTATTCGGGGATGGCGACGTCCTTGTTGAGCCAGGCGAAGTAGATGGAACGCAGGTCGACAGGGCGATCGCTACTGATGAAGCGCGTCGGTGTAGAGAGCGGGACAGATATGGGAGCCGGGTGCGGGAAATGCAAATGCGTTGCCTTGGAGAGGGGTGCTTCGACAGGATCATCAGCCGACGCTGAGGGAATCGCTGGTTGCTTGGACGCGATGGCCTGGCGCAGGAGAAGGAGCGGGTCCTGCTCGGCGGACGCCATTGTGAGGTAAATGTGACAGGCGACGTACTCGCCTCAAGGTCAATTGTGGGAGCCGAGTCGTGATCACAATTAAGATCTAAGAAATGGACAAAAGAGCAGTTGTCAAAGGTGGGCAGATGTGTGTGTGATGCGGTTGAGCTATCGAGCTATGGGAAGCTAGGAAGTTTTACGCAAGGTAGACGACCTCGGTGAGATGTCGGAAGATAGAATTGCCGTGCCGAAGTCAGGTAACCAGCCAGTTGACTTCAGTAATGTCTTGGCAACTTTCGGTGTGGTTTGCCTTCACCGGGAGAAGGCGATGCATGGACTTGACTTGGACAACCACGCACAAACCGGCCATGCAAATAGGACTCGGAACTATGTTACTTCAAGTTACATATGTACTGATTTCTCTGCTAACTCCTCTCTACGCACGATGTTTATGCGTCAAATAGGACAGTCTCCGACCTCCCTGGTACGGCTCGTGACCGAGCGGTTTCAAGCTACGTTGCAATGCTGGGGCTATCCTTGGTATTTTCTTGGAACTTGGGACTGTGGTGACTATTCAAATAGCTTTTGAGATGTGTCGTGACCCAGCGTATGCTTCTTTCCACAACATAAACCCAACGGCAGTGTCCAAGCTGCTGGACCGGAGGAGGTACACGGGCCGCGCAACAAAAGTGTGTAGTTGAGCGTTATTGAAGAGATATCAGATCATTCATTATACCTTGACAAATCAAATCCTGTTAACGCCTTTCCAGATGCCGACCGCAGACCACATTCCCAGTGCAAGCCTTTTCTCCACCCATCATCATGGAGCGTCCATCGCCAACAGATTAGGCGTCCACCAGCATCGTGTCATCGCCATCAAATCCTGGCCCCTGGGGCTCCACCGGAACCCCGCGACCTCGACCGGCAAGTAGTTCCCTCCGAATCTCGGGAGCGATGGCAGGGTGTCCGTGCGACAGAAGCAGATCGAGGAGCGCCTCTCGCTGGTCCTCGCTGATGTCGTTGCGATACCGCTGGGCAAAGGAGAGCAGGCTCTGGTGGAACACGACTGGCAGCGACCTGACCATATCACCTGATACGGCCTGGCCCTCCTTGATGGAGGCCGGGTCCACGCTGCGGAAGCGTAGGAAGTGGAAGACGAGCGAGTCGATGACCTGGTAGGGGAGAGCATACTTCTTCTCCAAGAGCGTCTTGATGAAGATGTTGGCCGCGCCACCACCCTCCGTGCCTTGTGACGCTTGTTGGGCAGCACTATATCCGTGTTAGAGAGAGAGATCGGCCGGTAGACAAGCAGCGAAGTTATTAGAAAGAAGAAACAGTAAGAGAAACCTTACATCTCTGTGATACCCTTAAGGGCAGCAGCCGAGTGAAGCACGGGAACCGAGACTCTCGCAAGCACGGCGGAAACAATGTGGGCTTCGCGAACCGTGCAACCACTCATGAGCAACGGGAACAGGAACCCGATGAAGAAAGCTCTTGGCTTGTAAAGACTCTTCTTGAGCGCGTTGAACAGGTGAACGTTCAGCTTCTTGTGCTCGCGGATATCGTCGCGGACCTTGTCCAGGATGACATTCTCCATGAACTTTTGGCACGTCGCTGGACTCGCGGCAGAGAATATCCTGGTCGCCTGGAATGCGGCGTTGGGCGTCCACTTGTGGGGTTCGGTCACCTCGATGATATCTTCCCAATGGGGTATCGTGGGCAGGATCTTGAACGGTTTCGGCAAGGGACCGCTCTTATATCTCGAGAGAATCTGGCCAATCCTGAATGTCGTCGTTAGTATCATGAGGAAAAGAAAATGAAGAAAAAGAGAAAAAGGTCTTCTACGCCTGCGGGAGAGTAGGCGACAGGAAGCAACCTACTTAGTATAGGCCTCGATGACCTTCGGCGGCAACTCGTAGTGCTCATCCGGCAAACCAGCCTCTCGCCGGGCTTCAGCAGCCTCGTGCTCAGCGATTTTCTCCAAGATGAGCTCCGTCAGGTTGGTGCCACCACCACCCATGTCCTCGTCTCGACCCTTGGAACCCCAGCCAGCGTCCCTGAGCATGGCCGAGGGTTCGTCCTCATTATCGGGAAAGAATTTGCGGTACGTCTCCAAGTCCTCCGGGTCCAGCTCGACCTCCTCTACCTCCTCCTCCTCTTCGTCGCCCCATGCGTCTTCGTCGTCATACTGGCGGTCATCATCCAGGGCTTCGGCGCCGTACCTCGACTCGATGGCGAAGAGGTCAACTTTGGCCTGCGTCGCGGGTTTCTTCTGTGCGTCATCCTCTTCTGCCAGTTCGCGGCCTAGCCTCAGGATATTGCGACTTTGACTGGCGTCGATGTAATGCTCCCCGTCCTCCTCGTCGTCCTTCTTCCCCTTCTTCTTTTTGGTCTTGTTCTTCAGCGGCCCAGTCGCAAGGATGTCATCTTGAAGAGGGTTGTGTCGACGGGCCTGACGATCCGTGGGCGTTGTGGCCTTCCCCATCTTTTTTTGATAAATTCTTGTTGTCCGAAGTTCCGGTTGTCCAACAGAAGGCGTGTGCGTCGTCTAGGTACCCAACGCGTGAACGGTCGACGGTGAGGGACAGCAGGTTGACGGGTCGATTTTGGATTTTTTTCCTTCTCCCAAGCCCTGCAATTTTCCCTGTCGAGTCCCTTATCGATTAGCCCCGCGATTAGTGTGGGCTTGGTGGTACCCACCTAGGTATATGTGGACCCTGGGTATATTTCGTCCAATCATGACATTTAGAGCTTCTCCGTTCGAGTGATGTACCTCGAGGATGCCCCGCCATATGTAGGTACCTAGGAAAAACCCCTCCAACTTGCCCCGGCCGTCGCCAACTGAGAGAGATTTGCGTCTGGATGAGCAGGAACTGAAATCATCTCAGAACATCATGAGGTGAGAGATTTTGAGCTTCGGAAATAGGGGCACCACATTTATTCTTATTTATTACTTCTTTACCCTTCATTCTTCCAGTTAAAATGCCCACAGAGTTAGAAGACGTACTGTAACTCCTTACCCCCCCGCCGCCTTCATCCAACTCCCTCTAGATCCTCGATAGCAACGGGACTATGGCTGACCAGATCCTGATATAGCTTGTCGGCTTCATTGCGCACCCCAATCCTCAAATTCGAAAGCTTGCAGTCGAGAATCTAGTTCCATACTCAACAGCGCAGCCTTCTATATTCAAGACCGAGGATCTCCTGCCCGTGAAGAACTTAGCCTTGTTGATGCAAGATCATCCAGTGAGTTTGTCTTTGGATTCCAAAAACTCATAATAGCCTCGCAGCCAGCCCCTGACTCACCTGAACACCATAGCAAATTGCCGAACATGCCTTGACGATCCTCGTCAACCTATCAGCCGACGAAAAAGTACTAGAATTACTCGCGAGTAATGACAGATTCGTCGACTCCCTTCTGGCGAGGGTGGTTGTGAGTATATACATATATATATATATATATATATATATATCCCTTCGAGACTGACCCAGGCTCGCCCTAAGTTTCAAAGAGACTGTTGTTGGTAACCGGGAAGCGAGCCGTGACAGAAACCATCCGAACCCAACGCCAACCTCCTGGCCATGCTCCTCGCCAACCTCTCCAAGTGGGACGGCCTCAAGAAGATCCTAACCAAGAAGCAACCCCCGCCGGAGGAGCTCCAGTCGCACGACCTAGTCCTCAACCAGCTCATGGACCTCTTCGTCAAGGGCGCCGACGGCTCCTACAACAAGCACGCCGACTACGCCTACCTCGCCTACTTCTTCGCCGACCTGACCAAGCACGCCGACGTCCGCCAGTTCTACCTCACCAAGCAGCGCTACGACGACGCCGTCCCGCTGACCAAGCTCAAGGTCTTCACCGAGCACAAGTCCGACGTCCGCCGCAAGGGCGTCGCCAGCACCATCAAGAACGTCGCCTTCGAGGTCCCCGCCCACCCGGCCTTCTTCGCCGAGGACGACATCCACATCCTCCCTTACGTCCTCCTCCCCATCATGGGCGACGAGGACTACGACGTCGACGAGACCATGGACATGCTCCCCGAGCTCCAGCTCCTCCCCCCCGACAAGCAGCGCGACCCGGACTCGTCCATCATCCAGACCCATCTCGAGACCCTGCTCCTCCTCACGGCCACGAGGGAAGGGAGGGAGCTGATGCGCCAGGTCAAGGTGTACCCCATCATCCGGGAGACTCATTTGCGCGTCAACGACGAAGGGGTCAGGGAGGCCTGCGACAGGCTCGTGCAGGTGTTGATGAGGGAAGAGGAGCCCGATTCCACCTCGAAGGTGAAAGAGGTTCATGAAGATGACGAAATAGTTGATGTGTAGATTCGAGAATGTTATGAAGACTAGGAAAAAAAAAATGTTACCCTTGGGTGTTCCCTGATTGCACAAACGCCCGACTTGGTCGCAGAGCATCTGTTCAGAGGGTATCGCCCGGCCGCCTTAAAACTACAAATGTTGGACCCTATCTATTGGGACAAGCCGAGGTTTCTGGACACTTCCGACGATATGGATGTGATCAATGGTCTAAGGTTAAATGGTCTACATCTATTTGTTCATGCTACCCGTGATGCGTGAGCAAACGAAGAAAGAAAAAAAAGAAGAAAAAAAGAAAAAAAAGAGGTCCCCAAAACTCCTCGATCCCCGGCTGCGTTGAACAAACATTCCCTCCATCATCATCTATCATTTATCCCTCTTGGTATGCATAGATTCGCCCATCAGACCCTCTAAAGATCGATGAGATCCACCTCGGAGAAATCCGGGGGGTTGCGCCCGTACACGACCCGTACCTTGCTGTCCAAAGCCGTCCCCTCGTTGCTGATATGAATGTTCTCCGTGTAGGCCATAGTCAGCCGGACCTCGTCGTCGCTCACCCCAAGGTCATCACGGGGGATCCACACAGCCGGCACCCGCGCACGCAGTGCGCGATGCTTGAAGGCGTCCCGCACAAGCGCGTTCCTCTCCTCGGGCATCAAGTCCTCGATCTCGTCAGCGATGCCCCCATACAGTGCTTCTCCAATCGCACGCTGGGCTTCGAGATCCTTTTCACGTTGGCGGCGACGATACTCCGCCGCATTCTTGACGCCCGACCTCCCCTCGACCCTGTTCCAAGTCATGTTACGGATGCCCTTGCCCCCGCGCTTCGCAAGGTCGCGGACATCCTTGACCGGCTTGAAGAAGGACTTCTTGCCCCTACCCGCCGCCGGCAAGCCTTTGAGCTCAATATCGTCGTCGTTTGCAAAGCACCCATCCAGGCTGTGCGCAGGAGGCTTCTCGTCGTTCCCATCTTCGTCTTCGCTCTCCTCCAGCATGCCGAACCGTCGGAGCTGCTCCTGTTCAAACGCCCGGTCTCTGAGTGCTGCTTCGTCTTCGACAGTGACCGGCAGGTACCGAAAAAGCGGCGAAAACGACCGGTTCAGCAGAACCTGGTAGAGTGCTGTCAGGGCTACGGCGACGAGCATGATAATGGCCTGCGGGTTACCCGAAGTGGCTGCCGCCGTCTGTGAGCCCCGAGACCCAGCGGCGTCGCGACCCACTATGAAGAACAGGCCGGCCAGGCACAGCTCCATGACATATAGTCCGGTGAAGGTCTGGTTGAGGGCAGTCGGGTACATGATGCCTCCAGTGTCGTGGCCGTTCCGGATGACGTAGACCAGGCAGTACTTCTGAGACACCCACAAGAGGCCGAAGGTGATGATGGCGAAGACGGAGATGAGCGGCGCCACGACCGAGTAGATCAGCGCTATACACGCGAAATTCGTGTAGACGGGGAATACGTGGGCCCATCCCATCTTGTTGAGCGTAACGTTGCGTGACCACTTGCTGCGGGCGGTGTCGTCCAGGATCTTGGCCAGCACGTACCATACAACGAGTGTACCGATCTGGAGGAGAGCACCCGAGCTGGCAGAAAAGGCTTGGAGAAGCATGTAGGAGAAGAAGTAGTTGGCGGCCTTGGGCAGGTTCTCGGCCAATACCTCCCAGATGTAGTTGATGTTGCCTAGTTCCTGGAAATTGGTCCATAACGTATCGACCGACGCCGCGAAGAAGGCCGCAATGGATACGACGAGGAATACCTGGACGAAGAGGAAGATGAAGAAATATCGCTGGACGAATTCCGATTTCTGTGTGCCCGTTTTGGCTCCCTTGAAATCGGCAAGGAGATCCAGAATGATAGGCACAATGACGAGGAGAAGAGCAAGCAGCACCGGCGGGAGGACACCGGCTATCGCACCAGAAACCTGCTCAACGGTGTCGTTGCTCTTAATCCATTGAAGAAAAGGCAGCTCGGCCAGCGAGTCAATGTTGGCGATCGCTGCAGTCCACGCAACGGGAAAAGACCAGAAGATGACCATAGTCGCAATCAGGGCCACCACCGCTGCTGTCCGCAACCATTCGTCCCACCAAGATATGGCCATGTTGCTCCAAATGACATCCTTGGGAGATATTTCGTTGATCCGTGGAGCCATCTGCTTTGGAAGGTGATGTATGAGGCTTTGACAGGCGAGATGAGCCGAGATTTGTTCATTGAATTGTATAAAGGCCGATGACATGAGAGGATACCGCTCAGGATTCTGCTGGTCGGTCCGAATCTCGAGGTTGAGGCGCGCGAGTTCCGTCCGGCACCAATAAATCGTATCCACCTTCTTGCCAAAAGTGAGCCAAGCCAGCCAGCCCGGGAACCCCCAACGAGGAACGCGGTGCTTCGGGCGGTCCTTGGGCTTGATGTACTGGCGCCATGCGGCCTCGGATTCGCCCTCCGTGTCATCCCGGTAATCCTCGCCGGTGAACGATGCTGGTCCGTACTCGACGGGTGCCACGGCGCCCCCGCTATGCACAAACGGGATAAACGACAAGATCTTCTGGCCGGAGGTCTTCTCGGAATGGCGATTATCAGGAACGGACTCGTCGCCCCCATATTGTACCTTCTGAGGAACCGGCGAAACGTAACCACCGGCAGGAGGTCGCCAGAACTGGTACCACTTGCGCTTTTCGTTGTCATACATCTGGCTTATATCATCCAGTCTGCGAACGGTGTTGCCGTTGGCAACAGTGTCGAACTTGGCGGGGTCAATCGGCGAGGAACTCCTGGAGTCGTCGACGGAGCCGTTCCGAGCATCATAGCCAACAACGTCTTCGCCGGCCAGATCCGCCATTTGTGGTTGGTTGGCAGCAGAAGCAGCCACGGTGCTAGGGTGGGCGTCGTCGTTTGGCGAAGAATAAGTGGCTGGACCGTCATATCCCGATGCGTGAGGAGGCTGTCCAGTTGTCGGCGCGTCGGTCCCCGAGGAGCCAATCCTAATGAACCCGTGGGTTGTTCCCACCTCGTTTTCGACACCCTGGCCCAAAGCGCGGAAGCCCTGGCCGGCCTTGTCCACGCCGCCAAGAATGCCTTTCCCGAACTTGTTGATGCCGTCGCCCAGCGTGCCTAAACCAAAACCTTTGCCCTGCGAGCCCGAGGAGTTGCTACTTGACATGGCTCTGCTGCGGCGCCGCTGTTCCTGCTCCTCGGCGCGGGCGTCGTCCACGACCTCGGAGACGTTGCGAGGTACCTGGTCGTCCGTTCCGGAGCTTACTCCTTGGCCAGCTTCGGCCATCCTCCTGGCGGCTTCGTCCTCGCGCTTGCGCCTCTGCTCGAGCTCCGACTTTGTCGGCGCATTGAGGCGGGATAGTCTCCGGTCTTTTTTCTCGTCCTTTTTCCTCTCCTTGAGTTGCCGCTTCTTGGCCGCTCTGACGAGCTGGGTCTCTGCGGCCTCGAGCTGTTTGTGGATGGCATCGCGTAGCTCGATCTTTTCCAGCAGACTGCTCAAGTCGCGGTTCAGCCAGACGTTACGAATGCCGCCGGGAAATACGTCAAAGAGACCCCGGATAGCCTCCTGCGTGAGCCATTTGGCGGGGACGTTGTTGACTAGGACAGTAGTCGCTGAAGCGCGAAGTCGATGCTCTGCGCTGGTTAGGTAATCCTGGCGAATCTTGATGTAGACCCTGAGCTCGAAGAATATGACAAGGCAGACCCAAACTATGACGAGAAGGGCCAGAATCAGATGGGCCCAATAGCGCTGAGAATTGGCTCCGGTTATGTTGCCGAAGGCTAGCGTATCTAGGCCGGTGGGTGTCGGGGTCAAGTAGCTCGCCTGGTCGTCGTTGCCCGTGCTATTGTTCGTATCACCGGTATCCAGCACAGTGTTGCCACGTCCTCCGATGTAGTTGAGGGGAATCAGAATAGGTATCGTAACGAGGGCGATGGGCACAAAGATGATGAGCAGGGCCCTGAGGTATCGCAGAAAGAAGTATGCATCCAGGCCACATCTTTTGATGATCTCACGGTCGGTAAAGGAATAGAGCGTCTTGAGCAGCTCTATCGGACTGGCGGGTGGTGGGTCAAACCGCTCTCGTTCAGGGGCAAGGTAAGTCTTCGGTTTGCTGTTGGCGGTTAATCGGTCAGTAAGCACATGGAGGGGTGTGTATACAAAGAAGAGTCGAGTAGAAAAGCGGAATGACGCACAAGATTCTGGCAAGCTTGTTTCTCAATAGGAGGAACACGGCGATTTGGACAACGAAGACAACGATGGACACGGTCAACGCTGCGAAGAAAGCGTTCAGGGTGATGCCCTCTCTGGACTGCGCAGAGGCAGGCTGGCCGTCGAGGTCTTCATCCATTGTCCGACTGCGGGTTTGGAACGGACGGTCCCGTCAGGGTAGGGTGTCCTAGTCGGTAAAGATCCTATCCTCTGGTGAGATTTCGAGGTATGGGGGTTGACGGTAGGTTTTGAAGTACGTTCAAGCCAAGGCAAAATAGCTATTGGCATGCGGAAGGTGATTAAGGTTGGTGATTCAGGTTGATATCGGAGGACCGGAGGGGGAAACGGTGCCAGTCGAATATGGTGGCCCAGAGAAGGGGATTGAACAATGGAAATGTGGGAAATATGCTGGCAGACAAAGGACGAGAAAGCGCGAAGGGGTATGTCAACAAAGAGAGAGACTTCACACTATCCTGCATACAAGTACTGGGCTAGCCTTCCTCCTTCATGACGACAGGAGAGTGAAGTGTTGAAGGGGAAAGCCACGGCCAAGTCATGATGGAAATGGCAACCAGGGCCGGAATGAAAGCGTGGTGGCATGGATGTGGATGAAGTATTCGTACGTCGTAGGTATGTATTGGGAGGCCAAGACTTGTTTTTGCAGTGCTGTTTCCCCAAGATCCGCCCCAAGGACCCTTCGTCATTTCAGCAGCACAACTATTGGCGGGGACGGTAGTAAACCATGCGGCTACACGGGGCGCTGGCTTAAACGATTGGTTTCCGTAGTGGGTCTTACCGCAAAAAGGCAAGTGAGCTGGGGACTGTGACATCACAGGCTTCCATTGGTCACGAGAACCCTTCACTTAAAACACAAAGTAAGTCAATTGATAAAGTTGTTCCCGAGCTGAAATTAGGACGGCTGAGTGCGATCTTTGCCATTCCAGCCAGTCTGGTACATCATAGGCCCAAACTTCCTCGTTAGCCGCCACGCTGATTTCCCAGAAAACTCGAACCATTCAACACTAAATTTTAGCTGTCTTCTCACCATATTTTCTATTACTCCGTCTGTGTGCGCTTGGGTTCTTGGGTTGTTTTTTTGTATTGTCAAATGCGACGACGACGTACGGAGTAAAGTACTGTTCACTAAGGTACGGTACCGTAGGTACTCCGTAAGAGTTCGTGTAGCCCCAGTTCATGACGTCGTGGTCATTCCGCAACGCGATGGTCCCAGTCCTCCTGCGTACCCATTGCCGCTTCGTCAGGGCCACCTTTCAAGACGGCTAGTAATGACATATTATACACTACAGATATACAATGCTGAGGGTGGGGCAATTGATCTTTATCCCGGCGGTTCGGCGGCTACGACCCTGACGTTCTGAAATTATCCGTAAACATTCGCGCCCCTAATAATGTCCGTACCCGTACCCGCACGCTCAAATTGGCGACGATGCGCTTGAGGGATAGTCTCAGCAAATCACCGCTCACGGGTTGTTCCCTGCTATACAGTAAGGGGGCATCGACATGCTCCAAAGGCTATCTTGTTATTGACTGACTGTACCTAAATCACACACAAACGAAGACTACCGAGGGCCGAACACAAAGCTGAGGTATTGCTTAGGTATGGGATGTACAGTTTTGACAAAACTGCCACGGGGTAATTATTCCATTGCTGGGCCAAATTTGCATCCAAAGAACCGTTGACAACGGATCTTCACGCTTCAGATCTTCTCAGCGCAGTAGTCGATGCTTAATTTTACACAAAGTCAAGGAAATCAATCTATACGGAGTACCTTATGTGTGTACACTTTATTCGACGTCGCGATTCCAGTTTGTCCGGTGAGCAACATCTCCCGAAAGTATCCGTACATCGAGCAGTAGATAGTCATTTGCTCAACAATGTCGTAGACCCGTGAGGAGGCTGGACCAAAGAATGAGCTATAAAAGTAAGTATACCTCGTGCCTCGACCTGTCTCAGTACATTTACGAGCATTGGGTTCCAGAACTCATCGCTGGGCAGCTCACCCTCTGCGCAGACCAAGGACGTCGCGGCTCAGTCGTCGCGGCCAGTCCAGATTGCGAAGCGAGATTTTGTCAAAGGTTGGAGGAGGGAGAAAGGGAAACAACCAAAAACCCATGGAATTATCAACTCGGAATGTCACTAAAACCCGACGTGATCGTGACAACCCGGTCCTTCAGAACAAATATCTGACGACTATAGTGCCGTTGTCGTTGACTCTTGACATATTCTGAATGAATATCCAGGGCCTGGCCGCATTTGAGATTCCGTCTATAAACCCAACATCCGGAAATACAAAGGGAGAAAGAGGCAGGCCCTTGCGTGTTGCAATTCCTTTTAACGCCAGTAAAACATTTGAGTACAGAGCACCAAGAAGCAGCGTCGCCGCAGCATGCCCGGAATGCGCATGAGCATGGCCACGTCCACCACATGCTCGAAATATTCTTGCTAAAATAAAAAACAATGAGCCTTCTTTGTGGCTCCTTTCCCGCCTTTCCCCTGAAATCAAGAAGGAGGAAGCTTCGGTTTCGTTCTCGATGGCTTTGTCGCTTGTTACGCTTCGCTTTATCGCTCGATTTCTCGGTATTTCTCCTCGAGCGTCTCTTATCCTTTAGAGACGATCATGAAGTACCCTGGCACCCTGGTACCGCATGTACCGCTGTAGCTTAGAAGCAGCAGACGTCCAAGCAGCAGCAACAGGCCAGGGCACCGCAAATACCGGCCAAAGCACCGGTGGCAGCACCGCCGGCGGCGCCGTCGGTACCACGGTTATCGTGAAAACCGCTTTGGGGCGGAGGATATTGACCGGGCGGAGGGTACATCTGGCCCGGGGGCGGGCTGCCGTACATGTTGGGGCCGGGAGGAGGGTACGGCCCGCCCTGCTGCGGGGGAGGTGAGCCGTAGTAAGGTTGGCCACCTGGAGGGGGAGCGCCCATCATCTCAGGACCGGGTTGGTAGCCGCCGTAGGCTTGTTGGGGAGGCTGAGGCTGGGGCGGGCCGTGGTATGCGGGAGGTTCTTCGTACTTGCTGCCCATTTTTGCTTTTTGCGACTGGAGAGCGGGGATGACTGGTAGTTGGAGTCGAGATTTGGCGAGGACCAGGCAGGACAAGAGATAGGAGTACAGATTTGATTACTCGTGAAAATTATTGCCTGATGGCAGTGAGGAATGAACGGTGATGCCTGATAAATGCCACAAGAGAGGCAAAAAAAGAAGTTTTAAGGTGGTTAAGGAAAGAGGAAAACGATAGGGAAAGGAGAACCTTAAGTTGGGGGAGAGGGGTGGAGGAGTAGGTAGGAAAGGTGAAACGTACGTGTACTTCGTAGTACTTGGGGGGGACAGGTCACCAACTCCCTTGACAGGTCGGAGGCGGAGCCGTGGCTAAGTCTCCGAGGAAAGAAGGGGCTAGCCTAAACAAGCTAGTGCAACCCCAATGAATGCCGCCAGCCGACGCGAGGGAGTGGAAGAAGTGGATCGTTGGCTCGTCGTCCGCTGTTATTGGCGATAGGCGCGACCTCGGTTTGCTTCGCCTTTCTTGCCCGTTGGGCGTACATATGGGAGATTAGGGGTGTCGCTGAATGAGAGGTACTTCGAGAAAGGCCGAAGTAAGGGGACCACAAAGTAATCGAAGCGCTTTTATCTTTGATAAGCATTTGGCAGTGATGGCTGATATTAAGATCACTTCGTTTCTTCTGTTCGGTTGACTTCACCTACCTAGCAGCCTAGCAAGCTCGGAAATGGCGAAGAGAGCTGACGCGGCCGATCTTCCCCACGTGAACTCATCTGACCCACTAAGGTAGCCAATGAAACGGTCTTGCACTGGTCGCTTACTGGACTCTGCCACGCACTTGAGTTACGTGTACTCGGGGTTAGTTGGTGTTAATAATAAGGCCGTGTTCCGGTCAGAGGCGGCGACCGGCCGAACGGTCTAGAGTGATTATCTTGCTTTTCAGCGGCGCAGGATAAGATGGCGAAAGCCGACGCATGGATCCGGATAAATGTTATTCTAATAAGACGACTATCGCACTGATGATCCGTCACGATGAGAACGGGTCGTGGTGTCGGTCATGCTGATAGAACACGTAGAGTACCCCCCTATCTTACCTACCTTACCTGGAGATGAAGGATCCGTCACTCCTTCATTCCGACTTTCCACCATTCCCCATTTACCAAGCAATACACCATAACGGTCTCTAGTCCGTAGAAGTCTTATGGCCAAAGGATTTGCAGACTAAACACTGGGAAACGGCTTTACCGTGCTGCAGGTACGAAGTATATGGTACTTGGTGGCCCCATCCCGTCACGACTCCACACCACGATCACGACCGCACCCGGAATTTATTCTTTCACTACTACTTCGTAATTACAGAATATCCATATCCCGACATTCTTGGAGCAGTCCCCAAACATTTGATGATCGTTGAGGTTTTATAAACCACTGTGCATGAGTCTCATGGCCGAACAACGATTGATCAAAACCACAGTTCTCATAGACCAGCCATCCCGCTCCCTACCATGGAAAAGACGTTGCACTTTAAGGACTCGGACGCGTCCGAGCTCGAGCCGTTTCTGCCCACGGAGACGCTCCTACAGGCTAGCGCAGCCCAAGGCCGCCCCTTCGTGACACTCACCTTTGCCACCTCGCTCGATTCGTCGCTGTCCCTGGCGCCGGGGACACGCACGCGGCTATCGGGCCCGGAATCCAAGGCCATGACACACCACCTCCGCAGCCGCCACGACGCCATCTGCATCGGCGTGGGGACCGCCGTCGCCGACGACCCGGGGCTCAACTGTCGAATCGAGGGCGTCGGACTGGACCGGCAGCCGCGACCCGTGGTCATCGACCCGCGCGGCCGGTGGGATCTCACGGCGCGCAGTAAAGTCCTGGAGGTCGCGCGGGCGGGGTTAGGGCTTGCGCCGTTTATGGTCACGGCACACGGGGGCGACGTAAACCCCGAGTTGAGGACGTTGCTCGAGGAGCATGGCGGCAAAGTCATCGAGGTGGATACGAGCCCTGGTGGTGGTGGTGATGGTGGTGATGGTGGTGGCCCGGGAGACGACGGTTCGCATCCTGGGAACCACATCCGGTGGGGAGATATCCTCGCGGCTCTTCTTCGGGAGGGACTACGGAGCGTCATGATCGAAGGAGGAGGGCGTGTCATCAACTCTTTACTAGCACCCGCATGCCATGACCTTGTCGATTCGGTCATCGTGACTATTGCCCCGACCTGGCTCGGCCAGGGCAGCGTCAACGTGTCGCCGGATAGGGTGCACGACGAGAGGGGAGATCCCGTGCCTCCAGCAAGACTGTCGTCAGTGTCATGGCATCCCTTTGGCGAAGACGCGGTCCTTTGTGGGAGACTGGGCCATAACCCAGGTAATCCTTGATACCTTAGGAGGCTCTTCCCCGAGCAAATCACGATTTGCCAAAAGTGGCTTCGAAGTACCTTGGCACCCAACTTTGAACTGAAGGTTACTTGAAAGTGACCTAGAGAGGTACGGGAAAACGATACTCGGCATCTTACCTCAGTAATGACCCCATACCTAGGTACCTTAGGTACCTACACTACAAGCCTCTCGGTGAGCTCCGGTCCACCTCGGCCGATGATGCCCCTCATCTTCCAGCGCCATCGTCCAACCTCGTTGCTCTGTCGTTACCCCTCCAACCTCCAAACCCCCCACCACGAGCATTGAACTGACCATCCTCAACCCACAACTTCATCCACTCCTCGATACGTATTAGTCCGACGTTTCCATCTCATAAATTCTTCACTGAGAATTTGATTTTTTTTATGTTCTTACGATTTTCACGTTCCATACAATACATCCATCTCTATTCATCCTCCCCATTGACTTATTACTCCATACATCTATCCCTCCCTCTCACTTATCGCCCTCGCGCCTAACACAACCATGACTTCCTCATCGTCCACTTCTCTCCCCCGTATCACCGTCCTCGGTTCCCTCAACATCGACCTCACCTCCTACGTCCCCCACCATCCCCTTCCAGGTGAAACCCTAACCTCCAACGGCCTGGTCGTCTCTCCCGGTGGCAAGGGCGCCAACCAAGCCGTCGCCTGCGCCAAGCTCTCCCGCGGCCGCGACCATGATAAGGACCCTTCCTCCATCACCGCCGTCGTCGCCATGGTCGGCGCCGTAGCCCAAGACAGCCACGGCTCCCTCCTCCTCAAGAACCTCGCCGCCCACGGCATCGACGCCTCCCAGGTCCTCCAGGTCTCCTCCGAGACGACCACCACCGGCACCGCCATCATCATCGTCGACGAACCCACCGGCCAGAACCGCATCATCTTCACCCCGGGCGCCAATTCCGACCCGGCCCTCTCCCACTACACATCCCTTCCCGAGACCTCCTCCGCCGACGCCCGCCCCGACCTCCTCGTCATGCAGCTCGAGATCCCCCTCGCCACCGTCCTCGCCGCCCTCGAATCCGCCAAACGCGCCGCCGTCCCCGTCCTCCTCAACCCGGCCCCCGCCCAACCGCTCCCAGACCACGCCTACGCCGGTCTCGCCCACCTCGTCGTCAACGAGACCGAGGCCTCCATTCTCTCCGGCTGCGCCGAGTCCGACCTCGACGACCTCGACGGCCTCCGCCGCGTCGCCAAGTGGTTCCTCGACAAGGGCGTCGTCAACTTCGTCGCCACCCTGGGCGGACGGGGCGTCTACTTCCGCTCCGCGGACGGCAAGGATGCCCTCGTCCCGGCCGAGAAGGCCAAGGTCGTCGATACCACCGCCGCTGGGGACACTTTCGTCGGCTCTTACGCCGTCTCCGCCGTAACGGCTGCTCATGAAGCCAAGCCTTTCGACATCGAGGCCGCTATCCGAAGAGCGAACCGTGTCGCCGCAAAGACCGTCGAAAGGAAGGGTGCCCAGGACTCGATCCCTTGGGGGGACGAGGTGAATTAGCAGCGTACCGTAGAACATAACATTGGTACATACCACTGATGATAAATCGTCAAAGGCGAGTCCTTGAGACAAAGCCCTGTCTTAACTCACTCCACCCGCCACGAATGGGTTTCCAGGTCCCCGAGGATTGTCCGAGATGCATTGGCATTGGGCGTTGGTCTGTTTGCTTATTATTGAATGGTGCTGTTGGACGTCGAAGCCGCCGCGGTTTCTACAATGTTTCTAATATTGAAACAAGCCTGTGCAAGATTCCATCTATACCCCTATTTTTACTCATGCCGCCTAACACCCCCCCCCGTCACACATCAATACTTTGCATCCTGCTCCTAACCATACAAAATTATAACATTCACCACCAGCTTGGCCACCCCCAGCGACCAGGCTCCTTGTCATCAGCTCTTCCCATGCTTCTACGGCGGACTGACCCGCATCGCATGGCCCCGTTACGGCCCTGCAGCTGCTCTTCCCCTGAAGTCCAACCGCTCGACCCAGCCAACGTCGTCGTCTCGTAAGCACTCGGTGTCCCCAACCCCTTTTCCGTTGTCCATGGGCTTGCGTCACTCGACCTCATGCTGCGCGCTGTTGGCGAATGCTCGACCGCGTTCTCATCCTGTTTGGCACTTGATACCTTCGAGATTGACAAGCGCTGCATCCACTGCAGCAGCGACCTTACTCGGTTGCCGGAAGGCCCCCGTACCTCTCTTGACGAAGTCGTTGCCGCCCTCTCAAGCTGTGTCGATGTTTTTGCTTTTCCCAGACTCGCCCCGCGATGTGGCACCTGAGCTACCTATGACGGTACCCTCAGCGGTATGCCCACTCTGTCGAGGAAGGCGTAGTCGTCGTCCTCCTCTATGTGTATCCGTGTGGGTGCGGGGCCCACAGTCTCAGGTCGCATCCGTTCTCCGCCCCTTTCTTGAAACTTGCAACAACAAGGCAAGCCAACTGGCCTGCGGAGCGTCGCTGCTGGACGATACGACTCCATCTGACGGGCGGCTTCAGCGGCGCGGTTAGGAGTCCAGTGGGCCGCAACGGTATCAAGGAGCGGGTTTGACATTGGCCTTGGCGGGGGGCGGGGACTCCATGGGGATCGACGGTTGTAGCGCTTCAGTGAAGCGGTTGCTGTGGTCTCAAGCCGGGTCTGCAGGTTGGTGAATCCGGCATTGGCACTTCCACTTACGCCGTCTTTACGCCACGGAAACGAGGAAGGGAAAGCCCCGGCAGGGAAGGCAGAGTGGGTGTAAGTTAGGCGGACGTGCAGGTAATCGACGAGAGAGCTTCCTAGGTGATATTCAAGGTCGTCCATGAGTTGGTCTGATTTCTGCTGGATGTGCAGAGAGTCCGGGGTATCAGCCCCCGGAACGGCACTGGGGTTGGAGATGCGGATATGAGCAAGAAGAAGGGTCCCCGCGCCAGCATAAAGGATGCTGCTACAGATATATTGTTAACAACCAAATCGATAGGCAAGACCTCGATCTGGATTTAGGAGTGTTGAACTAACGTCGGAGGTGGATCGTTCTGTATGACATGAACGATGGCATTTTCCCCAGTGGGCCGCAATTCAACACGAAGATCGGAAAGGCAACCATAACGACGACCGTCGTAATGGAAGGTGTCTGAATTGACTGAAACTGTGTCAGTGACACACAAGTCACGTTTACTTAAAAGAGTGCTTTTTTCTCGGGTGAGGATACAGACCATAGTCAAATCCCCCGTTGTTTCTACCAGTATGAGGCACGCCAAGCGCACCACTCTGCGCCTCACACACCTGCCCGGTGATTTCCACGGCGACCCAGATGGAGTCAATAGTCTCGTCCAATGCTGGGACCTCGGGTGTTATAGTGATGTGCGGAATGAGGACCAATGCATCTGGAGCGACGGGGCGCGGAAAACTGTGCGGGAAAGGCGGAGGGGACGTCGACATTTCTTCCCAGTCGTGATATGAGGGCTGAGCAGACACCAGTCGCCCATCTTGTGAATGGCAGTCGTACGCTTCAAGATAAGCTCTGTCACTGGCATCCGAGGCCCTGAATACGGGGCAAGGTGTGGTATATTGGCATGTTCCGCCGCCATGACGGGCGGGTAAGTGAATAATCTTTCGGGCGTGAGGCATCGAAGCAAAAGTTCTCTCGGGTTCTTCTCGTGGGATACAGGAGGAAAATGTTTGCTGTCGTTTCTTCTTCACCGTTAAAGACCAGTTCCCTCCCAGCGGCTCGGAAGCGCTACCAAGGCTGTCGTCCGTCTCGGCGCTCAAAGTCCTCATGGGGTAGCCCTCGTTGCTTTCGTCCCCTTCGTCATTCTTGGATGAACTCGGCCTAAACAGCCTCTTGGTAATGCGTAAAGGTGCCGGCTCCGATAGGTCGCTAAATGATTGTCTAACTGGCCTTGCTGTCATGGTTGTATACTGTGGTTGTCGTGGTGCAGCGCAGGGCGATTGGAGAATGAGAACCACTAACAACAGGCTGCTTATAAGTGTGACATGACGATTTTATTACAGAATGGCTGAACGGAAGATAGCCCTAATGCTTGCGGTTATGCCGTGATAAAAAGAAATACGGTATCTACCTATCAGTTTCCCAACGCCAGGGGGTATATAGGTACTAGGTAAGGTAAGTTGGGTGAAAGGGGAAAAGCGAGTCCAGTAAAGGAAGCAGAAAGTCATGCGCTTGTTCCCAATGTCCGTAGCAGATTCTCCTTGACAGCAGCAACATCATCCTCTTCCATGGCGAGAAAATGAATCTGTGTTTACATTTAGCATGCAGATTCGTCCCGTGGCTGTCGTAGACGGGAGGAGTAACGAGGAAAGGAGTGGGGGAGTATAACGTAGGGAGATGGCTTTCTGCCCCATGTTTGACACATACCAGATCATCCCCAGCTCCTGCACTTGAAGAACCGTACAACACTGGCTCGGAGAGTGAAGTAGCGATCCCCTTTTTCACCCGATCCTCCCACACGCCTTCCCAATTCCATTCCCCAGGTTGCCTAGAAGCAATGGTGGGCGTCATTGGCTCCGACGGAAGCGAGGCAGTTCCTCGTCCCTCGCCATTGCCCCCGCTCTCACCCTCTCCCTCTCCCTCTCCCTTGCCGTCGCCCGCTGGCTCTCCTTCCTTCGAGTCACCGTCTTCCCCCTCGTCATTTTTGCTCTGTTCGCCGGCTGGCGAAGTCGTAGCAGTCGCCACCGAACCCGGATCCGGTCTCTTCATCCGCTGCCGAGTGCGCCACGCATGCCACGCCCCGGGATTCCCAGCCGCCTCCAGTGGCACCGAGTCAAGCACAGCCTCGTCGTCGAACGTGCTGCGGATGTAGCGGAGGACCTCGTAGATCGTCGGGGTGTCTTCGCCGCTCGTCGTTGCAGCATTGGCTCTGCTGGAGTCTGGTGTCGCCATGGAGCTCCCATTTCCATCGTCTGCCTGCACCGGCGTGCCTGGCGGTTGTTGCTGCTGCTGTTGCTGCTGTTGCTGCTGTTGCTGCTGTTGCTGCTGTTGCTGCTGTTGCTGCTGTTGCTGCTGTTGCTGTTGCTGCGAGTATTGGCCCCCAGTGGCGTGTCGGCCTTCAGCTTGGGTCCGACCGCGACGCCCGAACCACCCGGGAAAGCCATGACGCAGGGAGAAACCACCGGGAGGAAGCCGCTCGTCGTCGGTTGCGCTAACGGTGCCGTTTCCATGGACATCGGTGGTGTACATATAAGTGGTGGGAGGGGCGAGCAGGGGATGAAACATGTCGGTTGAGAAAGTGATTAGGGGCGGTAGTGTAGGGTAGGTGTCCGCGAAGGAGATCTGAAATCGCAAGACGGCGTTCTCATAAGGTCCTGATTTTGGGATCAGTGGACTTCCTTTAATATAAATTCAAGAGAATGGCCTGGAAGTTGTCACCCATCTCAACATTCGACCTTACCTCGCCGAATGAACATTACACCTGACCATAGTGACGGGTCGCCTTGTGTGGGACTGACGAACACTCCCTCAGGACATGCATGCTTGAGACTATTGCTATATTTTCCTATTAGCCATGTTCGAAGCAGAATAACGAGATGATTGTCTCAAGGGACTATAGTGCACACAATTCGAGGAGGGTATGCTGTCGTCTTAGCGACGGCATGCCCGTCAACTTGAGACTAGCCATGATCGAACATTTAGAGACAAAAATCTCGTATTATGGCTGACTTGAAGAGTAATAAATATCCGCTCTTCTTGGATGCCTCTCAAGTGCGAGACACCGGTTCACAACAATCTCCATATGAAGTACCATCTTGGCATCACGGTCATTCCTGAAGCGGTGTGCGAAAGCGGTGTATTTCTGCCGGTCTTGATCTTATCTTATCGATGCTCCATGCACAGTGTGAGGGAAAATGGAGCGGGGATTACCTTCAGGTACCTAAGGTGCTTTAAATTAAGGTACGGCACGGAGTAATTATTCGCAATTATTCCGCACTTCGTAATATCACTTCACTTTTTGATGATCAAATTCCGGAATCCTGCGCAGGACTATAAGTCCGAGATATTAAGTCTACATCACACATGGGAATGTAGTGCAGAGACATAAAAGCTTGAGATAACGGACTTCGTTTCGTCTATGCATGGCAGCGGGCGGCGGGCAGACGAGTCAAAAGCAAAGTGATTGAAACGGAACGCTGCCCTGGTTCGTCAGGCTGAGCTAGATACGAATAGCTTGGGCAAGTTGAGGTTACACAACACATTTAAACCCCTGTCTGCATGAATGACCGGCCCAAAGGCCAGAGTCAGAGCTACGGTCCCGCCGGCGCAGTCACACGACCCCAGAACCCGGTCAGACAAGGTGAGGAAAGCACGGATACTCCGCAGCCATACGCCTAAAAGACAGTGGCAGCCCCCATGTTCCATGATCCAGAGCGAAATGTCGCCATTCCCAGGTCTAGAACAAGGCCAGCTCATCATATCCCTTGTCCTGCGCTGCGACGTATATGGATTCAAGAGTGGTGATTTCAACGATAGGACGGTGTGACCAATGTCGCCGAATCATTCGTAAATTTAACTGCGTTGAAGGTACAGTCTCTCGGTCTTTCATATCCAAGCCACACGAGCGAACCGAGCATCCTAGGGTACTCCTAGCTATTGCTGAGTGGGGGTGAAGGATATAGGGGCAATAAAAAAAAGAAAAGAGAAGAGAGAGAAGGCCCGGGGGCAGGGGACGGAGAAGGAGGGCGGACGTAAGGATGTACTCGTTGCAAGACGCTCGCTCAGCCCTTGGCTCCTAGTCGGCCCTCAATCTTCTCCTTCTCCTTCTGCTTGAGTTCCTCCATCTCCTCCTTGCTCGCGTCGAACCGCGCGCTAAGCTGATTGAAAGGGTTGTCCGGGCTCTTCTCAAATTCTTTCCGAATCCTCTCCTTGCGTTGGACGAGCCGCAATCCCTGTCCGCTACCGTCGTCCTCCATCTCCTTCAGCCGGCGCTGCTCGAAAGCGGCGAAAGCGGCCTTGAAGCGGCGCTCGGGGTGCTTGTCGATCTTCGTATCGCTCGGTCCCGTCAGCGACAGGGCGTCGAGGGCGTTGTCTATGCCCGAGGCGTTGAGTGCAGATAGCGGCCTGTCTCCGCGGCCACCGTCATCGTCGAGCTGTGACAGGTCTAGCCCGCGCGTCTTCTTAGTGGCCGTCTTGGAATTCTTGGGTGCCGATCGCCCGGGGTTGCTAGCTTCCTCCTCTTTCAACAGGGCCTCGCGCTCCGCCTTCTTCCGTGCTGCTTCGGCCTTTTTGGCAGCCTCTGCTTCCCTATTCGGCCGAGTTGCATCAGCACAATATCCATGTGTTACCAGGGGATGCCTGGACAAAGTTTCCTAGCAGACCGGGACTCGGGTCTGGGCTAGGCTGGGGGCTCGGGGAATTCCCTCGATGCCGACCGGTGAGCTGGGGTCCTTGCCGGGGTGGCCACGATGGGAACAATTGCGCAGGATTCCGCCCATCGGTCCATTGTTTATGCCCGCTCACTTTTGGCCCACCCCCCAGTTTCTCTAGTTTCTCCTCACGCTTTGTTCGATGCTTTTTGTGGTTTGGTGGTTCGGGTTCGGTGGTTCACCTACTTCTTAGCGTTGCTCTTCGCCCCCTTTGACCATTGGCTGTCCTCGACGACATCCTTCTTTGCTTCAGCTTCTGTAGCCTTGGCAGCTGCCGCTTCTTGTTTGCGAGCTTGACCAGCAGCCTTCTTGCTGTTCTCTCCACCTTTTTTGCCGCCCATCGCGGGTATTGTAAATCGGTCGTTGGCGCAATAGGCGTCCGGTGGCGGAGTTTCGAAACCGCGGGAATCGAGTTCGACGGGTAGGGTGAGAAATGAGAGATTTGACAAATCTGAATCGGATTCTTACTGAGACGAAACCGGTGAGCGGCTAAGTTTGCCGGCGTGGCTGTGGCTAGACCGTCGCGCACATATACCGTACACATGCACACACACGCAATGTCGACGAGGAAAGGAAAGAGGGAAAGACGCACATGGGCGTTGAAGCGAACAAGGAGTCATACGTCGTCGATGCGCAATTTGACAAATCATGGATGAGGAATGGAGCTTTAAAGAGGGGGAGGGGCAAAATGGTGCACAGTGTGTGTTACTGTAATCCCCGCCTTCCTGTCTGCGAAGTAAGGCCACTCTCCGTACAGTTAGTTGATGCTGTCAGATAAAGCGTAGTCAAAATCGTCACAAAATAGGTCAAAATTAATTGAAGCAATTATGTATAATTATGACTGTGTTAGACCGTTAGGGAAACGCTACCACCGTATTTTATATAGTGCAGATTCTACAAGCGTCCACCCGGATTATACTCTTAGTAATTCGGCCCGTTACGTAACCGATAAGACTATGGTCTTACTTACGGGCTCGATCATACTGTGATGTAGCCTTGCTTGTTGCCCTACCTACGGTACCTAGGTGGTCGGTACCTTGCCCAAGGCATCATTGGGACCTTAGTTCGAGACGAAAGTTCCCAACGTATACCAGCCTTCCCCCTATTCCTGCGCGCCGTGCCAATACCACTGCATGCGCACTTGGGCATATAAAGGCCTTGCGTCCTCTATCTCAAATCAAACGACGCTCATGATACAAGAAAGCAGCGATGTCTATCGTATATTGTGATTTAGTGACAACCTATTAGTATATGTATGGAGTTCTATTCCCGGTGTTATTAGACGTTATTAGCGCCCGGCTGAGGAAGTCAGGTTCGGATGGTAACTACGTAAGCTTGTGGACCCATCTGGCAAGGCAAAGAAGAGACAGGTTAGTGACGAGGGGGAACAAGCAATGTAAAACAATTTTATGCATAAACATCGCGCAGTCTTTCCGTTCATCGCTACCTTGTCATTGCCCTTGAAAGGAAAACAGCGACATTGAGAAATTGTACCAAGGACATCTCTGCGATGTACCCAGGCTGACCGGTGGTGGGCTGAGCCACTCAGAGAACATTTTCGGTCAGGAAGGCTGCAGAACCTCCCTTTCCGGGTCATTGTCAACGCCCATTGATCTGTTGGTTTTCCATTCCCCATTATTCTTGGCACTTGCCTGATCAACCGCCCTTCCTGCAACATGGCTTGCAGCTGCCAGGTTGATCAAAAGCCCGAGCCAGGAGGGTCTCCCAGGCATTTTGGATGTTGGCCGCTCTTTGCTCTTCACTGGCAATGTCTCGGGCGGACATCTCGGGGACCATTCGCCGGTCTCAAAGAACACGTGGAACTCCTTCTCAATTCGAACGTTGTTGCCGACGGCTAAGCAAGTTAGTTAGCCGTCTGCAGCCTGTTGAATAAGGCGCGCTGCCGTTTTCTCAACCCCAGCGCAATTTCGGTATGCATGGCTGGATGAGGGCATGTTGTTTGTCGACGGCGGCTTTTCCCTCGCCCGTGCTCCCTTACTTCCCTTCCTGTGCACGTCGAATCTGAAGACGCCGGATACATCTCACGGACTATCCTAGGCCGGGCCATCAAAACCGGTCACCGCACCGTGCATACCCACCCTTCCCTGCTTTGTTTCGAGCATCCCGGAGATGATCAATTTTTTCAAACACCATGCCGAGCCTTTGGTCGTCTGCCACGTAGCCGGCGAGAAGAATCGCTTGAGCAGGTCATGTGGTCACCAAATTGGTCACGGTCCCCAATTTCCATTTTCTCTCGCTCTCCCTCGGGTGTTTGTCGTGTGCTGTTTCTGTATGCTCTTGTAGGTCCTGAAACCAGCATTTTTCGGTAACCACTAAATACAGTTGACGCAAAGGCGCTCATGGCAAATATGTTCTTCTGCAGGGCGTGCCTAACGTAGTCCTCGTGAAGGGCTACCAGACACACAGAGTTCACCTACCCTGAATTAAATGGCGCACTTTTGCTTTTGCACGTACGGATACATACAGAGGCTTAGGAATGGGACGCAAGGGTGTCAGGCTTTCCTGACCCCCTGAAAGCATGGCGCGAGAAAACGAGTTCTCTATGTAGTGTAGAAACCACCGGCCGTCTTCTCCTCGCAGCAGCCGAGCTCTTGCGAGAATTGGAATTACAGTCAAACGTCCTGTACGACTAATTCGTCTCAGTTGCAATATTCAAGTGGTTGGTCGAGAGTATGTCGCAGAAATGGCATCGAACACCCGGGAAAGCTCGACACGCATTCTTTGAAGACATCCTGCGAATGGGAGTTGTCGTTATCTCCGTCCTGGGCAAGGTGGGTTCGTTGGGGACCAAGTCACGGGGGCAAGCTATGGGGCTGTCTTGCAAACAAATGCAGAACATACACAATCGACAAGACTGCACCTGAGCACTTGATTGCGGGCGTCTATGGCTTGGTACTTACTGTAGGGACGGATGCAACGTGGGGTGCAACGAGCCCAGGTGATCTGCCTCGAGACGTCGATTACACCTGCTCCGCTTTGGCTAGAGTCGTTTATCAGTAACGATGTAAAGCCCAGCAAGCCTCAACACCATGACGAATGAAGGATTTATGACATGCCGAGCCCCTATAAGCCTCACGATGCCGAAAGAAGCCGTCGAAGCCAAGGGTTGGGTGCTGACGTGGGAATTGAATTGGAGATGTGCAACGCCCCCGGTCAACAGAAGGAGGGTTGACCGGTAATCTGAGATCAGGGGCAGTTTGCTAATCAGTGAGAAACAATATGGGTTGTCGGAGAGGGGACAGACACGGGTATTGTTCCGCGTATGTAGGCGGCGGCTGGCAACCTTGCAGTCGTCGTGACGATTCGCACCTCGCTGATCGGCGGAAATTGTCCTTAAGAAGGCAGCAGCAGCTTGGCGACGCCAACGCGGTGAGCCAAGGCCAAGTACCACGATGGCTCCCCAACGTCTAGGCAAGCAACCCAACAAATGGAGGTTAGGATGCGCATTTGAAGCGACAGGTTAGTCACATCTCATGCATAGCAGAACGTTGAAGGCCTCGCGATCATGGTCGCGACCATCGATCACACGTCCCGGCGCTGCTTGGGGGATCACGAGCACTCGCAATGCAGTACTAAGCGACGGGAAGATGACGCCTGCGTGTCTTGTAGCATAATCTCCGAGTCCTGGATCCTCGAGAACGATGTTGGCTGCATCTCCATGCAACTGCCTGTCTACCTGTATCCCTACCTCCTAGGATGCCTGGGGCAGTATAAGTTTCGCCCTTGTACTTCAAAGAGGTACACAATGGAAAAGTGGAACGGAGACCCATGGGCGTAAGGGAACAAGATGAGGATGCTGGGTCAGGCACAACGCCTTGGAGCGACATATGTTTCTGTTTCTGGATTATAAGGAAGCTATGATCTAGCATAGGCGGGATGTGCCTGCTCGGTGTGTGTTGTCGTATGAATTAGGTATGATCCTTACCTACCTTTACCTTAGATAGCTGTCAGAAGGAGTAGGCGGCGTACCGGGGAGGTACTTTAGTTCCCCGAGTCGGTTTTTTAGGGTACATGTCACGTGTGTCACACAACCCCTTTTGTAGTACTATCTAAGGTAGATAGACATTCCCTTGGAGTAATACTTTGGGAACTCTCTAATAAGGAACAAGAGAATCATGAGTTCGCGTGCCGATATTCTTGTTCTGACAATAGCTTACAAGTGAAAAATATAATAATGCGATATAATTAGTAATTATATGTATGATGGAATTCGTTACCTGGTGAGGAGATGAACCAGCAATCGCTATTTATGCTTACCTGAGGAGATGAGTTAATAAAGCGAAGACACCCATTGGCCAATTGTATTGCTTTTCACGACGAAGGTTATGACCATGAATTCTGCATCTTCCTGCGAACTAAATTTCGCTATTCAGCCTACTATGTCTGACAGCATTCTAGAATAACCTGTATTTCGGAGTGTATAGGGGTTTCCTTTTCTTCTCATTTATGTTTCCTTTTTTTTTTCCAGGGGGGGGCGGGGGAGAAGGGAAAATTACATCAAATAAAAGAAGAAACCATTTGACGTCACATGAGCCTTAGCCCCGCCCCCTTTCATCACGATTAAGGCTCACGGTTCAGCTGTCGGTCAGAACTTGCTTACATCGTAAACCAATAGTTCTGCAGAGACCCCCGTCTTGTGCTAATCCCGCTTACCCGTCACACGAGAAGATCGCCGTAACCCTTGGGATAATTTTTTTTGGGGCCTCCCCCATTTTCATACCCCTGGGGCAATTTTGTCCACTTTGGTCAGGGCATTCGGTGCCAGACTCCCTCCCCGTGACGAGAGCGAGCTGCGAATCATGGGTCTATCCACCAACCCTCCATCCCACTCGACTAGGCACTTGACAAGGGTTTCAAATCTTCATTTTACATCGTACAATGTACACACATTGGATGTGCAACAGCATCAGTTCTCGTGTCGCCTGGGCTTCATAGCGCCACCTACGACGCTAGTTTGATGGCAGCTCCCACCCCCCCTCAACCCCCCCCCCCCTCGTTTTTTTTTGTGTGGTGTTATTTTGTTGAGTCCATGTGGTTCAAACGTCAATGTTTAGCGAATTATTCCTATGAACGAGCGGTGTTCCATTCTTTCCCAGGGACAACACGCAAAACTATGGAAATTGGGGAATATTTAGCGCATGCAATGGAATCTCTAGAAGTATGGGCGCCACATTACTCGAAACATTGGTTCCGTTCCAGAGGCAAATAATAGGGTTAAGAAACCCGATCGCGCCGCGTTGGTCTAGGGCGTGGCGGAATGTAGCTTGCTAGCTCGTCTGAAACGAACATTAAGTGTAGCATTCAGTATGTCGTCGTCCTGGGCTAACCTGTTCCTGACGGGTTACAACACCGGCGCGAGAACCACAGCCCATCGGAAGCGAACCGTTCCTTTTATTTGTCCCTCCCAACCTACCTCACCAGTCCGGCATGGAGACCTGTATTCCCCAGCCATTCGGCTCCTCCCCCTCGGTGGGTCGCCAAGCCTAGCGTTTCCACTCGGTGCGACTAATAGGATACTTTCCATGGTCCCTGACAGTTCCGGTCATCCGGGTCACCAGGACTTTCTCCGATCCCCGGGTTTGGGTATGTACCCCACGAGTACCTTTCCAGTTCCCACCAGCAGTTTCATCAGCACCAATCCTGCCACCAATCCACCGGTATCCGTGCAAGCTACGAAATGTAAGGTAGAGAGTATGTAATAGAGGGGACACGAGTTGTTGTTAGCCAATTCTCCCAAGCCTTTGCAAGAATTTCCAGTGTTTCCCTGCCATTTGTTAGTTAGGATTGGTTCACGAAGTATGTCTGGACTGTTGATACCTTAGCGATGAGGTGAGAGCTATGCCCAACCCCATGTCGGAATACCTAAGAGGTATGGGACTGACTTCGATACGGATTGAGAAACTCGGTTGTGTAATGCTCTTACGGTTGCTAATTGGGCGTTTCTCTTATATAACGCGAAGGGAGGGCGTACGAAATAGGAGGTCTCGAGAGCACACAAACACGCCAAGAAAATCAGGGCTGGGGGTCAGGGTTACCTCAACGTGGGAGCGGAATCCACGAAGCAGTTTCATCGTGGAATTGATGAAATCTGCACGACATACAACCTGCACATTACATACTTCGTACGTAGGTAGGAGATACAGGATGGACCCTTGCCGACCGTCCTCCACACGTATCCGCCATTCTGGAAGGACCATTTCCCTTTGCGTGCGCTGGTCAGTTTTTCGGACGGGACAACTGAGAGCCAAGTGTGGTCTAAGTCCACTTCCGCTTTCGCAGACTACCTTAGTGTATTGCCACAGCAGAGCTGATAGAAAGGTAGTACATAATAGTACTAGCCCTGGCTGAATGCGTACATAAGGGGGCTCAAACCTAATTAGTTAAGGTCGGCACCCGTTCCGGCACTCGCGTGGGTCAGCTATCCCAACGAAATGGTTTACACAGGGCTCCGGTGCGTAATTTACCTAGGTATGGCTGCTCATCACCCATAAATGCTGGTGCTGGGACCACGATGAGCTAAGATTGGAACCCTGATCCTGGCCGCCTCCAATTCCCGACCCAAGGGACCAATTTCCCAATCATGGCTATTCCCTTTTCACTATTGGTTCTATTACGAACTACGAAAAAAGAAAAAGAAAAAGAAGAAAAAAAAAACCTTCGCAACCTTCGCATCCTCTGTCCAGGACTCCAAAGAAAGAGATGGGCTGTAAGTTTGTAATCGCATTGCCTGAGACGCAGTGGGATGGACCTTGTTCTAACTGAAGACACATGCAGGTTCCCTTACAAGTATGGAAACTGCGCTTGCGAGAAGGTAAGACGTTCATCCCGAGTCCATATGAGATGATAACGAATCCTACGGACAGCACAGCTTTGGCTCAAAACAAATTACATAACCCTCGTGGCTCAGGACCTCGATGACGAGGGACAGAGCCCTCCCTCAACAAGGCCTCCGAACAAGTCCTTCGGTCTTCGGCCATGTGGGGGTGTATGTAAGGAATGCAAATGCACTAAGAGAGAGATTCACCCTGGCCAAGCCATGATTTCGCCCTCCCGTGTCCTCGTTGATACGTTCACATGATCTTCGATAATTTTCCTATAATCTGTTTCTTTATCCGACCAGCCAGTCCGCGGGATCTTTTATTAGGGTACTCCACGTATCTCGCACAGCTCCGCCGCCAATAGGTACGGAGCGGAGTACGCACACGCAAGGTTACATTGTGGTCCATCCATCCTCCCTCCCCCCTCCTTGCACCAAGCTGAGAATGGTCACTGAGATCGACGTCAGACGAGTTCGCCCGCACTTGCGCTCCGGCGGGCAGATAGGTATGGTAGTACCCGCAATCCGCAATCTCATCTCTGCCAGGCAACATGCTTCTCGCTTAGGTCCCCACGAATCCGAAATAGCGACAGGCGCTGATTTGCGCTGCATACGTGTGGATACCGTACCTAGCTACCTACATATGTACAACGTATGTACGCTATGATAGTACGTTGTACATACCTGCCCACCCGGATGCGGTTCGACCCGCTTGCTTGGTTCGTACAAGTCAAGACGATGGCGGGGTAAATGAAGGGATTTGGTCTTTATCCAGCGCAAGGCGGCACCGCCCCTGCAACGTTGGCGTGGGCGTGGACTGCCTGCCTGTCAGATCAGCAAGTCACAATATGGGACAGACGACCCGCGGTATGTATTCCATCGCAGAATCCCGACTCGGGGTCAAAGCAAAGAGTTCGGTAGCCCTTTTCGCATACTTAACATCATGAACTCAGACGGTCAGTAAAGCCAACCACAGACGGGAGAAGCCTAACGGCACATGGGGACCGTGGCCTGAGGCGTTCAAAGGCTTTTTACTTGCTTTTCCTAGAACGCGTCAAGAAAACGACTTGCTTCTTTGAAAGCCGTTTCAGGACAGGACAGCACAAGATTTCGGACGCTACCCGACGGGCAGCTGCCGCCGTTGTGTAACCAGTTCCAGAGAGAAACAACCATGAACGAATGGAGAAAAACACCGTGATGAGATGAGACGAGGCGATGCTAGGCAAGCGTATCTTATCTGCACCGCAACGTCTTGACGAACAGCTGGGGCCGGCCGGACAAATCTGGACCCTGGCTTTTCACCGCTTCTCTGTGCTGATTACAAACGCGTGAAGAGAAGGCCAAAGAGAAGGCCAACGTGATCATTTCTATCGTCATCGCTCATCATCGGACAGCACAGGACGGGCGCACATGGCCAGTTGCGAGCGCGGCTCGGGCGCCGTTCCGGTCGTCAGTCAAGGGTTGGGTTGGGTACTGAGCGGAGACTTCTCAATCCCATCGGCGAGAGACACAGCTTTCTAAACGATGTCGGTCATAGCGGGGGGTTTTTCATCGGAAATGGCAAGGATGGTGGGTACAGGTGGGCCTCGAACGACGTTCCAAGGAGCGGTCTGGTATTGATCCACCGAGGTACAACGTATGTATTGTACATATGTACCTTACACTACGACGTACATAAGGTACATACAAGGAAAAGCCTCGTTTCTTTCGTGCTTGGGCCTGTCTGTCAAGCCAAGCTGTTTGTCACATTTCACAGCAACAACCTTACGCATTCCCCTCCGACACCCCCCCCTTCCCCTCCAACGGAAGGCCATGCGATTTCTAGCTCATAGCCTTGTAATGCCAAGGGTACTTTGTAACCATGTATCCGCTACACACCCCAGGACCGCAGCTTTCTTTTCTTTTTCATCCATACCAGAGACATGGCATGCCGGCCTGGGTAGCAACCCTGACGACTACAACGTGCTCTACTACCAACCCCCTCCTATGGAACGCTTGCTCTGTCAACGTGACGCTGTCTCAAACTGCTGGGGACGGGAGGGGATGTAATGAACGTTCCGGCTTTGTGTGGCTACCTACCTATCGGCATGGGGTACGAAGGATGATGAGCGAAGTACGAAGTACAACGTACTCCGTACTCGTCGGCGAGAGATGAAGGCCAGGGTCAGGCCCCACTCCCATGTCACTTAGTAGGTCGGCCATCGAAATACACTACAGTGTAATACTTCGTAGGGCGCCCTGGGGGTGTCCAGGGCTCTGGGACAAGGGCCCATATCACACCCATCGAGTCGGGGTGGGCAGAGTCGACCAGGGGAACCCCTTCGCCGCATCCACCCCGGGAAGGGGGGGGGGGGGGGGGGGGTGAATCGCGTTGGTTTGTTTGCTTGGTCACCGCTGTTCCAACCTACATAAGCAGATCCCCCATGCCCAATGCTCTGAGTCGTTGCAAAAGATGAAGGTGCCTTTAACTTGTCCTGGCACAGCCGATCCGGGGTCTTCCTGGACGTCAATGTCGACTTCGTACAACGTACCTCGTGCGAAGTAATCCCACCCTTTGCCGGTACCTACAGGTATCCTTCAGCTCATTACCTTAGGTACCTTGGCCATCCGTGCTATTTTGTACTTCGTACTTCATAAACCCGGCTAGTCACATCGTCTGAAGAGTCCGGGTCTCACTTTCCTTTTTCCTTTTCATGTCTTCCAGTTTCTTTTATATTGCTGGTGACATCACCGACCCCCCCTGACTGCTAGCCCATCTGTTAGCGTCTTGTGCAGCTTCAATTTCTGGAACAATAAGGGGGCTCAGATATCTATCTGGCTTGTCGTCCCCCACAGAGAGAAAGATCATAACTACCGAACAACCCCCCCCCCCCCCCCCCCCCCCCCCCCCCCCCCGAGATTTATTACGACACCTGCCCTGCCACTTGGAAGCCATATCGTGGACGTCTTTCCGTTCTTCCCTTTGGGTCCTCTCATCGAGATACTTCACATCAACATTGGCAACCTCGACCATGACAAAAAAGGGGTATTCGACCCTCCAATCTGGAGATGCTACCGCGGATGACATGATGGCAAGCAAGACGCTACCTCCGTTTCCTGTACGGCAGATGTTTGTGTTGGGTACGTTGTTTTGTCTTTCCTTCTAACTTTTCCATTTGGTTCTGGAGCATTGTAAGAAAGGACGTATACTGACCATAGCCGACTCTACTACAGCCTTATGCAGGATATGCGAGCCGATTGCATTTATGTCTATCTTCCCTTATATCTACTACATGATCGAGGACTTCCACATCACCGAGGATGAGAGCAAGATCTCCGTGTATGCTGGAATGGTTACATCTGCCTTCACTCTAGCTGAATTCTCTACGGGAGTCATGTGGGGAAAACTGAGTGACAGAATTGGACGGAAGCCGGTTCTCCTGACTGGCCTTGCCGGTACGGCTCTGAGTGTTATGGTGTTCGGCTTTGCGCCTAACCTTACTGTTGCACTCATTGCCCGCGCATTGGGTGGTCTCCTGAATGGGTATGTCTGGCGCCACAGCACGCACGGTCAGGCTGCCTGACCTCCGCTGTCATGAAGCTGACACGCAAGTAGGAATATCGGAGTCCTGCAAACTACTGTTGCCGAGCTTGTAACAGTCAAGGAACACCAGCGTATGTCGATGTCTCAGGGACCCAAAAGTATTTCGACCACTAACGGGATATAGCTCGCGCTTACACCATAATGCCTTTGGTCTGGTGTCTTGGGTAAGTCATGCGGAAGAGAAAGAGAAAGGGGTGGTAAAGAAAGTGCGCTTAAACCGTTCATGGAGCTAACGGACTGCCATGGTAGATCGATTGTCGGACCCATGATAGGTGGTGCCCTCGCTCGGCCGTGTATCAGCTATCCCAACCTCTTTGCACGGGGGACAATCTGGGATAAGTACCCCTACCTGCTTCCTAATCTGTTCAGCGCTGCAACAGTTTGCTGCGGCGTCATCATCGGCCTCTTGTTCTTGGAGGAGACGCATTCGGAGAAGAAGTATCGCAGAGACCGCGGAGTAGAACTCGGGAAACACTTTATGTCTTGGATGCGGCCCAGGAACTGCCAACTTGCATCGAAGAAAGCGGAGAAGCAGGCCCTGCTGGACGACGACGCCGACGACGACGAGCTTCCAGGCTACCGCACAACGGAAAATTCACCACGTCTTAACACGACCTCCGCTCCCGAACCCCGCGAATCCCTGGATCTCAATTTCTCGCGGTATAACGTCGCCGAGGCCGCGGCGGAGCCCAAGCCCACAGTTTTTACCAGGCCAGTCGTCCTGAATATCATTTCTTACGGCATTCTGGCATTGTAGGTGTGGTCCTTTTTGAGATGAGAGGCTCAGTATCGCTAACTGGCAAATCACAGCCACACCATGACGTTCGACCAGCTGTTTCCCGTTTTCCTCAGCACGAAGCCTCCTGCGCACAAGGACTTCCATCTGCCCTTCAAGTTTGTCGACGGGTTCGGCATGGAGACCAAGGAGATTGGTGTCATCCTCTCCGTGCAAGGCGTCTACTCGATGTTTTCCAACTTGTTCCTCTTCCCCTTGGTCACGAGGAGACTGGGGCCGCTGCGACTATTCCGAATTCTGGCGATGTCCTACTTCCTCCTCTACTTCACAACGCCGTACCTGGTTCTTCTTCCAGATAACCTCCGACTGGTGGGCATCTACATGCTAGTCATCTGGAAGTGTACCTTCTCGACCATGGCCTACCCGAGCAACGCCATCCTTCTCACTAACGCGGTGCCGAACCTGACGACCTTGGGGATGATCAACGGGGTGGCCGCCTCGACCGCGAGCCTGTGTCGAGCTTTCGGACCGACCATTTCTGGACTCCTCTACGCCCTGGGCCTGCGAAGCGGCTACTCGGGCCTCGCCTGGTGGACAAGTGGCTTAATCACGATCATCGGCGCATTCCTCAGTCTCCAGATCACGGAAGGCGGCGGCCGGTTTGATGAACCTGCTAACGACATTGAGACGGCTGTCAACGCGAGAGAGCGAGATGGACTCTTGACGACTGACGACCAAAGTACCAGGCGGTCTTAGAGCGACAAAACAACCGACACACTTTGCGTTTGCACGACTTGTGGGCGTTGAGCGCTCACAAGCTCTCCATTAACCTTCTTCCTCCGTTCATCTCTCGGATTCATCACCGATTCACAGATGGAAAGCGGACATGCGAAATAAATGAGTAAAATACAGGGGAAACTGGCGTTGGATTATACACATGGGACTTATACCATTTGTTACGGAAAGAGGGGGATACCGGACGGGAACCAAGGGGCAATCAAGTGTACAAGGGCATACGAAAGGGAAGCAATTGGGGGAGGACTGGAGCTATGGTGCCTTTTTTGTTTCTTTGTTTTCTTTCTTCTTACCCCCTCTTCTTTCTTCCCCTCTGTTCTCTTCCGTGCAGGCCTGGCAGCTTGTTTCCCACGAGTTTGCCCCGGAATTAGGGCGCACGTTGTTTTAGGCATGTTGTCTCACCATACGAACTTTTGTAATTGATTTTTCTGGCTACGAGGGATTATTATCATTTGGAGGGATTTGGGACGCGCAACAAGGGACGCCACTTCGTCATGCAATAGTTAGAACAGACATCCCTCGCAGGATACAGTACGATGAACTTTTCTTTTTTTGGGGAGGGCGACGACAGGGTCACTCACCAATACGAGCGTGCGTTTTCGCATTTCCGAGGAAAGGACGACAAGGTGGCTGGGGTTCCTGCCATGGCACAAATGTGATGTGTGAGTTCCAGCGTCCAACCCAATGGGCCGGATCTACCGCGTGGCAGCCAGCAGCCACCCCGGTCCCGCTGCAGGGATACGCCAGGTTCCCGTTACAGAATGTCAGTCAACCGGGGTTTCGATTGCTGAAGGCATTACGTCTCTCTGAGGTTAAGTGGCTGAGAGCAGGAGCAGGGAGTAACATGGAACAGGCAGGCAGGCGGGAGTGGACGAAATGATGTGCCACAAATTAGCAGAAACAGGGGCATTTACATGGGACGTGGTACCACAGATACTACGATACCACACTTGGCTCATTGCTTCTTCGTGCCACACATCTTACAAAAGTGCAAAACATACCAGGATTCAAACAAGGAAGGAAAGCAGGGAGAGTCAGAGTCGATGTGGAGTGTGTCGGGTACGAGCAGCGCGTCGGGCGCTGAATAGGGCAAGAGAGGGCTCCGCATCATTCCAGACACTGTGGTACGAAGTGCTCTCTACACGTTGTATCATCCCAAGTTGAAAGGCGAAGGCAGGGCAAAGCAGGTAATGTGAAGTGGGGATACGTCTGTTTGGGGATCGGATCGGGATCGGGTTCGGAGGGGATTCAGTCTTCATGCCATCACCCGTGAGAGGGCACACTGGACGTCCCGGAAGCCCACCCGCGGCGACATACTACGACAGGCGGCAGATCGGATACTCGAAGGGCAGCACCGCATGCGCCTTTTGGGAGTTCATGGCAAATAGTGGCGGCCCTTGCCATGTTGTGGTTACCCGTCCCGGTTCCTCGGCGCATGTACGAATAGAAAAAAGGAAAGAAAAAAGAAAAAAAAAAAAGCGAGGCCTCAAGTTGGCTGCGTTGCCGGTGTGTCATGGCCCGACGGGAGAAGGAGCGGGTGGAGAGCTCACGAGAGGGACTCACAAAAGGTGAGGGCGCGGAAAAAAGAGCGGTGTATGTTGCGCGGCGCCGGATTTCGTGAGTCAGGCCCGGATGTTACACTGTTGATTCCTGGCAGCCCTGCGCGAATTTGTGAAGAGAGGTTCAAAGAATCGATCTTTGGAGGTGAAGTGTCCCAACTTTGATTCTTGATTCTTGTCGAGTTGTCCGGGGCGATGTTGGAACCCGAGGGCTGCGCCCCTGTCCCTGTCCCGTGTGGTATTCGTGCCTTATGTACTTCTGATGAAGGGGGCGCAAAAGGACGTTTTCTACCTAATACAGCCGGCTTTCGCATGTACGAAGTCGGTACGTGTGCATGAAGTAATTACGGAGTACATATGTACAGAAAATCGGAGTGGGAAGTGAGTGGGTGGGTTCCGGGCGGCTGGGCGGCTGGGCGGAAATTGTCTACAATGTACAACGGTAGGTATTTGGACTAGAAGTTGAAGGAAGTGGGAGTTGACGTCTGAGACCCAATCGTGGGGGTTTCAGAAAAGCCACGCGGACCTCAAAAGCGGTGAGGTGAGAGGCGTGTCGCGGAATGGGGAATTGGGACTCCCAGACGTCCCCCCACCCCCACCCATTTTCGTCTTGTGATCTGACCTCCTTTTGTCCTCACCACCCACGTGTCGCATTATCTTCGGGTATTCATTGTGGCTGACTGAGATCCTGAGGGATCTTGCCCTAATATAGTAGGTTAGGTCTCCTTGCCGCCGTCACGATTGTTCCCACGGCCTCTATGTATAACAGGCATTCCGTTTCGGCTGAGATATCGCATTGAATATATTCATTCTCCCAAGGTGCTGTTTGGTTCACAGACGACATGCATCTCCCGTCTCTCCTTAGCTGTCAACGAGACAGCGAAATGAAAAGAATAAATGCCCATAACTTTAGGAGTACGAAGTAATTACAGGTGCCTGTCAAATTGGAAGGAGATTGGTGTTGCTGAGTACCACGACGTAATAGGAAGCTGAAAGACCGGGAAGATCCCCACGCGTCATGCGTGTATGGACTAGCGGGCCCGACCCCGAACCGAAGCGCTCTATACCTTACAATGTGATTACGTAAAGTGCTTCGGTCCTTTCACTGGACCTGTAATTCTTCGTGTATGTACGGTAAGGTACCTTATATAAAGAACTTGTTCGGCCATCCGGGATAAAAACGTACCCGTATGCGTCTGATAAGCTCATTCAGTCAACTGCTTCGTAAACACCATCTCTTCAGATCCCATTTTCATGGTAATTCTTGGGCAATTGACATTATGTAAATAGCCAGACATATCCCGCACCCCGCTTAGAATGCGACAAACCCGATCTGAACCACTTATTCCTAATGGCGAAGACGCTAGGGTTCCAGAGTTCAGACACAAAGGCCGTTCTACGAAGTAAAAGAGTTCATTGATAATAATAACGGCACTTGGAGGAGTTGATAAAGTCAAGGACCCCCGCTAGGCCTTATCAATGTCCACTAACGGTTAAGCTCATCCAATCAAACATCACGGATAGGATTAAGTAACCGTAAGGTAACTTGCAAACCACCAACCACAAGACAAGGGCCTCCGCCGTATCTATGTATCTTTGCTCCTCGAGGTAATGCTGCCTCTCCTATTCATTCCTATTCTTCCATAGACACTCTGCGAGAAAGGTTTCGACTTCGTACGGCCCAGATCATTGAGCGAGACATGTGCTTCGTCTAAAAACTCACCGATCCGACTCGGTCGCTGTTCGTCTACGCTCTTTTCGGCGCGCATTTGTCAACCAACCTCAAGCTCGAGGCTGTCACCGAAGCTGCGCTAAATAGATCGTGAAAATTCTCGGCAACCCGTCGAGGCTTCCGTCACCCATGCACCGGGATCCGTGACCGTCACCAGCGGCGGCGCTCTTTTGCGAGACTGGCTCCTCTCGCTACCGTCTCAATCTTCTCTTTCGAAGTCTCGCGATTCCAGTTCCGACCCTCAAGACCCCGCGCCTCCAGCCCGCTGACTGGAAGTTCCGTCGTTTCCATTGCCTTTTCCCTGATACAAATGCTGCAAGCCGAGTCGTCCTGGGCCGCATCGAGTTCGAGATAAATAGTCGTAATAGAGGTCTATATAGGAGTCTCTAGAAGCGATCCTGTTCTTGTACGTATCCTATGCTACTCCGTTCTCGTGTCCATGTCTCACCTCGTGCTATCGCGTTCCATATCGCCCCGTCGTTTCTCTTGCTCTCCTTCCTACTGCCCCCCCCCCCCCTTTTCCCTTCCTCCCATACCCCGGAGTACCCGGAATGCAGCTGACTTGGACATGGATGCCTTCCAAAGGGGCGGTTGTACCAGTCTCGAGCTATTCTCTGTTCTTGCGCATGTTCCGCCACCACGAGTCTTGAAGACGGCAGCCGTCGACAGCCGCTTGTCGCCATGTCTGCACACTCGCCGCCTTCCCCGACCCTTAAACCTTCCAAGAGGCCGCGCCAATCTCAAGACGAAGAAGACGCCTCGCCGGCTTCCACCGGTAATGGACAAAGTCCGGTGGCCGACCAAAATGACGCTGGCTCCGTCCGTTCGGAGGACAAGGCCGCAAAGACTGGTGGCACCGGTTCTGCCGCCCTCCAGTCCAGCACGTTTCGCAATGTGAGCGCGTGCAACAGGTGCCGCCTACGGAAGAACCGTTGCGACCAGAAGCTCCCCGCCTGCGCCAGCTGCGCAAAAGCCGGTGTCGCTTGCGTGGGCTACGATCCAATCACCAAAAAGGTGATACCCAGGAGGTGCGTACGACATGCCAATCTTCAGCTTCAGACAAGGTTATGTTCAAGCTTGATTTTCTGGATTCGGTCCCCTCTTTCTTAGTCGGCAAGACACGGCCGTTTTGTTTTGTCTTCTGCGTGCACACTAACAATAGTTCCTTCCAGCCATGTGTACTACCTGGAAACTCGAGTTGACCAGCTCGAGGCCTTATTGAGCGCAAACAACATTCCTTTTCCCCCAGCCGAAGACCTCGAGTCGTGCTCTAGGCCCGGCAATGAACCGAAGAGATCCGTTGCCGAAACCGGCTTCCCTATGCAACCAGACAACGTGGAAGGACATGATGTGTCGAAAGGCCCATCTCGGGTTCATCGGGTAGACCTCGACAAGGCGAAGGGGGTTGATGCCAACTCGGGAATGCTGAACATCGTCAGTCCGTCCAAGCCGCGGTCCCTTGCCTCTGCCTCTGGTGTCTCTTTCAATCGCGTTGTCTTCGCCGCTGTCCAACACTCAGTGTCGGATAACAACGGGGCCCCTGACCGAGGGCCAGGCAAGACCACCATGCGAGATTCTTTCTTCGGACTGCATACCAAGCCCACGATTCGACCAGCACCCTTCCCCGAGAAATCCGTCGCCTTGAGGCTCGTGACACTATACTTCGAACATGCGAATCCCCAAATTCCCATCCTCCACCGGGGGGAATTCATGCAGATGTTCGAACAGGCCTACACAACCGAAGGTGGCGCTCGTGGCGCGCGGGAGCTCTACATGCTGAATATGGTCTTCGCCATCGGTTGCGGCGTCATCGTCGGTGAGCCCGTCAAGTCAGAGGGTTCCGGAGCTGGTGGACCCACGAATCCCGTAGATAGCAACAACTTCGGCCAGGCGCAGCCCGAGGAATATCATGCGAGCGCCATAGTGCACCTCGAGGCTTGTCTCGGATCTGGCGGCGGTGGCCTGGAGGTCCTGCAGGCTGTCCTGCTACTCGCGAATCTGGCCTTGCTTCGACCTGTGCCCCCCGGCCTCTGGTGAGTTCTACTTCAGCTGAGGACTGGACTGTCCTCCCTGAGCAGCAGCTGATCTCGAACAGGTATATCATCGGTGTTGCTGTTCGATTGGCCGTTGACCTAGGCCTGCATCGCGAGGACAGTCACGATCTCGAAACGGCGATTCCTAATCGTCCGCCTACCGACGAGCCTGAGAGCAAGGAGAGGAAAGAGACGAGGGAGATGCAGATGCGCGAAAGGGGCAAGAGACTCGTCATCCGTGACATGAGGCGGCGCTTGTGGTGGTGTACCTACTCGTTCGATCGCCTTGTCAGTACTTGCGTCGGCCGGCCGTTCGGTATTAGCGACCAGGTCATCACTACGGAGTTCCCCTCGCTGCTCGACGACAAATACATCACGCCGACGGGCTTCGTCGGACTCCCGGCCGATGTCGACGAGGAGCCGAGCTACAAGAAGGTAGCGCATCACTATTTCAAGCTGCGATTGCTTCAGTCGGAAATCCTGCAGGTCCTGCAGTACAACCAGACGCAAGTGGCTCGTGCCGCCGGTCAGAACTTGACCAATTCAGATATGCACGCGCACCTGCCCTCGCCGTTCCTGGTCAGCTTCGACTCGTTCCGCTCGTGGAGAATCGATATCGACAGGAGGCTGTACCAATGGAGGAATTCCGCTCCTACCAGGGAGGAAACAGGAGTCGCCTTCTCGACAGAGTTCCTCGAGCTCAACTATTGGCAGGCCATCATCATGCTTTACAGACAGAGCTTGAGCGTCCCTGCCATGTTCGAAGGAGAGTATAATACTTCGACAGAAGTCAACAGCCCTACGGCTTTCCAGGCCGAACTGCGCGAGGATGAAGACAGGATATATCTCAAAGTCGCTGAGGCAGGGCAGAAGATCTTGCGGATTTACAGGCAGCTTCATCTCAGCGGCCTCGTCAGCTACACATATCTCTCTACTCACCACCTTTTCATGGCGGGCATATCATATCTCTATGCCATTTGGCATTCGCCCATCGTCCGCAGCCGCCTGGTAAGTGACGGGCATCTTAAGCCTTTTGTTTTTTTTCTTGCTATGACCCTCCTGCTAACGCAGACCACCCAGACAATGGACGAGGTTGATTTTACCGTCCTGGCAGCCAAGTCCGTATTCACAGATCTGATCGATAAATGCCCCCCTGCTGAAACCTGCCACGACGCCTTCAACCGCACCGCCAAAGCGACCATCAAAATGGCCAATTCGACGGGAGGCTTCGGCGCCGCCCCTCCTAGAAAAGGGAGAGAAAGTAGGACTGACTGGAGCTCGGCCGGCGGCGACGGCTCTTCCACAGCCGGCGTCTCGCACAGGAGGCAGCCACCTTCCTTGCACCAGGGACCGTTCCGAATCGATTTTCCGGGGTCCGATGCTCTCTCCTCTCCAAGCCTCTCGGCCAGTGGAGACCTTCCGATCCCATCTCCCTCCATGGCACGGCCCAAGACGTTCAAATCCGACCCATACGCCCTAGTCGCTTCGCAGCAGCAAGGCCGGGCGAGCCCCTCGGATATTTCGGGGCTAGATGCCGCCATGATGGCGTCTCCGAGCCCCTTCCGGCAAAACCAAGCACCGCAACAGACCACGGCCGGGGCGCGTGGTGCGCCGAGCGCCTTTCTCAACCCGCAGGGGCAGTACGGTTCCGGCGACGCTGCTGCGGGTGGTTCCAGCAGCACCAAATGGGACTACGACGATACTCAGATGCAGGATTTCTTCCAGGGCTTGCAGCAGATGGGCCCAGACGCGTCGGGAGGAGGAGGGGGCGGGGATGACTTGTCGTCCGTCCCCGGGACCGCCGGCGACTTTGGACAGCAGCAGTTCGATCTCGGGCTCGGCATGAACTGGGACAATATGCACCATGATTTTAGCGACGATCAGCAGATTAACATTTTTAGCGGGTATTTCTTCGGTAGCCAGCAGCAGCCAAACGGGGGTGGTGCCGCGTCGAATGGGAGTGGCGGCGCGGGAGGAGCGTAACTTGCACAGCGCTTCGCACGGCTGCCTATAGCCCGGAAAATGGACTCGTGTCTTCCAAGAGGGGGATCGATCAAGGCCGAAGCCGCTCATCGAGTCCCCTCCCGGGGGAGGGGGGAGGGGGGGAATATGACGAACATACGCTGGTATGATATGGACGGGACACGGCCATGACAGCGAGTATATACTGATCAAAACGGAGAGAAAGACGTAAGTTGTATATTACTGGGTCTGAAAGGCAAGGAGGGTTGGACAGTCTTCTTGTTCCAGATCTTCGCCATATATGAAGAGATGGGGCCTGATTCTGATTCGGCTGAGCGATACCCCGGATGAATGATGAAAAGAGGACCGGTAGAACTACTACAATTTTCACGTTTTACATTCCGATTGTCATTATTATCCGACTGAACATGAGACTCAAGTCATCTCCCTTGCGAAGAGGTATGGAGATTCATCAAAGGAAGAATAGGAACGATTAAGATACGATTTCCGAACTCCGGACCGGTACCTATCCCTTGCAAGCCCCTGGTTTTACTGTCACAATTTTTCTCCCATCCCGTTACTTATCACTCCCGATAACTAACAAATATGTAGTATCCTCTGTCTGACCCAGGCGCCCACGGCCCGAAAAATTCACACAATAGAATGGAATTACCCGGGTAATCGAGAGCAAGGAAACTCGGTCACCCGCCCTGTCTCAAGCCTCCTTCTTCCCAAGCTTGGCCCGGAAGCCAGGCTTCCCGGTCCACCACAGGGGAGCGAAGATCAAAGCACCAACGGCGCTAAGGAGCGTTGCGAAGAGCTGCCAAACAGCATACAGCGGGGCGCCATAGAAGGGGGCGATGAACTTGAGGAGGTCGGTGGGCTGGTAAAAGTCCTCCTGGGAAGCGATGAAGTAGTGGGTGGACAGGCTGGCGTCGTGCAGGTCGGTGGAGCCGTTGGCCTCGGCGCCAGCCACAGCGGCGACGGCGGCGTAGCTGTCATGGGAGCCGTTGTCTGTGGTAATGGTGGCGGGCTCGGGGGGAGGGGCGGCGCCGCCTTGGGGCGAGAGGGGGCGCTGTTCCAAACGGAGGAGGGTGATTAGACTGACGTCGGCGTGGTAGAGGGGGAAGAAGAAGAAGGTGAAGATTTGGCGGATGTGGAGGAAGAGGAGGTCCGACTTTTCGTCGTGGACTAGATTCCATCGTTAAAAGAGGTTTTACAGCAGGAACTGACTTGCCTCGTTACGTACCGACTGAGTTGACCTGGAGATCGATATGGGGACTGAGAATGCGGTACCAGCGGTAAATCATGAGGACGAACCATCGCGATCCGATGGTCAGGTCGGTGAAGGGCACATGGCGAGGGTTGAAGGAGGGCACGCGGCATAGATTGTGGATGAAGGACGCCTCGGGGAGAAAGTAGGAGTTGATGACGCGCTCCTGGTCGGAGGGAGTGCCCTGGGCGAGGGACTTGATGATGGGCACGATCTCCTTGGCTGAAGAAACGGACGGTCAGCACTGATAGGTCCTTCTAGCTAGCCCTAAGTGTCGAGTCGAGGCTTGAGAAAGGAGAAACACCCCCCGGTGCGAGAGATGAGAAGCTGGCCATGGATGGGTGGGGTGAGTACAAACCTGGGTTCTCCATCGCGACTTTGAGCTTCGATAGACTGATGAAGATGCGAGGGACCAGGGGGCAAGGGGTCAGGCCAGCGGATAATGGCAATGGTAATTAATATATGGAGTATTCGAGGTGGTTGTGTTACAATGGTATGGGCTCTGGGCGCTTATGACACGAGAAAGGGAGGGAGGGAGGGAGAAAGGGAGGGAGAGGGGAAGAAAGAGAGAGGGTGACAAGGAGAGAGGGGAAAGATGATATCGACTTGTACGGAGTACGAATGGATATTTCTTTGGTGGATATCTGGACGTCATCATATGCGTTTCTCATTCTCACACACTTGGGCACTACACGTATAGAGAACGGGAGTAACCAAAGCACAAGAGAAGGGGCCGGGGCCACCGGGGGATAAGGTACCGGCCTAGTGGAAGTTGCGTGAAACTCACCCATCTCAGTATCAGACATGGCGAATACCTAGTCTCTGTCGAGCTGATATCAGAGACTGACGGGACAAACCAACTTGATCAAGTATCGGCGTGATCTTTCTTAGAGTCGAGGTACGCCGAAGATACATGAAGTCATTTACGTAGGTGATGTCATGGAACCCAACCCCAACCCCGACCCCACGGTTCTTGTCGATCCGCAACATCTAACATGTGACAGGTTCCGGGACAGACAGGTACGATGTGGGACTAATTAACCGCCTTCGAATTTGTGTATCAGTCGGATGTAGTACGGAGAAATTTGTCGGCCCCATTGAGCCTCCCAGCAGTAACTTTGCGGAGATCCGTGCGATGCAGAACTCCTAGCAATATGAGAGTCTGCCTGTGGGGATCCTTTCCGACCTGTCGAGGGTTAACGTGGCATTCCCGACGCGCGGAACAGCTGTTCATGAGCGGCAATGGCGATGTCCAGAGCAAGATAAGACGGCATTTTTACCCATCAGAGTCGGGTTCTTTCAAGTATGAGGCGGACAAGTGGAAGATCTCGAGGCATGTCCCGATGGTGGGGACCATGGATTGTGCAGTGGAGATAATGGTCCGGCGTGCCTTAGGTAATACGAAGTACAGTACGGGGTACAAAGCTAAGGTACTAGACAGGCGAGTGGGTCCATGGCAACGGGTCATAGTATGACCGAATCCCGGTTACCGTGGAGCTGAGCGTTGCTGCCGCCCCGTCATTGAAGCCGTCTTCCTACTCATTCGTATTATGTACCTACCCATGCCCCCGTAACCTCCGTCTGGACCATCACACTCGAGGCTGCGAAGCCTTCATCCCCTCGCTCCCGAAACGAAGCTTTCGGTGTCGATTGGCTCCAATGCACAGCCGAGTCGCACCTTTCTCATGAATGCATAGGCAATCTTTGGGGCCCAAATAAGTGCGCGCGACGTCGTTCTTCCGATAAGCAAGGAATCCCCCGTCTGCGACCCTCGCATCGTCGGTCATTGTTCAAACACCAACACTCCGGCCTCAACCCAACCCCCCCGGCTCCTGTCGGCGCGGCGCGGTTTCGGAGACCAGAGATACATTATATTATTCTTTTCGATTCCGGTAGTGACAGCACTCACTCCCTTTTTCACGCCTCTCGCATCCGCCGATCGAGGCGTCACTCGCGAACCACACCAGCGGGGTCGCAAACGCCGCTGCGCCAAAACAAGCTCCCATACCCTCCCACCCACGCATCATATCGTACAAAACCGTTTATGCCGACCATCATGCCGCCCTTCAACGCCCGGCTCCGTCGCGACCTCTCTTCCGACATCCTCGACCGCCTCCTCCTCCCCCTACGTGCGCCGCCCGCCGACCTGCCTGCCCCCGCACCGCAGTTCCCGACCCCCTCCCAACCCCGCCAAATCACCCCCGTGGTTCCACGACAGGAATCCGAAACGACCCTCATCATCCCCACCACGTACACCAACATTGGCGACCTCGCGCCGGGCGCCGTAGCGGGAATCGTCCTCGGCTCCGTCTTCGGCTTCCTCCTCCTCGTCTGGCTGGTCTACATGTGCACCAGCGGGATCGCCCCCGCCGTCGAGACCCGCACCGACGACAGCTCGCTCCCTCCCCCCCCTCCCCCTCACAGGTCGCGCCGCAGTCGCCACCAACACCACCACCACCACCACCACCCCCCTTCGCATCGGCGCTCCGGGGGGCGCGCGCGCGTCATCGCCACCGAGACGACGCGGGTGCGGAGCAGCGGGGGCAGGGGTCCCGGTCCCATCATCGTCGACGCGCCCGAGCCGGAGATGAGTGAACGGGCGAGATCCGTCAGCCGGCCGCCGCCGCGCGTGGTGGAAAGCGACGAGGATGAAGTTGTTGTCATTGAGGAGAATACGCCGCCGAGGAGGAACAGGCGACAGAGTCGTCACAGTCGCCACAGTAGCTACGACGACCATTGAGAGATACATGGAACGCCTTGGGCCTCTCTCTCTCTCTCTCTCTCTCTCTCTCTCTCTTTTTTTTTTTGGACGGGACGAGTACAGGCCTTTTTGTTGAAATTCTTGTGCATTGGAGGATTCTGTTGCTGTGTACGTGGAGACGTGAGCCGCACGTATTCTGTTTGCTGCTATGAGCGACGTCTTATTTTGATTCGGCTTGATTGTCGCGTACCCTTTCTCTTCCTATTTGCCTGATCTAGGTCATCTGCTGGAAGAAGTCGGTTGGAGTTGTCTCCAACGATAATGGGGGGAACCGTACAACCTGGAGGAGACCCTAAGGTATGCTTTCGAAAATGCTTTCCTCTCCATGACATCGCACTTTTCTTTTTCCCACTTCAACATCATCTATCTTTCGATGTCGAATGGGGTTAGCATCATCACTGGATTATGACTCCTTTTTTGGGTCGAAGTAGGTAGTTTACGAGTAATGGATACCCCGAGTTTCTCTTCCCCCCCAACCTTGCGAAGGTGCATGGAGAGTAGTCTCCGACTTGTTGAGGCATTGAATTGATGCCGGAAAAAAGAGCAACCAATAACCTTGAGACGAATGCGATAACATTGCGGCGCAACGACTGGTGGATGCTCCCTTTCTTTTCGTGGTTATATTACGAGACCCGTTATTCCGACTGTACCACTTGGTGTTTCCGACATAGTTCGGTCATGGACCACGACACGACGTCTTCTTCGGAGCTTTTATATGGGAACTAATTTAACCCCTCTGGTTCATTAAAGGGAGTAGCAGGTATAATCTCGACGACTCGGATTATAACCCGTGGGTCTATTTTATAGTCGATTACCACCACGTTATAGAATCCAGCTCGCTATCCATCTACCGCTCGTATATCCTAAGGTACTCTTGCTGCTGCTGTTATAAATTAACGGATAAGGTTGTCTGTTTAATTAAAGCTGTTCGCAATAGCGATAGCTCCACGGCCACGGTTATCACGACTAGGTTGTCATTATTGCGTGGATTGATCGGTTAACTGATGGATTAACGAATTAAACTGACGGATTAAACTAACGGATTAAACTAACGGATTGACTAATAGATTAACGGCCTAAAGACATGGCTTGATTATTAACTACGTTATGGTTCAAGTGACGATGGTAGTTTTGTGTGGAGGTTAGTATTCCGAAAAAGGAAATTTATGGGTCCATGCCCGAACTACACTACAGTCGGAATAACCAAGTGGTACAGTCGGAATCACGGGCCTCTATATTACTCAGCGCTGTATTATGCAACTGCCTAATCCTCCCTCCCCTCGTCACGGGTTGTAAGACACGACGCGACGGACGGGCGACTGCACTCGAAGGATGATCCCTGATACGCATGGCTTGCTGCGTGCCTGCCTCAGGTCAGACCGTCTGGTAAAGGATGCGTGAGGGGGCGATGGGGGTTGGGGGGTAAGACGGGCCAACAAATGAGGAGATATGTTGAGAGCTCACGAAGATAAATATCCCCCCCGTCTTTTTCCCTTCTATCCTTAGGTACCCAGTTGAATGGTGAGAGTGAGCTCGGCAGGAAATCTCATCGCAGTACAACCGGCCAAAGACGACGGAGACGACCGTGAGCGACAATGTCCGACAATAACACCGATCAGAATGCCCTCAAGACGTACCGTGGCAACTGCCACTGTGGTGCCTTCGTCTATGAAGTCCGGCTCCCCGAGATCAAGTCGGTCTGGGAGTGCAATTGCAGCCTCTGCTACAAGAAGGGTTACCTCTTGGTCATGCCTAGCAGTCCCGACCAGTTTCGCATCGTGAAGGGTAGCGAAGAAATCCTCGCCACCTATAGCTTCAACCAGAAGAAGGCCAAGCATAAGGTTCGAATAAGGAACTGGGCGAGAAAATGAGGGCGTGGAGAGTGAACGCCTGACCTCTGACAATGCGCTGCTGTTGTTCTCGCTGGCTGATCTTCTCTGAATCGCTCGCAGTTCTGTCCCACCTGCGGCACCAGCGTGTTGAGATATCTGTGGGATGCTCCCGATTTCATGAAGATTGCCGTTAATGTGCGTTCTCTGCAGTGCCCGTTGGCCCCCATTCCAGCTTCGTGTTTTCGCCTCAGTCTCTCCTCTCAGCCTCAACAACTAACCAATTCCCAGGCCCACACAATCCAAGATCTGGATACGTGGTCGCTAGAGCGAAAACCGTGCGTGTAAAGGGCCGACTGGGCTCTCTCCAAGCTTCATATCAGCGGGACATATCATTCACTGACGTGCCAGGAAATAAATAGCTTCGACGGTGCTTCCCGCCCACCCCCTTATGAACCGCCGACGTACACCGGTCCTCGACCGACAGCCCAGATTGAAGGCGGCAAGCTGTACACCGGCGGGTGCCATTGCGGCGCTGTCCAACTGGCTCTACTCAGCAGGTCCATCGACGCCACATTTCCCGACACCTTCCCGGAGGGAGCGGGAGAGTGCAATTGCAGCATCTGCGAGCGGGTTGGTCACAGGCAACCACAGATAACCACCCGCACCCTTAGGAGAAGAAGACGCCCTTTGCTGACGGGTGCTTCCCATTGTATTAGCACGCATACGTCTGGGTTTGGTCGCGTGCCGAACAGGTCGTCCTGCACGGCGACGACAAAGATATCGGCCGGTACGCGTTCGGGCGCGCATTCGTGGCCAAGTCGTTTTGCAACAAGTGTGGTGTCCCGCTCACCAACAGAATTGTGTCCAAGGGGCTGGCCGAATGGGACACCATGCCGGAAAATTTCGGGGTAAATATCGAAACGGTGAAGAACATGCACCCCGTGAACCTCAGGGCGTTGAACGGCATCAACCTGGGCGACGTCAAGGTCCTCAAGCTCTCCAACGCGAAGGAGGTTGAGCCCAAGTATGTGGACCCGTAAGCTTGGTGCAGGAATGGGCGTTGAGGATGTGGCGGGATAACCCCCACTGGTTCTCGGTTCGTCTCTTCAAGGACAGAGGCAAACTAAAACATCTCTCGGAAAGCCTTTTAGGTGGGTTTGGCAGTGGTAGTGGCATAGACAGGGTTCCCGTCGTCGTCAAAGCGCGCCCACTGGAAAAAAGAGCAGCTCTCTTCTCCCGGCACGTTCCCGGCGTGACACATCCAGAAATATTTCCCAAAATTCTCCTTCTTCCTCTGTACGACGCGGAGAACGCATGGGATACCGCATTCGCACCTCGGCGTGTGGCGCGGGTGCATGCTCGCCCGGTAGTCCCGGTACGTGATGTTGATGCGCCGATTGCCCGAGACAGGGTGCGGGTCGACAGACTGGGCAGGCGAGATGCAGTGCTTCCACTCCTCCTGCATCTCCGCGTGCATGACGAGGAGCGAGTTGTGTGGCAGATGAATCGCGATTTGACCCCCCGCGTCCGGGTCCTCGGGTGCTGCTTTGTAGCTGTCGACGTCCCTGGGGATGATCCTTCGGACGCGGAACTCCCGCGCCACGCCGAGCGAGATGGAGCCGATGACGGCGCGCGGCCCGAGGTAGGTCATCTGGTCGCTGTGCCATCCCACGCTCTCTCGCGGTCCGTTGTAGCAGTTGACGAACGCGGCGTTGGGTACCCAGGGTCCCGGTGCCTGGTGTTTGAGTTTCCTGCCGCCGGGGTACCGGGTCTTGATCCTGTTTTGTATCTCACGGTTCACGGCTTCCTGCACCTTGGGCTTGACTTTTGTTAGCTGCGGTGTGAGGCGGCGGACATCGGATAGTCTGGCGCCGTTGTAAAGGTAGTCTGCCTTCTGGGTCATCATTTCTTCGTAGCTTTCCACGTAGAAGCCTGATGTGTGCGGACTGGACACCACGTTGTCAAAGAGTTTGAAGGTATGCTTCCCGAACGATTTGGCCTCCTCCAATAATTCCTGAAGAAGATCGTTGGCTTCTTGAGGGGGAAGAAAGTCGTGAATGATAGTGCAGGGAGTATGCCCTGCCACATCTGCGGGATCATAGAGGTGCAGAGTCGCCCCTTTCCTCGCCAGGGGCTTTTTCCTCTGAGGCTGGGAGACTCCGACATTGTGTTCCTGGCAGACCGTCGCAAAATGTTTCAGGGAGATCTGGGCGCCCATGGCTCCGCGGGGCTTCTTGACACGATCTGACGACTTGAGGGCGAGTGAAGTCTCGTGCACTGAGCCTTCATGCGCCAGAAGAGATTCGAGGAGGGCCTCCTGATCAACATCAGGGTGCAAAGATGACAGCAGAGCAAGCTTCACCTCGGTTGGTTCATCGTCATCATAAAGGCCGCTATCCGCTTGCGGACTCGACTTCCTTTTTCTGCGCAGTAGAAACGAATCCATGGCTGCGTTACGTTGAAGAGGCCATAAGTCGTCGGTTCGTATCGAAAGGGGGAAATTTCGTTTCTATATTTTGTATGGCAAGCTTCGGCTGAGGCGACAAACGAATCCTGCCCGGGACCTCTGAGCTTCGATGCCAAACAACAATGAAGGTGAAAGGCGGGTTTTGGTGGGAGGCGGATGAGTGAATACCTGATTATTACCTCAATTACTTCGCAATACCAAGCGATATCACGCGAGGCAGGCGCGTAGTCACGTGACAACTTGCAACCCATAGCCCTGTCCCTCCCACAAAGTAATTACACTACAGCGGACAAGGTGCTGAATGTCGCGGGGGGCGGCCGGACAGCGGGGCAGTGGGGGGGCATCGGCTGCCGAGGTCCGCTCGGAACTTCGCCAGTGACACTGTGACATCACAGGCCAGAAGCCGTGGGTCCCCGGTACCAACAACAGCTTTTGAGATCCCTGCGAGCCCTCTTAGTGACTATCACCACCTCGACCAACCCAGTGCCTGCCTCCTTGCACGAACAAGCTCGACGGCTGCCAGTAGCGCGACCATGTCGATGCTAGAGTTCCGTACCCAGGGCTACAATCCCTACGCCGTCAAATACTCCCCCTACCACGACTCCCGCATCGCAGTCGCCTCGTCCGCGAACTTTGGCATCGTCGGCAATGGCCGCGTCTTTGCTTTAAACCTCACCTCGCGCGGTATCGAGGTTGAGCAAACGTAAGTATGAAGAAACGACTATATGCGAAATACCTCTCTTTCCCCTCTGGCCGCCCCCCTCCCCTCTTGTTGACCTCTATCCATGTAGCTTCGACACCAACGATGCGCAGTACGACCTCGCCTGGTCCGAAATCAACGAAAACCAACTCATAGTCGCATGCGGCGATGGCTCCATCAAACTTTTCGACATTGGCGTGAAGGACTTCCCCGTAATGAACTTTCACGAACACAAGAGGGAAACCTTTTCCGTATGCTGGAGTCCCATCACGAAAGACACATTCATCTCGAGTTCATGGGATGGCTCTGTAAAACTCGTACGTCGCTGCCGTGCCATCCTTTCCGTGTCACAGGACGCACCCTCCCCTCACCCTTCCTATATACCTCTTGGGTCAACTTCGAAAGTGCAAAAACTAACTCGCGAGCGCATCGTCGCAACCTATCCATCCAGTGGTCCCCCACACGACAGCACTCCCTCCGCACCCTCCCCATAGGTTCCTGCACCTACAGCACCGCCTTCCAACCCTCCAACCCGTCCATCGTCTCCGCCGTCTCCTCCGACTCCCAAATCCGCATCTTCGACCTCCGCACCCCGGCCTCGGCGAAATACCACCTCACCACCATGATCCCCGTCCACGGCGGCCCCGCCACCGCCTCCTCCGCCGCCCCCCTGCCCCAGGGACTGCCCCCCTCCCAGCCCGCCGAGGTCCTCACCCACGACTGGAACAAGTACCGCGACACCGTCATCGCCACCGGCGGCGTCGACCGCGTCATCCGCACCTTCGACATCCGCAACCCGGCCGCCGGGCCCCTCTCCGTCCTCCCGGGCCACGACTACGCCGTCCGCCGCCTCGTCTGGAGCCCCCACGCCTCCAACGTCCTGCTCAGCGCCAGCTACGACATGACCGTGCGCTTGTGGGACGACCCGGGCGCCGCTTTGCCGGACGCTGCGGCGGCGGCGGCGACGCCTGGCCATCCCGTCCCGCCGGCCGTGGGGCGCCAGCTGGGCGTCATGAACCGCCATACAGAGTTCGCCACAGGCGTGGATTGGTGTTTGTTTGGCGCTGGCGGCTGGGTTGCCAGCGTGGGGTGGGACGAAAGGGTGTTCTTGTGGGACGCGAACATGCTATTGCAGGGACCATGATGGACGAGAGAAGAGAAGACAGACGGGGCCGCCGTTCGGGAGAGTCTTTTCTTCCTGCCCACTTGGCCTAGGCTGGCGTCCAAAAGGAGTTCAGAATGCGGGGACGAAGAGAGCGGCTACGCATCAGAAAACCTGGCGTTTTTTTCCTGGGTATATATATCCATCCATGTTTTGGTCCGGTCTCTGGAGATCATACTATAAATACAGAATTTTGTTACACATATATATGTACAGTGGAATCCGCCACTCATCATCCATCTCCCTACCCTCGAAAAGTGTCTACCTCGAGGTCTCGAATAAGCTGTTGTCCCAGAGAGGTAAAATCCGAAATAAACGTTCCCTGTGACTCCGTCCCACCGTACGCCGTGGTGCCATCTATGGTACATATGAATGAAGGGGGATAGTGCGGCGGTATCAGTGAGGTAGATAGCCACAAACCGAGCGGATTTGCAAGCCAGGTATTAAGCCCACTGCCAAACATCTCTCTCACCATCGTCTAGAAGCTCGTTTCTTGGTAACGATCGCGTTTCCTGTCGCCCCGGTCACCCCGGTCACCTCTGTCGCCCCTGTAGCTCCTGTCACCCCGATCACCCCGATCACCCCTGTAGCTCTTGTAGGCTCTGTCTCCGCCCCCACGGCTCTCCGAAGAAAGCGAGGCAAAGGGGTCCCGGGACCGATGAGAGTCCCTGCCACCAAAGCTCCGATCATCATCGCGACCGAAACGGGAACCTGAACGGCGTCGGTCTCCATCCCTGTTTCCACTGCCGAAATCGTCGTTTCCGAAGTTAAGTCCCGTGACTTTGCCCAAGCCTAGTTTCTGAGCGAGGTTCGACGCCATGCGCGGTGTCCCCTCCAATCCCATACCGTCAACGAACCACTCCCGCAACTCATTGACGCGGTCTTGGGCGTTTGACCTGTTGACGCGGGCGAAGAGAGACATGTATGCAGCGCCCAGGCTGCTTTTGGGTACGCCCTTGAGTACGTCCATGGTGGTGTTGACGATCTGGAGGCGCTCGGCGGGATCGGTGGCGAGCTCGGCCGCGGCCGACTCAATTTCGCGGTTGGGTACGATGGGAAGCCCGCGAAGCTCAGACCGGCAGATGGGAATGTCCACCTCGCTGAGGATGAGCCATCCTTGGCCGGTCTTGTCTTGGCGACCGGTACGTCCGAGCCTGTGGATGTATTGCTCACGATCGGGGGGAGCACCGACTTGGATGACATGGCTGACATTGGGGAAGTCCATTCCTCTCGCGGTGACGTCGGAAGAGAACAAGATGCCGGACTTCATGGTACGGAATTTGTCCGACGCTTTGCTGCGCTGTGCTTGGCTCAACTTGGAGTGAATCATGAGAGCCGGGACGCCACATGTTGATCTGAAGCCATCATGATATGTTTCGGAAACGAGATCGACTAATGCCACGGAGGGGAGGAAGACCATGGCCTTAAACGGCATCGCGCCCGGCTGCTGAGCGCTCTCTACTTCCTTCCCAATCACTTCGAACAGAGCCGGGAGCACGTTGCCCCAGCTGCGGCACGGCACGATGTGCTGCTGGACCTTCTCGTGGGTTGGCGTATCCCCCTGCGAAATGGTCTGGATGAAGTCGAAGTTGTCGGCCCGTACCCACTGCCGGGCGAGCTGAATGACATCCTTGGGAATGGTGGCCGAGAAGAGCAAGGTCTGCCGGGGCTTCTCCCGAACATCGGGCAGCTTGTTCACGATTTCCTCGAGCTCACCCCGGAAGCCGACGTCGAGCATCCGGTCGGCTTCGTCGAGGACGATGGCAGCCAGGTTCGGGGCGCGAATGCCGCTGCGGGGGTCCTCGAGGAGGTCATTCAACCGACCAGGGGTGGCGACGAGCAAGTGGCAACCCTGTCTCCTCGTCTTTTCAAGCATGCGGGACTTCTGTGTACCACCCACCGCCCTCTGCACGACCAGGCCGGTGCCTGCCACCAGCTTCTCAGCCTCGGCGGCGATCTGCTCGGCAAGTTCGCGTGTCGGAGACAGGACAATGCCACGGATGTCATCGGCGCGGGCGTTGTAGCGTGCATTCCTGGTGCCAAGCGACGGGTCTTCTTGTAGCATCCTCTGCAGCACAGGCACAAGGAAACCAAGGGTCTTTCCGGTGCCAGTCTTTGCCTGAGCGACTCTAGGACGGGGTGTTAGGACTAGACGTCGAGGAGCAGGGGCAAGAGGGTACACAATAGAGAGAGCGGGACGTCGGTGAACTTACAAATCTGTTCCGTTCAATGCCGGTACGATAGTCTTGGATTGAACATCGGATAAGGCCTCATAGCCCATGCCGTGGGTGATAGACTTGACCAGGTTGGGGTGCACACCCAGCGCAGGCAATTCATCGAAGCGGGTAGGATGAGAGGGAGCAACGTCCTCAATAGGCTGTTCCGAAGCAGAAGCTTCGGCAGTTTCAGAGTGCCATCGGACAAAAAGATTGCTCAACTTTATTGTTGTTGTCTGCAGTGTAGGCCTGGAGGACCGGGTGGTGGAAGTAAGGAGGGAGAGGTTTTGACGGGCGAGGAGAGGAGCAGCTGTCGCGACGCGCAAGTGAGCGCATCGCTTTAGACTCTGCCTGAACATAATCGACTCGGTAATAAGACGAATTAGATGAATGTTAAACGGGACAAGAAAAGCGTAAACGATGGGAAACGAGAGTCCAGGAGGAAAGGTAAAGAGATGGAATAGTAGGTATGTAGTAGTGATGATGGATGGGGATGATGAGGAAGGGGGTGAGAAGGACGATCGTCTTCAGGCAAAGTTTCCCATGTCAATAGGAGATAACGATTTTTTCCATCCTTATCGGAACAAGATTGGTTCCACTTTTCCCTCCTCGAGCCCCAGTCATGTTCCAATGTGACGAAAAAAGGGTCTTCACGGTAATTAGGTACCTTAATTACTAAGGTACGTATCCATACTGTATCCATGTACCCAGCAGGTACGCGACGACACGGTCCTCCAGTAATTATCTCCGTATTCGTACAGTAAGTGTCGAAAAGGACCCGAAGCGCTCTGCACGCTGTTACTTTCTAAAGTGGTTTGATACTTTTGCTAGGCAATTGTGCATACGGTGTAATTATATCCGTCCTTCCCAAGAAACAGGAACCTACTCCATAATTACACCTCACGAGCAAGGCGACTCGACTCGTCTCGACTAACCGTGATAGGCCGTGGCAAGAAGGAGTGAACGGACCAAAAAGAAAAAAACGGAAAAGAAAAAGAAAAAGAAGTGGGAAAAAGGAGGGAAGAGGTCTATTACATGACGCATGCTCGTGAGGTACGTTTTTATGTCTGTCTAAGGTATCCAGACTCCATGCTATCCCAAAGGTCCATCCTACCACGGATTATTACGAAACGAAATCTGTCCGCGGCAACACGAATAAGAAAAGAAAAAAAAGAGAAGAAAAAAAGAGAAAAAAAAGGAGAAAAAAAAAAGAGAGAGGGAGACGGCAAGGCCCAAGTCCACAAGTCATTGCCTCTTCATTCCCGTTAAAGCCAACCCCTCCGCAACGCCGTCCGTCAAGCCCGCCGTAAAACCTTCCACCACCCAAGTAACCCCATCCGCAAGGACCTGTCCGACTCTTCCGTCCCCCATGCTGCATACGGTACCCGTCACCCGTATGCCCTGACTACCGAGCGCATTGGCGAACCCCACGCCCGCGCTCACGACGTTCGCCGAGATCTTATACTCCCGCTCCGTCCGCGCGACCAGGCGAAGGAGAAGAACAATATACGGCAGCGCCAGGTGCGCGAGAATGAACATATGAATCACCAACGTCTGTACCAGGCGGTGGAGAAGAGACTTGGGCTGCCTCCCCTGATCCGGGCTTGGCCTGGGGTATCCATGTGGTGAACCGAGGGACTCATCGGCGTCGGTGAAGAGACGAAAGGGCGTCGACCTGCGCAGTCGGCCCAGCTCCTGTTCGGTGAGGTCTTCGGGGAGGGCTTTCATGATGTATTCGACACCGTCGAGGAAGGTCTTTCGCTCGAATGCGGCGCCTGAACGGGCTATCGGCTGTCTGGCTGTTTCTTGCGATACGGATATTAGATAGAGGCCTATGTTGTTGAAGGGTGGTCAGCAACGGAGCCTGTCTTCTCC